GTCATTAGCTTTGTAAGCCAAAAATTCAAAAAATTAATCAATAAAGATCATCTGCTCTGAAAATGAAACTTTTTTAATTAAATAAAAGAAACATAATCATAACTTAAAGTGAACAATAAGAAAACTTCAATTTGAAGAAATTTGTGGTATGTGTATTCTCTTTGCATTTGTTTTATCTATTTTAAATTTTATTTAAATAATATTTTAATACGATATGTTATAATATAAAATAATATTTTATCAAAAAATATATAATAAAAAAACTAAAATAAAGTATAAAGAGCACAATAATAATAAAATATCCGTGAATGTTGGCTAAATTAATTTATTATATGATTATAGTACTGAACAATAATAATAATAATAATAATAATAATAATAATGAGAAGTACTAATTTACCAAAAGATTCAAATCACCACCTTATTTCAAATCGCAATCAAACAAACTCATAATTAATTAAATAAATTTAATAGTTTTGGGTTATCTGTCAAACATGGTTCGCACTTAACATGACTTGCATGTTGGACCTAATTTGCAGGATATTATATTTGGCCGGAGATTTACCCGTGCGTACTTTCAGACAGTGGCTAAGGATTCCCACGACGTAAATAAATAAATAAATAAATAAATAAATAAATAAAATTATTGGGGTTAGAAACAACGTATAGAATATGCTGAGCAATATAAGAAGGGTGTGTTTGTTTGGGGGTTTGGATTTTGAGTTGGGATTTGAATAGTAAAATTTTGAATTTGTATAGTTGTATGATGTGATATAAATAGGTGTTGATGTGATGTTTTGAATGTAAAATTAATTTTTAGTATAATATAAAAAATGAAAAATAGGTGTTTGATTTGATGTTTTTGGGGGAAAAAATTGGATGAATAGTAAAATTTTGTTAAAATTCTACGAACGAACACACCCGAAGATTGTAAGCTACATACAATTATACAAAGAGTGTGTTTGTATACTTATTTATAGTTTTAATTGTGTATTTATTTAGAGGTAAGAAAATAGTAAAATATTGTAGGAATAATGGTAGATGTGTTTTTTAGGTGTTTTGTTTTTTTAAATATATATATATATATATATAAAACAATACTATTCAGGTATATATATATTAATATATATAAATCATTAAATTAATCACTATTCACTACTAGAAAAAAAAAATTAAAAAAATTAAAGATTGCAAAACATTATCTAATTGTATGATACTTAAAGTTTACGAACAGCAATTTTGAAACAAAATTATGTCATAATTTCTTACTATATCTGTTTCATGTATAATATTTGTAGAAAATATTCAAGATATTTTTATTTTGTGTTTTTTATTTCGACTATTTCGCCACAAATATTATCATGAAATCTTTTTATAACTAATTTGAGTTGCGATACAAAACCAATAAAGAATATTTGCAATATTATCATGAAATCTTTTACTTTTCACGATGATTTCAAATTTACAAGCCTAAAATGCGACTGTTAATAAAGAAAAGTATGATCCGTTAATACTTTATCGGTTGAGGTGAGCACGACTAACAGTAAAACATAATTTAAAATTACTATGCTACAATGTCCAAATATAACTTGAAAAACAAATGTATTTAATTGCAGTAGTTAATATCAAAATTAAACTATAAGAGAATTTTATATTATTTTTTCTAAAAAGTAAAGGACTAATTGAGAACACTCCAAAGTAATGTTAGCTCAAAAAAAAATAAAATTAATAATATATATATTATTATTATTTTTTTAAATTGTGGTTTAGTACACCACAACATCAACGTTGCATCATTTTTATTATCTTAATACTAAATAGTTTGATCTATATTTTGTAGTAAATTAGATTGTATGTAAATTTTAAAACATTATAAAAAATAATTAATGTGATAGTAAAAATATATATTGATATATTATAATATAATTTTTTTAAAAAATGATCTATATGAACAAAGTCTTGATACCTCTACATGATTCTTATATATCCATTTATCTTTTAAAGGAGTTTTAGAAATAATAGTATTATATTGAGATAAAATAGAAATAAATGTAAAAAGACTAATTAGTATTGTATGATATAAATGTAATGACATTTATGTAATATATTGTAAATTAGAAAGATATATCTAATGTAGATAGATAGTATAACTACTAAAAATAAATAAATATTTTATTATGGAACAGACCAAAATAAAAAATAAATAAATTGTTAAAAGACCTAGAGACTATATATTTATTTAAAAGCGAAGCTTAACGTAACCTTTACTTTGTCTTTAAGTTTTATTTTAGTGGTATAATTTAATACTACTATTTATTGATTGCATCTTTTACCACTTTATAAAAGCAACTATACATACATACATTCATTCTTGTAATACTTTTTCCGTCTCACGGACCGTGTCTGCTATACTGTAGACACAGTATTTTAGAAGGGATGTAATTAATAGATAATTAAGAATGTATTAGTGAAAATAATTATTCAATAATATAAATAATTATAAATTAAAATTAAGATAACTAATTAGTTTAATTAAAATTAAAAAAAAATAAAATTAAAAAGTTTAAAATGAGATTAAAGTATGTAATCATTTTTCAAAATAGGAAAGTGACATGGTATGTGGGACGGACAGAAACGGCAACGTGAACATAGTATGTGGAACGGATGAAGTATTTTAGTTCAAGCTTCCTGTATATATATATATAATATTTTTAAAAAAATGATAGTGGATACACGAAATCACTGTTAAATTAAATTATTGTAAACAAAAGCATTAGATTAATACTTATTGCATATACCTAATTTTCAACGTTACAATAATTTAATTGGATTATTTCACTTAATTTATATTGTTAATAATTTATTAAATTTAGACAATATTTTTGTGTTTATGACTTGAGTTTTTTTTTTTTTTTTAAATAGTTTATCTATAAAAAAATACAATGGGTGTTTAGTTTAAATAAAGTTTGATATAAAATTTATTTTTATATTTAAAACACAATAATATTCAGAAGGAATTTTTTTTATAAAAAATATTTCTTTGTTCTCAAATATGACACATTTAATAATATTCTCCACCAAAGACGATTTTATTTACTTTAAAAGTTTATACTAAAATATAATAATTAGTAAATAGAATATTTTATTTTGATATTATCTATAAAAAAATAAATATAATAAACATTTAAAAAAAAATAAAAAATTTACACACGCTGCGTGACAGCTGCCAGCCTTTCTATTCCATTTCGGGAATATTCTATTAGAATAATACTTTTCCGGTTCCTCCATCTTAAAAATTCTGCATATTAAGTAAAAATAGTTAGCACTTTAGTCGAAATTTTTTATTATGTTTTTAATATACTACAATATTTTATAAAATAACTAATATATTTTTATTAAGAAAAAGCTGGATATTAAAAAAATAAATTTAAAATAAAAACCAAACAAACAATTGAAAATTATAAATATAAAATTAATACTCCATCCATCTGTCCGAAATATTACACACTACTACAAAAAAAAAAATTTTTTTTTTTAATTTTTACATATATTAAAAAATATTATTATATAAAATACTAAAATAAAAATATCAAAATTATTTTATATACTTTCATTGACCAATAACATTGTATACTTTTAAAAAGCATATATTTTAAGGGTGTGTTTGTTTGGGGATTTAGATTTTGGATTGAGATCTGAATAGTAAAAAAAATTTGAATTTGAATAGTTGTACGATGTGATATAAATAGGCGTTGATGTGATATTTTGAATGTAAAATTGATTTTTAGTATAATATAAAAAATAAAAAATAGATGTTTAATTTGATATTTTCAGAGAAAAAATTGGATGAATAGTTGAATTTAAATCCCTCCAAACAAACACACCCTTAATTAAATTACATTATAGTGCTAAAATTAAAATAAATCACAATCCAACTTCTTTTTTTTGGTTATATAATGTGAAAAAAAAAAAAAAACTTTTGATCATCTTTTTGAAAGGGTTTGTTCGTTAAATAAAATTAGATTTATTTCATAATATTATCATGATTCAATCGTCTCGGTATATACCTAACTATCAAATTAATTTACATGACAAAGTTTTTTGTTTTACGTTCGAGTTGACTTTTTTTTTTAAAATTTAAATAATATTTTATTAAAAATAATACTATATTTGTCCGGTTGTAATAATCTCATTTATTTTTTTGTTGATTTTTTTAATATGAATTATTATATAAAAATGTAGTACAAATTATTAAGTACAGCAAAAGTAAATGTGACAATTTTTGAATAATATTTAAATATGAACATTTTTAATTTTGGTACTTTAACTTAAGTAATGGCTTCTAAATAGCCCAACAATTCTTGTGTGTTTGTTTTGTGATATTGTTGATTTTTTTTTATATAAGATATATAGAATTATGTAGAAAATATAAAAATAATAATTATATATAATATATTAATTTTTTTAAAAAATGTAACAAAAAATAAAAAGAATAAAGTTTCTATTTATTACAGTTGCCGCCGATATACACATATCATACAAAAAAAAAATGTTATTATAATCATGAAGTTATGGGTTCAAATCCCTACACCTAATGATTTACTTCATGCCCAAAAAAAAATTAAAAAAATAAAAAAATTATAAAATAAAATAAAACTGTTGTGCAAAACAAACCAAAATTAGGTTTTAAATATTTTTGGAAATGGGCATGTCACAATCACACACACTGCTTCATTTTGTGGTTATATAAAATCAATTTTAAAAACTTTGTATTTACTTTTGTGTTTTAAATTATTTGAGTTTTTGAATCAATAAATTAATGCTAAATAAAAAAAAAAACATAAGTCAGGATACCCTTCATCTCTATCCAAAACTAGTGATAATAAATGATTGAATAATAATAATAATAATAATAATAATAAAAGCTTAAAGAATAAAGGTGAAAGGGTGAATTTTTCTTTTTCTTTATTTCTAAAGAATAAATAAATAAAATAAGAAAATAAAATTGTGAAAAGACAAGATTCCAGTCGTTGGTCCGCTGCTGCTATTTGGCCTGTCGCTCGTCCCAACCAATTCCGCTCCACCGCTTGTCTCGGCCGCCCGCCGCCGCCGCCGCCTTATCGGAGGACAGTCTATATTCTGCACAGAAACTGGAGGACAAGCGTTTCTTCTGGACGCTAAACAAGTTAGACTGTTATAGTAGGTATACTTATATGTATTTGCTCGCGCGTGTGCTTTGCTTTGCTCAAGTTTTTACTGTTGTACTTGAATTTGTGGCTGTTCGTGTCATTTTTATTTCTGAATTTCTGTTGTAGGTGTTGATCGGAGAAATATCAGCGCGGATTGGTCTGAATTCACTCAATTCAGTTGAAATATTTAGTCGAGGTTTGTTATCTTCTAGGTTATGCTGCGTGCGTCTCTATTAATGTTCGAGTTGGTTCGTGTGATTGATATTTGTACTATAGTGAGATAATACGAAGCGTGTGATTTTAAATTTCCATGCGAAGGTTTACTGTTTTGATTCGCGTTGTGACGTAGAGGTGATTTTACTTTGGGAAATTGATTAATCTTCTAGCTATGAGTATCTTCCTTTATATTTGTTTTCGTTTATAATTTACAACTGCGATCAATTGAATTTACTTCTTTTGTCTGCCAATGGACTCTGCAAATTTTCAGAATTTTTTGGTTGGCTGGAGGTGTGGTGATAACCAATTGCGTGAGTGGGGCAGATGATTCTTTTCGAGTGAACCTAAGAGCAGATGTGAATGAGCTCATGTTACTGTGTAACTGGTTGTCGTAATGCATGTGATTTAAGTAGAGGAAGGGTTTATAGCTAGTAGTGATCATTGTCCTGTAAGATTTTAAAATGATAAGTTTTTCATTCTTAGCACACTATGGCTGTTGTAACTAACTACCTTTTTCAGTATTGATTTTGTTTCTGGTATTCTACCATTTTCTTCCATATTTGCATCCATTTTCTTGAGTGGGTTGATATATCTATTTGTGAGTTATGTGGTTAGATTATGCTTATATTAGATATGTGATTAAATTTTCTGTAAGATATTTTAATACCCTCAGTTGGATTCTTGTTCCTACTTATGCTTATAATTATAGTGTCAAAATCTTTGAAAGTAGTTTTCTTGTTATTGATTACTTTCCTAGCCAAGTCAATGCTGTGTTACTGGTTTTGCCTATCACTTGTTCTTAGCATCTATAAGAATAGTTAGTATTAGTGTTTTGTTTTCAAGTGAAATGATGCTCACCTTTGTTGACAAAATAACTACAAAATGTGTTTTGTACTTACTTCCTGCTGTAAAGGGTTATGAAGTCCATGGTATCCAAGGTGGAAAATGATAAAACATTTTTGGGTTGGAATTGGGTGTTACCAAAACTGAACTTAACTGAAGCTCCATAAATGGTCAGCTAGTCACTAAGAGATGCATAATGTATCAATTATGAATTCGTGATGCACTTTTAAACTACTTAATTTGTTTGTTTCACTATATTGTTTTGTGATTTGAAAAATCCTACTCAATTGTTACCTTCATGGTTTCTTTTTATTAACAATCATGTGATCTGACTGAACAAATGCAGGCTTGTTCTTATGGATAATCATTTTTGGCGCTTGGGTTATCTAGTTATTGATTCCTGGAATTTCTTTTGAATTAGAAGTTCTATTTCTTGGTTCATTCAAGAAACTCAGCATGCAGAAGAGTGGGAGTCTATACAAGAATAGTTCTCTGAGAATTGCAACTCAGCAATCACTTCGTCGTCTGGGTTTGTGTTCCCCAACCGCAACGGGTCAACAAACATCACCAATTGTGTTCCCTGAAAAACGCAATAGTCGAGGGAAGGCTGCGAAACATGGTGCAAACACTGTGAATGATAGTGATCTTAATATAACTAAAAGGGAGGAACATAAGATTGATGTTGCGGATGAGCAGTCTGATTTACTGGGATATGAGGTTTTTTCTGGTAAACTATCCCTTGAAAAAAGCAAATCTACCAAGAATTCTGAGTTACAAACTGCAGATGTCAACTTGAATGCTGTAGATGCTAAACTGACCTCAAAGGCTTTAATTTGGGGTTCTAAAATGTTGCTTCTAGATGATATTGTATCGGTTAGTTCCTTTGGATTCATTGCTAACTTTCCATTACTTTATGATAGTTCCATCTCATGATAACAGGTTTTCTTGTTATATGGCAGCTGTCCTGCTGTGTTGGTGTTAGACATTTTACTGTGCATGCATATCCCTTACAAAAGACTGGTTGTGGACTTTTTAAGAAATCTGGAAGAGTTCAGAAAGACTTCCGTTTTTTCTCATTGACAGCAGAAGATGCAATTCAATGGGTCAATGCATTTGCAGATCAGCAGTGCTATGTGAACATCCTGCCTCACCCTCTGGCCTCTAAGAAGCAGAATACAGACACAATGTTGAATGAGTTTCCAGCTGAGTCATATATAAGATGTAAAAGACCACCCAAAATGCTTGTTATTTTGAACCCTCGTTCCGGGCGCGGTCGTTCGAGCAAAGTTTTTCATGGATTTGTTGAACCTATATTCAAAGTAAGCATTTACCGGTCATTTTTCAATATATTCCTCATTTAACTTTTTCTTTTGCCTCTTGGGTTTAAGGTATAGACATAACTGTTGAAGGTGCACCTAGGCGCAAGGCGCACAGAGGTGTAACTCCTGGTACTGTGTTATTTTTAGTTCTTGGTGTCCGTCCTCCTTCTCTTTCTCATTCTCCCTGAAAATTGTTCCTTTGCATCCTCTTATCCTTATGGTTCATTCTCCGATCTCTCTGTTTCTTTATATAAATACTTATATATGTACATATTGCTTTCCCCGCATTCCTCCACTACCCTAATTTTTTTGTTCTGGCCCTTGAGACACTATGAAGTTACAGAAGGAACAGTCCTTTCCTTGTATAGTGTCGGACAAAATTTGCTGTGGAGTACATACAGTATTCTGGGATTAATAAGTAATAAAATCCTTTCCCATAAATTTATCCTGAAATGAGTGGAATTTTGGAAAATGATATAACTTGCTAAATGCTTCTGAAATTTGCACAAATTCATATGCAATCATTTCTCTCTCTCTCTCTCTCTCTCTCTCTCTCTCTCTCTCTTTAATAATTATAACTTCTTTACATATTTCAACTCGTGCATTGTGTCGATCACAATTAAGTGGAAGATGGGATGGTTTGGTAGCTGTGCTTATGTCACTCTGTCTTCTGCATCTTGAGAATATCTGTTATGGATGCATCAATGATTCCTTAAACATAATTTGATTTTATCTAGTTTCTAATTTTTATTGATTGAACTACTCCCTGATGGAGATTGGAAGAATATAATCAAATCATGTAGTGCTTAGTACATCAAGTTCACAAGTGTATTCTTCTTATACTAATTTCTTTTTCATATTAATCACTTTTCTTTTACTTACTGGCCAATCTACTTATGATTGCAAGGAAGAATGATAAGGTAGAAAGGTTGTTATGCAGATGGATAGGAAATTAGAGATGAAATATCTGGGAAAGAAAGCACTTGGAGACTAGGCGCTCCAGAGTTGGGAGGAGTGAAAACATTGATATTAATTGCTTTAACCTTCCGCTATTCTATGTTGTACATTTATATAATCTACAATGTTGGATTATGTTATATAAATAATTCTAGTAAATGACCTTGATATGAGCAATGAAATTCATAAATCTTTTTCCACATTATTATGAACGATCAATGACTATGATGATTGTGATGTTTATTATTGAATAACTTCTACAGTGATATCTAGCTATGTGTTGTTGATAGGGACCCAAGAGAATTGCCTTCAATTTTGACCTTACTTTGAAGATTTCTTGATAGGGACCCAGAGAACTGCCTTCAATTTTGGCCTTACTTTGAAGATTTCTTGATTTTACTCCTAATAGAATATTGTTATTCATATTTATCTTTTGTATACTCCTACTTATTAGTAGAATGATAATTTGGGCCATTAAAGAAAGATCGGTACTTATTTTAAAGCCTCTATTATAAGCCAGGATTGCTACTGAAATATGCTAAGGCATAATCTTCAAGACGAAAAGTGGTTCCATTAATAAGATTCTGTGGACTATTTTCAGTAATATATATATATATATATATAATATGTTTTTAAGTTAAAACTAGATAGTGTGGCATGAATTATATGGACATTTAGTATTTCATGTTAAGCCATTCTTAATCCTTGGGTCAAATCTGAAGATAATAAATAACGGTAGCAACTGAGTTGCAAATTATGCTGTTTATGCATTTTCTGATACATTAGCATGGTTCAAACCTAATTGAAGGAAAATACTTCTATCTAACCAATGCCAACCTGTTTTGTTTAAAAGAAGATTTATTGATGGGAACACTACACATCAAATTAAATTGCATTACAATCTTATCGACGCTATATATTCTATGTTCTCTGTGGATGCTGCTAAAAAGATATTTATATATTTCTGCTCTTCCTCCTCGGCTTCATAGTCATTGATGATAAAAATTGTTTTTGCTTCTGTATGTCACTAATACATTTTACTATAATATGATTTACATCTTCCATGTCTTTGTTGTAACCAAAAGATCCAGTAATTATGTTTTCTTCATGCTGTATTTCTAGCTTGCTGGATTTCAGTTAGAGGTTGTCAAGACAACATCTGCGGGTCATGCGAGAAAACTTGTTGCTAGTATTGATTTCAGTTCTTGTCCTGATGGTAAGTTCTACTTTTACACTTCAAACAACTAAGCAATGTTGTTGTACCTTTGAGTTAAATGCCACATTTTTCTGGCTTGCAGGTATTATATGTGTTGGGGGTGATGGAATTATAAACGAGGTTCATACTGATTTCTTTATCTTTTCCTTACATTACGGCTGGACTGAATGTTCTGACGAAACTTCATTTTGGAAACCTTTGAAAAAGGGTTCATCTTAACATCAATCATATTTAATCCTGACTCGATAGCTTTTTATTCAAGTATTATGTGTTGGGTTGAATGAGTACTGAATAATTACAATAAATGCATGCATTTTGCTTTTGGTTTCTATGTTTTATTCAATAATTATAAGGCTTTTCAACTCTAAACACAGTAGACATGAAAGAGAATCTAAACCTCATGCAGTCTTTGACCAAAAAACTTGCTTATGAATTTCTTACAAACTATTATTAAGTGTTATTTCTAACCATCTCTCCAATATTAGGCATGCATTTGATTATTTTTGTAGTTGGATGTGTTGCCACTAAATCTGCCAGAACCTTGTCAACCTGTAAGGTTTAGCTAGATCTGTTGTTCTGAGTACAACTCTTTTTTTTTTTTTTTTTGAACTGGGTGAATGTGCTTCTTACATTTTTTTTTTCTCTTGTAAAGAAGCAAGATATTCAGAGGGAAACTTCTATATCTTTCCTTGAAATGATGAAATACAGTTATATATATGCAACTGATATGACACTATGCTAGGAAGCTAAATTAGATATTTTGTGTGATGTATTTAATCTGCTTGTTTGAGTACTTGCAAATTTATTTTAAGTAGTCTAAAGATGTTTGATTTATTTTCTGATGAAATTGAAAGGGTATATCTTTTCACTTTGCAGAATGTACATGATTCTTTTTCTCATGAGGCTGCTACTTGTTTCTTTCTTACTGTCCTTTCTAACTGATAAATTTAAAGTGTAGGTGTTGAACGGTTTACTCAGTAGAGACAACCAGAAAGAAGCAATTTCAATCCCAATTGGAATCATTCCCGCTGGTTCTGATAATTCTTTAGTTTGGACAGTTCTTGGAGTTAGAGATCCAGTTTCAGCAGCATTAACAATAGTGAAGGTAGCAGTTCTGTTTAACCCTTCTTTACTTCTTGTAAGAATGTTGAATCTCTTAATACATGTGAGTGTGTTTTTCTTTCTTTCTTTTTTTCAAGAGTTGGGTGCAACTCATGTAGATCATGAATTTCAAGACAACCCTTTCCTGTTTTATTATAAAGATATATCTTATGAAGCCGTTCCACTTGTAGCTAGTGACAGTTAGGCTTTGGACAAGTATATGCTGGGTTAAGTTTAAGTCGATTAAAATCTTTTGAGGTTATGAAGTGATTATCCTGAAACATGAACAGGTTTTAATTTGATTTATGAAAATTTGAATCCTCTAATTGCCAATTCACACCTCAAAAACGAAGAGTAATGGTAATTGGACTCCTTATATTCAGGATTGGTAAGAGCTTTAACTTTAGCACATCCCTAGATCAGCATGAGTATATTGATTATTGAGGTACTATCCACTGTAATGGTGACTTCCTCTGAGGTTGTGCTCTTTTATCAAATTTCTACTATTTATCAAAAAAATTTATCCCAAAAATATCAAATCAAACATCTTTTTTTAACTTTTTATATTATACTAAAAATCAATTTTACATTCAATATATCACAGTAACATCTATTTATATCACATTATACAACTATTCCAATTCAAAATTTTTACTATTCAAATTCCAATAAAAAATTCAAACCCCAAACAATCACACCCTAGCAAACCTTATAGTTGTCATTTCACCACCATTATTTTTACACCAAGCTAATCATGTTGTACCACTTGCCGGTGACCAGTGTCATTTCCACTGTATGATGAATATAATTCTCATCATCTCATTTTGGAGTATGGCTCCTGAAACAAACTATTTTTTAGGTGTCATCATCACCACGTTCACCTCAATAACACTTAGAGCAGCATTTCTCCCATCACAGGTTTCATATAGGTTCTTCAAACATCAATCAATTGAAACTGCCAGTTAGTTTCTCCTAAGACTCATTCTGATCTTGAATTGCAATTATGTTGCATAGTTTCTGGTCTGGTACTGTGTGTAAATATTCATTAGTGTCTGATTTACCAGAATCAGTTAATGCAAACTTCATATCTTATGAACCATGTTCTGCTAACTATTTGTAATAACTGGGAGTGTGAGTGATATTTCTTTACATTGAACTCCTAGACTGAAATGTTGTACTTATAGATCCACTGTCCATCTCGGGGCCTTAAGATTGCTTAGATGTGCACATGCAAGAATGATCAGGAACGAGCAGTTTTATTTATTTTGATACGTTTCATAGTTTCTGGTCTGGTATAGCAGACCATGTACTTTATATGTTGAATTTTGGAAGATTCTCTTAGAAATGAGTGCTGAACAATGTAATGTGCATATGTCATCATTTCATAGCTTTGTGGATGGCTTTTTAGCATATGAGCATCTGCTGTGATTGTTGTTAAATTTGTATAGTTTTCTGAACCATCAAGCTTTTACGTGAGATTTTATATGCTTGTTTTTAGGGTGGCCTTACTCCCACTGATGTCTTTGCTGTGGAGTGGATCCATACTGGAGCAATTCACTTCGGCACAACTGTTACATACTTTGGTTTTATTAGCGATGGTAATTCATTAGCATTTTGCCTCTACTATAGAAAAGTGATGTAACTTCATCAATAGATTATCTATGTTCTTATCTGTAAATATTTATTTATTTAACTTAAGTTCTGTCAATCAGCTCCCAAAATATTCTGAACAAGTTGCCCTTCTTCAATGTTGCTCTTTCCATTTAAAATCCCAATGAGAAATTTGGTTGTACATAAATACACATCCTGCCCCCTTTAAATCTCACTAGTCATTTTACCTCAGTCTAATCTATTTCTGTTTTTATTTTCTCGATGAAATAATATGCAGCTTCTATTGTATTAACCTTGTATATTTTCCTTTGCTTCTTCTCAATACACTCTCCCTCTGTTTGTGTCAGTGTTGGAGCTTTCTGAGAAATATCAGAAACGATTTGGCCCTCTCCGGTATTTTGTTGCTGGTTTTCTGAAATTTCTGTGCTTGCCCAAGTACAGTTATGAAGTAGAATACCTTCCAGCACGCAGAGAAGCTGGAGATGGAAATATTTCTGCAGATCAGGAAGTTATGGATATGTCAGAGCTCTACACTGATATCATGCGGAGATCAAGCAAGGAAGGCCTCCCACGAGCATCCAGTCTGTCAAGTATTGATTCAGTATTGACCCCAAGCCAAATGTCTGCAGTTGATTTTGTTAACACATTTAGTAGTGCTGAACCATCAGAATTTGTGCGAGCCATTGATGCCAAATCAAAACGACTATCAGCTGGAAGAAGCAATGTGATCTCTGAGCCAGAAGTTATCCACCAACAATCGTCACACTCAGTTACTCCTAACATGCCCCGGACTAGATCTAAGTCAAGGGCGGATAAAGGTTGGACTGGATTAACTACGGCAAATGATCCTGCCAGGCCTTCATGGAGAAACCCTACATCATATGATAAAGAAGATATCTCCTCGACATTGTCAGACCCTGGGCCAATTTGGGATTCTGAACCAAGATGGGATGCTGAGCCTAACTGGAATGTGGAAAATCCTGTTGAGTTGCCAGCTCCATCAGAGGAATCTGAAGCTGGTGATAAAAAAGAGATTTCGCCAAGATCTGAAGAAAAATGGGTGGTCAGTAAAGGCCAATTTCTTGGTGTCTTGGTATGCAATCATTCGTGTAGAACCGTACAGAGCCTGAGTTCGCAGGTGTTAGCTCCGAAAGCAGAGCACGATGACAACACCTTGGACCTTTTGCTGGTCCGTAAAAGTGGACGTCTCAAGCTGCTGCGATTCTTATTGGATCTGCAGAGAGGCCGGCACGTTTCCTTGCCATATGTTGAATACGTTAAGGTAATTTAATGCCTACATGCTCATCTCACTCTTGCCCATTCTGATCTTTTTATTTAGTAAGCGTCTATTAAGTGCCACAAATGACTTAGATGCTGAATCAAAATCCTTAGCCAAGTAGTTAGCATTTATGTTTTCTGTTTTGTTCGTTGTGCACGTGGAAGACGTAAATTGTATGAAACATCATATGTAATGTGTGTTTTAATGGGGATGGTGTCGGATAAAACTAAACACTAACCCCGAATTTGAAATATTATGTTATGTATTTGACCATTAAATGCACTAATTGCAGGTAAAGTCGGTAAAGGTTAAACCAGGAAAGCACACAGAAGTTGGATGTGGCATCGATGGTGAGCTATTCCCAGTAAACGGGCAAGTGATGTGTTCATTACTACCCGACCAATGCAGGCTTATTGGCCGCTCACATAAAAAATGATCGGTGAAGCTTATGATATGCTCAAGGATTCCTTGCGGGCAATCAAATATTGAAAGGGTACGATTTCCATTCCCTTTCTCCGGTTCTTGCTTCTGCCACATGGTTTTATTGTAGAATATGTTAGATTCCTGTATATTTTTTGTCACCTTCATTCTTTCTAAATTAAGTTGGCGCGGTTTACACACATGTGCACTCATGTCGAATCTAGTCATTCCTCTGAATCCTTTTATCCAGCGTTATTATTGTATATGGCTGCCACTCGAAGCGAATCTTATGTATATTCGTTGCTATGTCCACCACATCGTCTGATGAGAGGATGTGGTTGGTCGAAGTAGAGCCCCTGTGTGAGTCTGATATTTGAATCGCATGTATATTCGTTTTGGCTAGTGCCAGACTCCTCGTATATATACTAAAACTTCCATACTGAGCAATTCTGGGAAATTTATGTTTGATAAGAGTTGGGCAACATTGTTAGATTTCGACGGTAGTTTTGTCCTAATCTTTTTGGACCGGGACAGGGTGGATTGGTACGGGATACCGAGTAATACACATTCTAGAATTGAGCTTAACAGTTAACATGCATTGTATAATCTTAATTTCATATCTTGAAATACACAAACAAAATAATAAGTTCCATGCATTATTATCACATTATGAGTGCTTTTATTTGGCCTTCTTATTTATTTTTGTCTTTAATTTTGCTTCGACTCTATTATATGTTTTATTCAAGTAATAGGTGTTATATATATGTGTGTATGTATCATGTTTGCATTTTTATTTTTTTATTTTGTTGGAATGTAAAGTAGATGAGGATAATATGAAATGGATGTATGGGAAGTTGAAGCCACGACTAGTTGGTGTTGGAAAGAATAATGAAAACTGAAAAGGACATATGATAAGAAGTTCATAGGTCGAGGAAGATTTTCGTGTCCAAATTCAATGCATTCAGTTCAATTAAAAAATAATTCTCAAAATCCTGAAAAGTGGTCTAAATGTTACCACGGTGATTGCGAGAAATAAAGACCAGAATATTGCAGTGTGCAATGCAAGTTGTGACAATCAATATGTATACATACGATGCACTGCATTTTAGCCACTTGAAATAATAATAATAATACATATAAGATCATATTTATTATCTTATATTTATGATCTTGTATTTATTATAATAATAATATTTTATTTTTTTCAAATATTTTAAAAATACATCTAAACGGCTTTTTCCATTGCAATCTGCACAAATATGTGTATTATCATTATTGGAGAATATTTATATATATTTTTAGGATGGGTTCGCATTTCAAGGTATGTCGATACTGTATCTATATCTATATATATTTGACTGCTGTGTATGTGTTTTATTGACGGAGACATATATATTAATTTATATATTAGGGTTTGGAAAATGCGACCCATTAAAATTTGATATATGTATTTATACATATTATTGGGACTGAAATTACTTCTTTTGAAATAAATACAAAAACGGCCGTACCAATAATTTCGACTTATTTTGCTGTATTTCAGAGTCTATAATGTATTTGTCTGACATTATTATTATTATTATTATTATTATTATCTAATAATTCTGGTTGGATGAATAAGTTTGTCACTTTACATAGAAAAGTATGTTCGATGAATGATACTGTAAATTTTGCTAAATCATGAGTAAAAATAATTGAGCAAGAAATAAGAATGCAGGTACGTTGCAGGAACAGTGGCCGTGGAGTCATCGAGATTTGAACCCATAATTTTAAGGTCACAAGCTCATTCCTCACATCACCCACCTATTATTTACAAGACAATTTTTTGTTAATATAGATAGACGATAGGTAGTTTTTAATAAATTATTCATGATGTTATGGATTTGAGAGTTGAAGTAAATATTTATTTTCTTAAATATAATATTACTTTCGTCTGACTCTAAGAGTTTTATTTATTTTTTTATATTTTGATATTTGAATATTAATTATTATATGAAAATATAGTCTAAATTAAGAAGAAATGATAAAAATACTTAATGTCTAATACTATTATGACATTTATGCAAAACAATTACACAAATATAATAATATTTGTAATATTAAGTATAATGACGTAAAATGTAAATAAAATTTTTAGAGGCTGACGGAGAGAATATATACTTAGTTATACAATATATATATACTATGTCATCAATATCATATTATGTTCATGGTAGTTATAAAAATTTAGGAGAAATTTGATTAGTAAATAATTATATACTATTAAAATTAAAATAATTAACTAATTTAATAAAAATTTTAAAAATTAAAAATTATAAAATATAAAATAAAATTAAAATAACATAAATATGTAGTGCACGAAATAAAAATTATGAGATTATAAGTACTACATATAATTCTAAAATATAGTATTCTCTTTACTATAAACATTGAAAATAAGTTACGAGAAGTACAATTAGTAAATAATTAAAAATATATTTGTAAAAGTAATTATTATTTAATAAAAATAATTTTAAATTAAAATTAATATAATTAATTAGTATAATTATAATTAAAATTTTTAAAATAAATTAAATATTTTTTTTAAAACAAAAAAATAATAAAATAAATAGGACAAACGAAATTGAAAATGTAAACACAGTATAATATACCACAAGAGGGAAAAGAAATGATACCCCCTCCGCCCCACGTACTATGTGTACATCGTCGTTTCTGTCCGTCCCACGTACTATGTTTTCTTTTTTTTTTTTTAAATGATTACACATTTTAATCTCATTTTAAATTTTTAAATTTTATTATTTTTAAATTTTAATTAAACTAATTAATTATTTTAATTTTAATTTATAATTATTTATATTATAAAATAATTATTTTTACTAATATATTTTTAATTATTTATTAATTATATTTTTTCTAAAATATCGTGTCTATGATATAGCAGACACGGAGGGAGTATAATAGTACGATGGTCATGTGCAGCAACCAAGCAAAGACCATCATTGGGATTTGCCATATCGTCTTCTCTCTCTCTCTCTCTCTCTCTCTCTCTCTCTCTCTCTCTCTGCTTCTGTCACATTCAGATTCTCTCTCTCTATCTCCCATTTATAATTAATTAATTAACAAACATACAATCAATCACAAGAAAGATTCACTTCTCTCTCCCTCCACCCAACTAACCCTAATTATTATTATAATTATTGATTTTGGTGGATCACTTTTTTTAACTTATTTTTGTTCAGGAAAGATACGTCCAAAAAGCTCCCTCTATAAATATAATTATGTAATAGATGATCACTTTCACAATTTCTTCATCAAATGGTTGTTGGTGTCTGAGTTTGAGTCTCAACTTTCTTCTTCTTCTTCTTCTTCAATTAATTAATTAATTCGAATCTCTCTGCAAATTATTGATGGTATTGGAAGGTGGTAGACTAGTTATGATCCATCGTCATCATCGCCTGCAGCAAAAACAACCTTTAATCGATTCTCATCAACATTTCATGGCGACGACGACGAGCGGCGGCGGGTGGGTGGTGCTGCTGTTGGTGGTGGTGGTTGTATCGTCGTTGCTCATCCTGCCGCCGATGCTGCCGGCGCTGCCGCCTCCTCCGGCGCTGCTGATGCTGTTTCCGGTGGGGATAATGGCCTTCCTAATGGTCCTGGCGTTTTCCGACTCATCGCCGCCGCCGCAATTACATCAATGCACCGCCTCCTATTTTAATTATAATTAATTGATAAATTAATTAGCCCACACACACACACCCATATGTATATGTGTGTGCATGTGCAATGTATTGAAGATTGAGATTGATTGATCCATCTCTTACATTGATTCATATATATATATATAATTTATTTTTTTAATATACAAATATTTATTTTGATCTATTTTCAAGACAATCTGACATTCCCACTATTCTTAAAACACATCTAAAATTGACCCTTACTTTGTCATAACTTTGACCCTCCCCAACTATATATATATATAGCGGATTTGGGTAAATATGCAACAATTCTAATATGAGAGTAAATTATAAACCAAACAACAAATAATAATTTTGTTCTTTATTCTGTGTTTATTTTTTTACTTGGTTCCTCCAAATTAAAATTACTCTCTCCCTTTGAAATGTTTTCAAACAATACAAAGTTACTGTTTTCTAATTTATCAATTGTAATATCTATATAACATAATTAGCATGTTTTCAACTTATAATGTATTACATCGTGCTAATCGGAATATTTTTGTCTTTTTTACTACAACTTGTTTGGAATTGATGTATCAAACAAATCTCCTTTGAACACCAACAAAGGACCAACTCTCGAAGCGTGGACGTTTCACAGTTAAAATAACGATTTAACAACAAATAACAAAGCAGAACACAAAACAACACATGAGACAAGGTGTTTGTTGACCCGATTCGATTATCAACCAATTTACATCCGGGGATTCTAATACCGGAAATATGCTACTAATCAGTGCTGATTACAGAGTATAAACAATCACAACTCCTTCAACTCAAATTCCTATCATGGTTTACCTTGGAAAATACCTCCATAGGTTTAAATTGTCACAAATGCATACTGACAACGACCATATAACAGAGCTACTCTAAAGTTTGATAATCCTCTCCGGTTGGAACTACTTTAACTCCGATCACCGTCGACCTCTCCGACAGTTTTTTGTGTCAAAAACTCAGTCAAACTAAGGAGAATCGATATGGATAGAGGGTTAGAGCTTCGCTAAATATTCTTCTTTTTAAAATATGATTTCCAAATCACTCACATTCCTGAAATAAAAGATTTCACATTACTTTTCCTTTGTACCGAAATGAAAGGAGTGAGTTTTCATGTTTTAACATTTTCTCAAATATGCCTTTTGTCTTTCGAAAAATCTTTGCTGCAGAAATTAAGACACAATTTGTTCATATGCCAAAATAACTAAGGGGAATTTCTATTCACATAACTCAATATAATACTAATATTTAAAAATCTACGTGTAAAAAGTAAATGACACCCTTTCAATGGGACGGAGGGAGTATTATTTTTATCATTTTCGTGTGTTCAATTTCAAAATATTTATTTTCTGTTTAAAAAAATAATTATATACTTAATATCAAAATGTCTTTAACTTTTACTTAAATTAAAAATATATTATTACACAACACAAAAGCAAATGACAAAACTGTCAAACTTTTTCCGCACTTTCAAACCACTCAAATACGTAGATTATTATCTCTTAATCTATTAAAAAATTTTAAAAAGTACAATTGAATGGGATAAGGGAGTATTATTTATATATTATATTAGCTAATTATAAAAATATATTGTTTTCTTAATATTATAACAAAAACAAAAATATAAAAGAACACATTTAGTGATAAGATAAAGCATGCGTGTGCCCGTCATACATAATTGGCTGCTTCAATTATTTAGGGATATTGATTAAATTCAATCACTAAAAAATAATGTCACAACTAATTTAGGGGTGTGTTTGATTTTTACTTTTTAAGTATTTTGAATTTGAAACTTTTTAAACTTGATTAATGTAATCTTTTGAATATAAAAAATTTGGCTTTTGATGTTGTATTCTTTCAACAAAATTTGTGTTCATCAAATTTCTACATTTCCTAAATAAATTTGCCGCAAAAAATTTAAAATCAAATATCACATTAGCCCATGTTTATATCAAATTATGCTATTATTTTAATTCAAAATTATTATTATTCAAAGTTATGGTGTTCAATTACAATTAAATCTTCCACAATTGTGTTTCTTATAATGAATTTGAACTTTGAGAATTAGAAAAATAAATTAAAATTGGCACCGTTCACTCAATATTTTTAAATAAAATAATTTTTAGTGTATGCTACGAAAAATTGTGTCAAAAATATAAAATATATTATTTTAAGTTGAATATTTGATTTTTCTTTTTACTTTTGTAATGAATTTTTAAATATATATTTATTATCTTTTGGGAATTGCAATAATAAATTGGTGTTACGAAAAAATGAACAATTTCATATGATATAAATAAGTAATTGAAGCCAAATTTATTCTTTTTTTAATCTGTCCGTTAAATTTACTTCACTATTAAAAAAATATTTTAATTTTTAGGAACGGGAGTAATATGTAAAAAAATAAATAAATATTAATTTAATAATGCATGTCAAAGATAATTTATTATTCAGATTTCAAAGAAAAAAACGAAAAACAGCCCAAACTATTAGACTCATAAAATTTTCTTAGGCCCATCAACTCATTTTCCAGTCCGGTTTTGACAAAATCCGGCTCACAACATTTCTTCTTTTAATCATCATCATTATTAAAAACAGTAATTTCCAAGTCACCACAGTTAATTATAATCCATCCATCAAACCTCAAACCTCCCGGCTCGGCTCGGCTCAGCTGCACTGCTCGCGGCGGACGCCGAGCCTAGCGTTTGGCGCGTCGACGAGCACGCGCTGGTTCTGCTGCTGGAAAGTCGCGATCACGTTCAGCACGGCGTTTACTCCGGCGTCCGGCGCGGCGGCCATGGCCAGGCAAGAGGTGGTTCCGGCGCTGCTCCTGATCAGAAAATTCTCCGGCGGGAGGTTCATATCCAGTCCGGCGAACTTAAACGTCATCGTCGCCACCGTGATCGGCACGGTGTAGCACGTGTCGAACCCTCCCAGCGCCGACACGGAGGCGTTCCCCATCTGCCGCCGGAACTCGTCCCGCACCGCCACGTACGCCGCCTTCACCAGCACCGTGAACACCGTGCCGGAGTCGAAAATCGTCCCGGCGCCGGTGTTGGGGTCGAACGCGAAAGCCGCCGGCGGTATTCCGGCGACGCCGCGGCGGCCGACCTTGATTCCGACGAGATTGACGTAGTAGAACGACGACCGCCGCGGATTTTTCAGCAGTTGGGTGGTCCGGATGCGCGGCGGCTGGGCGGCGGCGCCGAGCCGGAGGGAGCCGGTGAAGTTGAGGGACTTGTAGGCGGGAAGGCAGTAGGAGAATGTGGACTGGTAGAGAGAGGCGGTTTGGGAGATTAGGGATAATGGGCCGCGGCCCAGGCCCAATAGACCTTGGGCCGGTACGGACGTGCCTGTGGCGGCCTGGATGCAGCCGAAGGTGTAGCCGGAGATGGTGTCCGTCGCTAGGGTTATGTTGTCCTGCACTAGGGCGGCGGCAATGGTGGAGCCGCCGTATGTCAGGTTGAACCCGCAGGCGGCGCCGCCGCCGCAGCTCGGATTTGGCACCTGCGTTCGTCCACAAAAAAATTAAGACACCGCATATAATTTTGGAAAATTTGGCGATTATTAATATTTTTTTTCAAAAATATTAAATCAATTTATTATTATTATTATTATCATTATATTTAAAAATTTAAAGAGAATAAAAAGTAATTAAGAATTATTTAATTCATATTTTACATCGGACAAATAGAATATTTGAAGTGATTTACGTAAGAAAAATTGGAAAGAAACAAATGTCAAAAGTTAGACTAGGGTTTTTTTTTTTTTTTTTTTTATTGTTTATATATTTCTGTACATATTATTATTTTTATATTTTATACATAATTTTTTATATTTTATTTCAAAAAATTTATTTTACAACAATCTAGAAAACAAACATACCCCAAATAATACAATATTTTAAAAAAATAAAAGTTTTATTTATAAATATTTTTAAAATTTTGGTATTGTTTAACTTTCTAAAAAAATAATTTATCAAATATTATATTTTTCTGTCCACCTTTTATGATCCAATTTATTTTATATAATTAATTTTATTATATAATAATTATTTTTTTTTAAAAAAATGAAAGGATAAATAAAGTATCAAATGCTAACTTTTAAAATTCAAGAACTTCAAAAGTGTCCCCCAAAAAGTAAAAATAAAAATCTCCATATAATCGAAGGTTTTTATTTAAAATGATATTTCAATTCAAACTTTTATTTAAAAATTATACTGTGTAGGTCACGGGTTATAGAGTACGAAACGAGAGTCACAAGAAACACCAAAAATACTTCAATGAACACACACACAAAATCGATCTACACTAACTACACTACAGAACAAGAATATACATAAACACATATATACAACTTCCCGTCCGACGCGCCAGCGGCGGCGCGTGGATTACAGGCGCCGGAGAAAATAGCAATTCCGAACGATTACTACTTACCTGACTACACTGCGTGGCGCCACAGGGAACAGTTTTGAAGGTACTGGACTTAGCATGATCGAAGGCGACGGCGGAGCATCCGACGCAGCCGGCGCAGGGGACCCAGGCGGCGTCGTTGCTGGTATCGACGGCGACAAACAGGGTCTGCGGCGGAGTGCCGAGGCTGGCCTTGGCAATGTAAGTCGGGTTCTGAGTAACGGCCCTGCCGGAGGCCACCGGGACGACGGCGAGGAGGCTGTAGAGGTGGCGAAGGCGGGCGGCGTCGTTGGACTGCATCTGGAGGACGGAGTCCGGCCATGAGAGGCGGGGGTCCGCCGGGGGGGCGTGGAGGAGCTCTAATTCTAGGGTTGAGGAATGGCCGCCGCCGCTGACAGCTGTCAGAAAAGTGGAGAAGATGACCGTGGTAATAAGGATTGGCATGGCTAGATGGCGGCGATGATGGTGGTGATTAAATTCCATTTTTTTTTTTTTTTCGGGTGATATGTCGAATGGTTTTTTGAGCGAATAATTTATAGTTGGACGAGTTATTTTGGTTGTGATAATAAATATTCAAAGAATTTTATGACATGCTTGACCGAGGTGGTGGTGTCGGAATTGTTAGAATTCGGACATGTGAGTCGGGACTATATCTCCCGTGTTATTCTTTTGTTGACGGTATATCTAATGTGTGGGGACAACACATATCTTATATTGTAAATATAATACAAATACAACTAATGAACAAACAATACATATAAAATACCAGAGCGGATTCTCGGTCCCATTAACACACCATATTTCTCTATTCCCACACATAGTGTGTATTCATACACACGTGTGCGTATATACTATACATACATATGTGTGTATATATATATTATGGGATAAAATTGTACTCCCTCCATCCTATATAAAGAGTAACATTTGTTTTTTCACGTATATTTTTTAATTTTAGTATTATATTGGGTTGTAGTAAAAAAGACGAAAATACCTTTATTAGTATTGTGTAATATAAAGGTGATGATATTTGTGTAATATATTGTAAATTGAAGGATATTTATTATGTTAGATAGATAGTACAATTACTAGATTAGAAGAAAATAGAACTCCTATTATGGGACGAAGAGGGTATATAACTATCAATACATATTTTCAACTAATACAATTGTGTTAGTTGAAAATATAGGTTAATTGTCTATTATTTTTATATATTGATTAAAATTAATAAGTACTATCTTAATTAACCCTAGAATTGGTGGTTACATTGAAATTAATTGTATGTATTTTCAAATTGAATAAAATTCAAATAGAATTATTGGCATATAAATAAGCAACGAAGAAACTCCAGGACTCTTTATTTTCAACTTTATTTCTATATCTTGTAAATTAAGTGGCGAAACATTTTCGCTTGAGGGTTAGGTACTGAGTTCGATACCGAATAAGTACATGCTTGAGTTGAGAAAAATCATCGTTGGATGTATGAATGTGTAAAAAAATTAAAACCCTGTGTATGTATATATGGCACCGGATCCTCAGCATCACAATTGTCCAATCCTATTCAGCTTCGTCGCCTAAGGTGATATATATATATATTTAAAATAAAATATGCATATATATATATATATATAGTGTATGTATATTAGCCTGTGTGATGATACTCGGGGCTGATGATCCCATCCCGTTAAGGACGTAGTGTATAGTGAGGGGGGACATGTAGTGTGTTGAAAAACCCTAAAGTAGGATGGACAGATAGACACACTCTGTATTCCATTATTTTCCATTTTTGTTGTGAATGTGAAAGCATTATTATGTATTATTTGTGCATGTAGTTTGTGGGTAGTAGACCCACCCCACCCCCACCCCCACCCCCACTCCCACTATATATATATATATATACATATTAAGGATCTTTTATTTTATTATTTATTAATTAGGGTTTATTATTAAGTTGTTGTCATATTTTGTTTTCTTCGTTGCGTTTTGGACGACACAGAGAATGCAGATTTGGAATGTCGACATTCAAGAACAGGACATTATAGTTATTATATTAACTATTATTATCATACATTATTAAATAATTATTTGTTGTGGGTGTCTCCACACTTGAGATCCAACTTCAACATGCATGCATTTCTTAATTCTTGAAGCTCCGTATTGTGAAATTTAAAAAAAAAAAAAAAAAAAAGATTTTTAGAGTTTTTAAAATTTTAGAAATGTAAAAAAATTAATATTTAATGTGATTTTTGTTAGAAAAAAATATTTTTAATGCAATATTTTTTATTTAAAGTGATATATATATATTTGAAGTGATATTTGATTGAATAAATGATTGATAATTATATTTTTTGAAAAAAAAAAATAGTAAGAATTGCATAATAAAAAAATAATCTAAATCAGTAAATCTCTATCCACCCTTAACCTCATCTATGCATACAAATATTATTAAGGTCGATTCCATGTATTAATAATCATTATTTAGTTGGATTATTTACAAGTTTAATTTAATTTAATTTATTTTTCTTTTCCTTTTTTTTTTTTTTTTTGGAGGCACTCTTCTTGCACTTGACTTTTTATTTAAGATTGTGGTCCTGCTTTTTATCCCACCTCCAAATGTTGGATATTTTATCAGTTTTGCATTTAGGTGAATATTTTTATTTATTTATTTTATTAGGAATAGTCAATGGGCCAGTTTGGCATGTTCTAAAATTGTCCAATTATATATGAATGAGACTCCACACTGTAATTTTGCAGTAATGCCAATAGGCCATGTTCACGGGTCTGTTTGTTTCTGTTCTAAAATATTTTACCGTAAATTGCATAGTCGAAACACACACGACATATTTTACCTTAGATTGTCACCGTGCCAATGTCACGTGTGAAGCATCGACTATTTTACGACACCGCCACAACCCGGTAGCATCGAAACTCCGGTCCCCTTGCGAGCTGCATTCGATATTTTACGATAACTTCATGCTCCGGCGCGCGCATCTCCGGGACTCATGCACTCACCGGAAAGTTTCTTCGATAAGCGGCGAGCCATGATCACAACACATATCGTCGACATTTTTTGAATCAACGGCTACACAATTTTTCATCCTCTTATTCCTTGATATAACGTTCGACTCCTTCATCAACGCGATATACTTCTCCCTCACATTCGCCAAGGGGTGTGGCTCAATTGCCAATTTATCACAATAGGCTTCTTTAAGAATCGCCGTGCACGTTTTGTTGTTGAACGACAAGTAGAATATATGAGGATGTCTCTCGAACGCCTTGTGAACCTTCTGCGGCAACCCGAACCATTTCCTCAAGCTAAAGAGCGATTTCCTCTCGGCGGCGTGCTCGACGAAGAGACACAGCAATTCGTGGAGCAAACCCACCACCCGTTTCTCGGAGATATCGCTGTCGGGATTCAAATGCGAGGAATCGTCATAGGGAGACACGTACGGAAGCCGTTGGAATTCGTTCGACCAATCTTTAATCTTCTTCTTCAACCTCAGCCCTTTCGAGGGAAACGATGGAAACGCAATCCCCTCGTCGGTTCCCCCATTGTAGACCCCTTTCTTCATCGCATTCTTCTGCATCACAGACAAGATTCGATCACTTTTTATATCGTTGAATTGTTCAAGAACAGCCAGCCCCTTCAATCCATCTCCCATATCCACAATCCCGAAATCTCCATATCCTTCGACGTAATGTAAAGGGTCTTCCCAAAACGTATCGGGCAAGCCCAAGTACCACCGTAACCCTTTTATTACCTTCAGCGGAAGAACCTTTCTAGAACCACTCATCAGAATCAACTTCTTCAATCTCAAAACAATTTCGCATCTAAATTCGTTGTAGATCATCCTTTCTTCTGTATCAAGGTCGATCGCTTTTTGAGTCAATCGAAACCAAGGTAGATCGTAATGAGGCCCTTTGAACTCCTCGAAGAAGGAGGGATAGCTCCTCAAGAACCTTGCTACTTTCATGCTGATGCCGAAGTCTGAGCCTCTCTTGGAGATAGCTGAAATAGGAATTGAATAATTATCTTGCGGAGATGATGCAGATGATATAAAGAAATTCTTCACAGAAATGACAGGCTTGAGTTCAAGCGATCTGTGAATCGAATCAATGGAGTCGAAGTAAGGGTCCTTTTTCCATTTCATGTACACCTCCACATAAGTTCGAATCTGAATGTAGGAGCAACGAGTTCGATGATGGTTAGAGAAGAAGAACATTTCAATTGGCCAAGAGCAAACACTGAATTTCCGACGAAGCATTTCCATCCCAAATTACCTCAGAAAGTTGAACCAATCGCTGCAGAATCATAGCATCCATTACCCCGTCTTTCCCAAGCATTCAGCTTCGACTTCCTCGCCCATCGGACTGAATTCCTCAATCAAAGCTTCGATATTAGGATTGGCGCAGAGCAAACACTGAATTTCCGACAAAGCATTTCCATCCCCAAATAACCTCAGTAAGATGAACCAACAGCTGCAGAATCAAAGCATCCATTACCCCATCTTTCCCAAGCATTCATCTTCGAATTCCTCGCCCATCGGACTTCATCCAACTCATCATCGTCCAAAGGAACATAAATACTGTTATATGTATCTCAGTTGATACATAAGAACTGCCAATGTAAATGTAGGAACAATCCTGCAAGGTAAGGGCAGAATACTTTCATTTCAGCTGATTGAATAATGACATTATCGATCAAACCTAATGTTTTCAAAAGATAAAAAGAAAAAAATTGCAATATTCCTCAGTACTATGTTATGTCAATTGTTCGACCGTTTTGTTACTAAATGCAAAAGTTCTTATCCTCTCATAATGATTTAAGAATTTCAATGGACAGCAAACAAGCCAAAACGATAGGCAGGCATTTTTATTTTTTTGGAGTATTCATCAAAATTACTATTCAATCTAACTCAAATACAGCAAACGTATCAAAACCTAATAGGAACTAAACAGAAATCTTCGGCAAAACAGCAAACAAGATGTCTTTCGGATTGAAATTGAAATAGCACCACACACATCAAAATTTAGCATAATTCAGAGTAACTCGGCAAGATAGCAACCCGACCATATTAATTTGAAAATTATAACAGCACAAAAAATTCAAAATTAGTGCAGGGATTGAACTTACAAAGCCTCCGACGAGGTCGAAGAAGAAGAATACGTCTTGAATAAGATGGACGGGGCGCAGGTGAAGCGGAATAAGAAGAAGACGATGACGATGACGACGGCGAAGATGAAGGCGGTCGGAGACGGAGGAGGAGAAGCCGAGTCGAGATCATTGAGCAGAGAAAAGCAGTCCAATAGGCTTTGCCTTTGGGTCGACCCGACCCGCTCGGGTGGGTTGACCCATCCCAACCCATAGCCCGAATGGGTTAGCCCGTTAAGATCCAACTTCTATCACTTGGACCATTGCAGCACAGCCCACTTTGGCAATGAAAAATTTGTGCCACATAAAAATAATAACAAAGTATCTAATTATTTTACATAAAAATATCGAAATATTCATTTTGAAGTTTTAAGTTGATTTATAGAAGATCATTATTTGATGAGAAATGAATAATAAATATGAAAAAATTATTTTTTACTATACATTAAAAATTCTTCTTAAAAAGTATTGTGTTAAAATTAATTTATTTGACGTAAAATATAGAAAATTGTATAAATAATATAAAAATATTTTTTAAAAAAAAACACGTCCGTAAGAATAAATAAATAAAATAATTGGTTAGTTTTCCAATTATTGGATCTGCACTTTTGTAATAAATATTAATTAGTATCGTTAAGTTAGCTTGGTAGCTAGACGTATCTTAACCATATCTTATTAATTAAAAATATTATTAACAAAATATAAAATAAAATCTCATCGGATAATAGTTGCCAGATAATCAGACAAGTTGTCAAATATATAAATTAATACATGACCACGATCTGAAAATATAATAATTATATATATAACACATAAATATATTAAAATATTTGATGGAGGCTTTTCTTTTATCATTATATATATTGTTGTTATTTACACTTATGTATCAAAAGATATTGAAATATGAAAATTCAATAATATAGACGTGAATGTTTATATATATTTTTTCAAATATTTAAGTATAATTCATTATTAGGTCATCTCCCCTCCACTCCATTTTTGCATTTGCTATAGCAAAAATGCATCTACCGTAATTTTATTCCAATCATAAACTTTAAATTTTTACTCTAGAAAGAATATTCACCATATATTCTTTTTTTATATTATTTTATATAACTTTTTATATTTATAAATTATACTCAAATTTTAGTTTATTTTTACGTTAGATCTATACACATATAATTTATAAATTATTTAAGAATTACAAGTTGTAGATGACCTTACATATATAACATCTCTATATTTAGTACAAAATTTTACAAGATAACAATCTTAATTATGAGCATTTTCTATGTTTATACTTAAACACTTATTCAATTGGAACCTATATATTAATATAATAAAATTGAGGGTTCGATTTTATTTGATTTTGATTTGAGTCTTTTTTATTTCAATAGTAAGTTATTTAATATTTCATCGTAAAAATAATATATATTTATTAAAAATCGAACTGAATAGTATTGATTTAATTTTGAAATTCAAAACAAACACATTAGACAATTTAAAATTTTATAGAAAAATTGGAAGATTGTAGGGTATGTATAAAAAAAATGTGTTTTTTTCGAAAACTTTAGAGTCCAACTAGAAAAATTTTAAAAATTTTAGTTAAAGAAACAGGCTTTAGTATTCGAACAAAAAACACACTTTTTGAAAAAAACAAAGGCAAAATAATAAAATTTGAAAGTTTTCAGTTTATTTCTTTAACATCAAATTTTTAAAATTTTACTATTTGAATTATATAATTTTTTTTCTTATAAAATATCACATCATACATTATTTTAATATGAAATAATAAAAAATAAACCAAAAGGAACAAACTTATAGGCTATAGCAACCTAAAAAAACTCCAAATCTGAATCGATAATATCCCAAAACATATTTTGAAAATCAATCTCGAAAGAAAAGAAAGACAAGAAAATATATTTTGAAAATCAATCTGTGATATATGTTTACTTTTATTACAATTCAAGAATCAAGAAGATAACATACATATCTATATCTATATATATCAGCTGTACGGATTCCTAGAAGAGATTCTGTACTTCTGTAATGGAATCATATCATATCTGCTTCAGATTCCATCATCTCTCTCAATACAACCATCCTTTCCCCCTACTATCATTTACATCTTCATATATATATATATCTATATCATAAATTAAATTTGCCTCAAAAGGTCATTCTTACAAACTTCTCTTGCAACCCTAGCTACCAATCACAATTACTATTTATAGTTAATTAGTTCCTAAGAGAGATTAACAATGGCGGCGGCGGCGGTGGCGGCGGCGACGGAGACGGCAATGGTGGCGTCGGAACCTCAATTTCATGTATTAGCCGTTGATGATAGCATTGTCGACAGAAAATTAATCGAGAAACTTCTCAAGACTTCTTCTTTCCAAGGTATATTACTTTCCAAGACTTCTCAAGGGTTCTCAATTTCATATATATTACTTCATTGTCCACGAAAATTAGCACACTTTGGTCGATACGAGAATTAAAAAATTGATAAAAATAAAGAGTTAGTTGATAGTATTTTTAAAAATTTATTTATAAATTAAAATAAATGAAGAGATAGAATGAAATAAAATTAGGAGTTTTTTTTTTTTTTTGTAAATAAATGTCATGGAGAAAATATTTATATTTATATTTACATTTTTATTTACAAATTATTCATTAGTACAGTAGTTTTTTTTTATTAGTATTTGTATTTGGGATTTTGAATTTTTAATAATGTAATTTATTATGTTCAGTTACTGCAGTGGATTCTGGATTGAAGGCCTTGAAATATTTGGGGTTAATCGAGGATGACCAGATCAATGCTAATAACGAATCCAATATTCCACTCTCTGCCTCCGAGAATAATAATGTAATTATCTATTTATTTATTTATTTTTATTATTATTATTATTTTTTTTTTTTTTTATTTTTATCACGTGGGAACCCAATATGCTACCCGCCAAATCTAAATATTATTTATTACTAACATATAGACTATTTACTAATTGCTAATACATCTAATTTCTATATACGTTCAGGAAGTAGAAGTCAACTTGATCATCACAGATTATTGCATGCCAGGGATGAATGGCTATGATCTTCTTAAAAAAATTAAGGTACTCTAGATTCAATGTATTTGTACTTTCAACTACTATAAATTATCCTAATATATATATATTACAACGCTGAGTTGTTTAAAGTTAACAAACAATAATAATTGATTTTTTCTTAAAAAAAAATAAAAATTCAGGAATCCAATTCGGTGAAGGATATTCCGGTGGTGTTAATGTCGTCGGAGAATATTCCGGCAAGGATCAATAGCTGTCTGAAGGAAGGGGCGGAAGAGTTCTTTCTTAAACCAGTGAAACAATCTGATGTGAATAAGCTGAGGCCACATTTGATGATGAGAAAGAAGAGGAAAGCCGACGACGATTGCCATAAGAGCAGAAAGCCAATGGAGGAAATTACTACAGTGTAAATTAAGAAATCCACAAATTTATTAATTAACATCGACTAGGGTTTGTAGATCGATCACCATCATCAATTTTGTCCAAAGAACGAAGAAGATCCATTAGTTAGGAAATGTTCATAGGGTTTAATGATTTCATATTGACACACACATGTATTTCTGTTTGTTAAAAAAGTATTTTGGCATTAAAGGAAACAAAAATGCTAAAAATAATACTTTAAAATGCAAAAGAAATAATATCATTAATATGAACTGTGCAAATATTAACATTTATTTTATAACCATATCCAACATTTTCTTTCGTCTAAACAATATACACAAGATACATACATAACAAACATTATAAGAGCTAGCAATTTTGTTCATATATACTAAGATACAACAACTTTTTACAACAAAAAAAATAGTCTTAATCTCACTCGTTGCGATCATTGTGTTAGCGGGACGCATTCGAGCTCGATCTCTAACACTCCCCGTTCGACGTTCTGCAATTTGATCGATATTTCTTGCTTCACCTTCCCGTCTTCGAAGCTAATCACCCCGTCTTTAACCAGCGTATTCTCTTTGCTCGCTTTCCACGTCCCGAGTTGGGTTGACTCATTTATCAACGAGCTCTCTGAAGCCTTCGCCGCCGAGAGCAATGGCTGGATATCAATCTCCGCGCTCCCCATAAAATCATCCGTCGTGAACTTATCCTTGTCATAAACTAGCTGTCCCGACAAAAAAAAAAAGTTCCTTACCTCTAAAAAGCTTGATTACTGAGCAAATTTTGTCATCGAAAAGATTCATACTTACCAGCTTGAGAGGAGGTATGTTCTCCGGGATGGAGAACATTAGGCTTTCGTTCCAAATGGGGTTGAGGTTATTCTTTATAACGCGTGTCTTCATCGACTGCACAAAAAAGGCGCCCTTAAATGGGGATGTTCCAAGGCATAATAAAATGAGCGAGCGAGCAACCTGATTTCCGAGTGTGAGCATCACATAAGGATCGCTCGTCATCATGTCTCGGACAGCTAAGTTGGTGCCCTTAACGATATTAACCTTAATAAGTCCAACAAACTCGACCATACCTGCCTACACATGATATATCACAAACCGGATACGTTAAGCATTGTCAAGGAAATCGTTAAGCTTTTACATACGGCACAAGATTTATTACCATTGAGTTGCTCTTCTTGGAAGACTTGTGGTCTGCTCGTCTCCAGCTATTACGGAACGCTAGCCCGATACTTTGAATGCCTTTACTAGTCGACTGCTTCTCGTAGTGCTTCTTATCAGCAGTGCCGTTGTCCAAAGAACTGGAATGATCGTTCGTTGGGAATGGAAACGGGCAAGAAAGCTGTGTTTCTGGATTGATGAACTGTTGCAGTTCATATTTCCTCCTGATCATCGAAAGGGGGAGATACGATAGCTCGTTTCAGAAATAAGGAGAAAAAATGTTCGATAAAAGTTGTCGTGGTGTGTTACCTAATGAAGTCGTTGCGCTCATCCGAAGATGAATCTGGTTTTGGTTTCTTATAATTAGCAGGAATGTGAGCCTCATATTTTAAGTTCACCACAGTGTTTCCACCGATTTCAGCTAGAGTATCGACTTGCTCATCAGTCCATTCATCGAGCTTCACCGACACAACCTACAAGATAAGAGCTGAGATAGATAAGTCGAAAACAGGGTAGTCGAAACTAGTTTGAAGTATAGAAGGAATCCACACCTTTGATATATGCACTCCCAGACTTCTATGTACTCCAGAACATTTTATGCAGATGAATGCTCCGGTTGTCAAGGATCTGATCGGCATCAAAGATCGAGTATAAATTTATAGAACACCATAAACAGGATGAATAAATAGACATCGCAGAAAGCGCCACATTGCACATCACACCATCGGGACTAAACAAAAGACTTTAGAGAAAAAAATGCTACAGACGAAAGTGCAAAATGAAAAGGGATTGTTGCAGAATGTATGATAAAAATGGAGTTGCTAAGGTGCTGCGGCGACGAGGACTTACACCCATTTTGGATCCGGCGCACCACAGTCGGCACAGACTCTGTTGCCATCTTCAGATAACAGACCCTTCAGCCTCATTTGCGGACCTCATTGACAGAAAAGCCAAAGATAAATAAAAAGGATTCAAACATGTTTCTGATATCATTCCTTTATAAGCCTCTTGTGAATTCTCTAAACTTCTTCGGTTGATTTTTACAGTGACAGGACAATGTAAAGTTAAAAAATTCAGATGCCATTGCATACTTATGATCTTCAAGCATTATGTTTCTTCCCAGGACATCAAATAGTTAGTCTCCATGATTAGTAGCAGATTGAATTCAGGTAAAACAAGATTTTGGCACACCATACATAACATGGAAACATTCAAGAATTAAGTGTTGAAACAATAAGATCACTTACTGGAAATGGAGTTGAACAAATCCCTTGAGGACTGGCTATTCCAATTCGAAGAGGCTTCCCTTTGCAACAGGTCAGAGAGACAAAGCCCTGATTCAGAGTTTGTAGGTGGCTTCACTATGCTCCCTGATTCATGGATTGCAGCAGGAGGCGGCTTCCCTATGCACCCGGATTCATGGGTTGCAGCAGAAGGCGGCTTCCCCTTCACTTTGCACCCTGATTCAGGGATCGAAGCAGAAGATGGGTTCTCCTTCATTATGCACCCTGGTTCAAGGGTAGCATCAGAAGACGGCTTCCCTATGCACCCTGACTCAGGGATCGAAGCAGAAGATGGCTTCTCTTTCACTATGCACTCTGGTTCAGGGTTAGCAGCAGAAGACTGCTTCCCTATGCACCCTGATTCAGGCGCCGCGGCAGAAGACGGTTTCCCCTTGACTATGCACTCTGGTTCAGGGGTAGCAGCAGAAGATGGCTTCCCTATGCACCTTGATTCAGGGATCGAATCAGAAGACGATCTCTCCTTCACTTTGCACCCTGATTCAGAAGTCGCAGCAGAAGATGATTTCCCCTTCACTTTGCAAGGGGTTGCAGTAGAAGACGATTTCCTCTTTATTTTGCACCCTGATTCAGGGGTCGCAGCAGAAGAATGTTTCCCCTTCAGTTTGCACTCTGGTTCAGGGGTAGCAGCAGAAGATGGCTTCCCTATGCACCTTGATTCAGGGATTGAATCAGAAGACGATTTCCCCTTCGATTTGCACCCTGATTCAGGGGTTGCAGCAGAAGACGGTTTTCCCTTCGCTTTGCATTCTGGTTCAGGGTTAGCAGCAGAAGATTGCTTACCTATGCACCCTGGTTCAGGGGTAGCAGAAGAAGACGGTTTCCCCTGCACTACGCCCCCTGATTCATGGATTGGAGCAGAAGACAGCTTCCCTATGCAACATATAATTTATACTTAAGATTTTTCATACATAAACAACACATATGTTCACCCAAGCAATAAATCATTCTACTGATAATCCTTGAAGCATACTTGAAAACCAAAATATATACTTCAAAACAACTCCCAATTGTCATCCCTGCATTAAGCACCTAAGAGCTTGCTTAAGACATGGAATTAACTTTTATGTTATGAATCCGGAGAGCATATGCTCCAACAATATACAGGCTAAGTAAATAATGTACACCAAGAATTCAGGCTGGAAAATCATTTTCCCAATATATAGCAAATAGCAAATTCAAATAGGAAAAGGCTTCATGTTAATGCAAAATCCTTCACATCCCATGCCTTCAATATTACTTAATTTCTCAGGCTGATTTAAAATATCCCCAGGCAGCTGCTAATTACATTAAAACGAGACTAAACTACCGTAGAGAACTTATCATCTCCAAAGAAACAAACAGAGATTACCTGTATTATGGTTATTGTCATTATTATTATTATCTCGTACGCACGCTTTCTGTTGTATCTTGTTCGGCTCGGCGACAGACATTTTAAGCTTCAGCAATGCAATCCCCAATGAGAATCACAAAACACCCATACGAACAGTATATTTTGCCCTCTTTCTCTGCAGTGTAATTTAGAAATGAGTCGCCATTGAGAATTCAGGATATTCAAAGGACGAAGAAATTGTAACGAACACACAGCAATAATTAGGGCAAAACAACCAAAAACTAGACAGAAAATAACTAAAAACAATAATAATAACAATATTAAGAACAACAAAACAAAAGCATCGATCGATCACCAATCCATTCGCAGCTAGCTAGCTTAGGGCATGAGATTCATTGAAATGATAAAAACGTCGCAGCAGCAGCGCTTGGCGAATGAACGGAATAGGGCGATGTTTGGCGATTGAGCAGTTGATCGTTCGTTGGATTGCTTCGATTTGGAAATCCGATTTACTCAAAATCCACATTTGATTTTGGTGGTTGCCATTGCCAATTACTCTGCGTCGATAATTCAATGCCATTCCATTCCATGTTTCTATTTTAGTTAAAGAATTAATATATATACATATATAACACACAAACGGATAATATATAAAAAAATAATAAAAGTTAACTTACAACTGTTAGGCGGGTATACCACAAAAACGGATTCTACATAAAAAATAATAAAAGATAACTTATTACTGTTAGGCGGGAAAATAATATATATATATATATATATAACACCGATAATATATTAAAAAATAATAAAAGATAACGGATAACCGTTAGTGGAAAAGTAATAATATTAAATTAAAAAATAAACCCTCGTGGTCACATCCCTTCTATATATATATACACACACGTACGTTGAGAGACAAAAATTGTGCTATTTCAGTACCTAGAGAACTTTTCCACACGCTAAGAGGTATGTACTTAGGGTGTGTTTATTTTGTGAGTTTGGTGGAAAATTGACACGGAAGTATAGAAAATTTTGTAGAAAAATATAAAAATAATGAATATGTACAGTGTATTAATTTTTTTAAAAAAATATTAGAACAAAAATTATAGAAAGAACAAACCTCGTTTTTCTTTGGAAAAATCTTTGTCCGTTTTTTCTTTTCTTTCTTCCTATAGACGAATTTATTAGAGAATCTTTCTAATTTTTTATTTTTCCTTATGTGCTCTTTCTTTAAAGAATATTCTCTTTTCTTCCATTCCTAAAGAAGTTTCCTCATTCTTTCCTTTTTTGTGTCCGAATTTAAAATTTTTCTTGAAAAAATCTTTCTTTCTCTTTTATTTCCTTTTTTTTTCTATGTGTGAAATTGAAATAAAAAATCATTTTCTCTCTTTATTTCTATGCACAACTTGTATTCCACCAAAATAGTTTAGAGGAATAGCCTAGCAATGTGAGGGGTGAACTTGTTACCGTGAGATCATAGATTTAAATTTTTATTGTCTTCAGGTCACTTGCCATAAATGGTTCGCCTAATGTAACTTGATTTGTCGAGCCTAGCGCACGATTAGAACCTCATTAGTTCCGTCATTGTCCAAAATGCAAAAATAAAACATGGAGAGGATATATTAGGAAAAATTTGGAAGTTGAAGATATCTTCAATGTGATATTAAATAACTAAAAAGAAAATCATCGCTTTTGTAAATAAAATAATAAAAAATAAATTAAAAACTATTTTTAATATGATGTTTTTAATGAAATAATTTTGGTTTAATATTTAAAAATTACAAATAAGAATTTTCGTCACTTTTATTATTATTATTGAATTTCAATTGTAAAAATTATTTGAATAGTATGTTTTATTAAGGGGTTTGCTTGGTTTTGATTTGATTGGATATGAATTTTTATTTAAATAATATTTTGATATAATATTTTATAAAAAAAATACTATTAAATTGTATTGATTTGTATTTAAATTACAAATCAAACACACCCCTTATATTTGACTATTATTATAATTATTATTATGGTTGTTGTTGTTATTTAAATTAAATTCTTAATTTCGGCGTGATAGCATATAATTTTTTTAAATTGGTTTACAACAGTCGTGAGAATGCATGCACTGCTTTTTGAAAACTCAAATTAATTTCCTCAAATTCTCCCGATTCCTTTCCTCTTCTGAAAACCCTAATAAATAGAATGCATGATCAACGGACCAATAATATTTTATAATTTTATTTTAATTCTAGTTATAATCTGAAAACTATAAATTTTCGATATATAATATGATTTTATATTAATCTTTATCTTTTGATACGCATGCATGCAGACTCCATTTCCGATTTTCCAGCTTTCAAGAACATCGTCAACAACGAAGATGGCATTTCAACAATATGTATATCCTTACCCGTACATGCAAGAATTCCAACACTTTCTCGTGATCGATTTTGAGGCCACCTGCGACAAAGGGAAAATTCTTCATCCTCAAGAGATAATGGACTTCCCGTCACAAGTTGTCTGCAGCATTACCGGACTTCCAATCACTAGCTTTCAGACATATGTCCGACCAACTAACAATCCGACATTAACGGATTACTGCAAGGAACTTACCGGAATACAACAAGATCAGGTTCTTGTATATTCATATTATGTCCAAATATATGTTAACGTTTTATTTTTTACTTTGATCTCATTATTTGTTGGCTTTTTAGGTCGAACGTGAACTTACATTGGACAACGCTATCTTACTACACGACGAATGGCTTCAGATGATGGGAATAAAAAACACTAACTTTGCTGTCGTAACATGGTCTGATTGGGATTGTCGAGCCCTACTTGAAACTGAATGCCGAGTCAAGAACATTTACAAGCCTCCTTATTTCAATAGGTATCCTTTTGTCCTCTAATGTTCGTCATTGAACATATCCTTAACATAAAATTAAAGTAATCATTTTATTTTTTTTTTCCGTGTAGATGGATCAATTTGAGGGTTCCGTTTCACAATATCTTTGGCGGGCAAGCGTGTAAATTGAATGAAGCTGTCGAGAAGGCCGGCTTAAAATGGGAAGGTCGTTTGCATTGTGGTCTTGACCACGTGAAGAACATTGCGCGGCTTTTAGCATTGCTCATTCATAAGGGTTACAAACTTTCGATCACCAACATGCTACCCTACAACTCAAGTGATCCTGCGCCGTTGTGCAATTGTGGGGTTAAAAGCAATAAATCGATGGTTAGGAAACATGGGCCGTGGCAAGGAAAATTCTTTTTCGGATGCGGGAATTGGACTCCGGCGAGAGGTGCTAAATGCCAGTTCATGAAATGGGCTATTGAATGAGCTAGTTGTTGGGTATGAGTTCGTCATCTCTTCATCTACTTTTTCATCTATTAGAATTAATACATCTGTCGTTGTTTGCAGCTGTTGTAGATCTGTGCTGTGCGATTTTGGTGCCCTAGATTGGACGGCTGTGATTGATTTGACGAAGGATCGAGAATCTTCTTCTTCTTCAGCAACTTAGTATATACATAGGCTACTTATGGTTTTCTTTTTAGGGTTTTTAGGCTTGTTATCTGGATATATATATATATATGGACGTACAGTACCTCTTCCTCAATAACAAATTTGGACGTGTTTGTGTTTAGGGAAAGAACGTGTTTGGCTTTGGTTTTTATTTGAATTTTGGGATGAATTTAGATTTTGATGTTTCTTTTGTGTTTAAGTTTGATTGGGGTTTGAAGAGTTTTGATTTGTATTGATTTGATGGATTATGAATAAAATAATATAAATGTTAATTAAATTTAATTGATAAAATTTATATTGTATGATTTGATTATGATTTATATTATACCCAACATATATATATTTAAATTTTTATTTATTTATATTATAGAAAATTTTATTCTCTATACAATAGCATATATATATTGTATATATATATATATTTTTCATTTAATTATAATAAATATTAAATAAAATTTTAATTTTTTTTTTAAAAAAAAACATATGATTTTGCGCGCAATTTATTGTGGACAATAATTGGACAGTAAAATGAAGCTAAACTCTTGGAGAAACATACCCAAAATTCTATTATATATATATATATATATACACACAATTTGTTTCTTTTTAAATATGAACTAAATCGAAAAATATTGAAACTGGTTAAGATACTTTGGTTTCATTTGCCTAAAAAGAAATTTAAACAAAAATACTCCTTCCGTCCCAGATACCATATCCACGTTGTTTCTGTCCGTCCCACATGCCATGTCACTTTTTTTTTTTTGGAAAATGATTACATACTTTAATCTCATTTTAAATTTTTTAATTTTAATTAAACTAATTAGTTATCTTAATCTTAATTTATAATTATTTATATTATATGATAATTATTTTTACTAATACATTTTTAATTATCTACTAATTACATTCCTCCTAAAATACCGTATCTACAGTGTAGCAGAGACGGTATCTGGGAGGAAACAAGAACTCTACCAACGCTTATTGCCAATAGTTCCTACGTTCACAGCTCAGATTTTTCCAACAGATAGGCTCGGAGGATTACTAAACAAACAAACCCTTTTAGTTTTAGTTTCAATCGAATTTGGATGGGAAAAATGAAAGGAAATTTGAATTAAAAATGGTTAAACTTAATACCCATTAAAATTTGTCTTTTATTTTGAACAAATATCATTTTTGTATATCAAAGCGAAAATATTTGAGTTTAGAATAATCACTATATAATTATAAAGATTTAATTCTATCATATGGAGAAAAGAATGAGATCCCTACGTGCATTATTATGGACAAACCCATACTTCTATTTAAAAAATAAAAGATTTAATTTGATTGGACTAAATTATAAATATATACGTACAATAGGAAGTTTCGGGAAGATTGATTTGATAGATGTATTTAATAAAATAATATTATTATTAAAAAAAAAAAAAAAAACTATACATTTTTAAAATATGAAATCTAAACCGTAAAAATAGAGAAATAATAAAATTTTAAAAATAGATGAATTAGTTTTTTTTTTAGTCTATCGTGTGATATTTTAGTACCATAAATAAATTTAATGTAGAAATTATTTTACAATTTAGAAATTTCAATATATATATATTTGGTACCATAGTTGCATATGTTGCACTCTTGCTGTGGTCTGCCAACTAGAGGTGAACAAAATATCCGAAATTCGAAAATTCAATCGGAATCAAATTGAAATTTAAAATTTGATTCGGATTTTCGGATTGAATTTTTAACAAATTTCGAATTTTCGGATCGGATCGGATCGGATCGGTATACTTAAAATTCGAACCAATTCGAAATCTGAAATATAACATTTTAATATATCTTTTTTATTATATATATTTACTATGTTATTAGAAAATAGTATATTTTAATATAAAAAACTCAAATTTATTAATTATATTTTAATATATTTAATTTTTATATATTATATATATCTAATATTATAAAATAATAATAAAATATAAAAGAAATTTAAAAATTAAAAAAAAAAATAAAAATATTTAGAATTTCGAATTTTTTAGTTCGGATTACAGATTTCGGATTTCGGATATTTTATTCTGTTCAAATTGATTTTTTCAAAAATTTTGAATTTTCGAATTGGTTCGAATTTGGCAAAATTCGAACCAAAAATTCAAATGCTCACCTCTGCTGCGAAGTGCGAAGTGCACAAAGGATGCCTCATACCCAATAAATAAATTTTACTATAAAATTAACAACTAATATAGTCAATAAAAGCCAATGAGACACTCACAATTTTCCATATTTAATAAAATAATAATAATGATAACAATAATAATACACTATGCAAAACCATTGTGTTTCTTTTTATTGATTTAGAAAAAAAATTAATTTGAATTTAGCATTAAAATAATATTTGGTGGAATATTTTGTATGAAAAATATATATATATATTTAAAAAATATTGCAAAATTCAAATAATAAAAAAAATAAAAAAATTGATATAATAAAAGAAACAGAGCCTGGATGTGAAAGAAATGGAAGTAGCCTGGAAGCTAATGAATAGATTATAGTATTCGAATATGGTTGATTTATTGGTCAAATATGATGCAACTTATTTTCAATAAAATAAAATAAAATAAATTGCCAACTTGACTGTACCCTCACTGTTACGAACATTTTAAAGGATATAATTTTGTGTGGATATTATACACTCAAATTATTATATTTGTCTAACATTTTCATTTATATATTTACAACTATCTTTTCATTTTGTTCGAATAAATAAATATATAAAGATAAAAGTGAAAACAAAGACCAAGCCGAAAATAAAAATAAAAATAACATGAATAAAATTGCACACAGATTTCTAAAAAGAGATACTAGGATAATACTCCCTCCGTCTCAAACACCCTACAATATTTCTAAATTAAAAAATAATTAATTATATTTAATGTATATCACCACACTTTATCTCATCAGATAAAAAAAATAAAATATACACTTCTCTCTTCGTTATATCACATAATTATTCAATTATCCTACTTAATACTTCTCACCTAAAATTTTGTGCCCAACTTAAATGTAGCACCTTATTTGGGACGAAGGGAGTATTTTTTTAATAATATAATATAATATATATATTTATAATATTCCAACATGAACGCTTTGGCTTAAAAATAAATAAATAAAATAAAAAAAATATGTTTATTTAGATATGTTTTAAGGTTGTGTTTGGCATGAGAAATGAGACCAGAGAAATGAAAATGATATTTCTCTTGTCTGTTTGAGTTAGGTAAATAAAATTTAAAAAATAAATTATTTTTATTTCTCTATTTTTATTTTTCTCTCATATTCAGATAAATTGAAAGAATATAAAAATATTAATATTTAATGGCGATATTTTAAATAAAAATAATAAAAAATTTATTTAATCTAAATTAAAAATATAAATCTAATATAATACTTTCAATAAATATTAATAAATAATGTAAAATTTTGAAAATACTAGTAAACAAAAACATTTATATATATATATAGAATCATTATAAACAAGTTCTTTTTTTTTCAGTATTTTTATATAATAAGATATATTATTTCATCTAGCATAATATGTATTTAAACTACTATTTTAAATAATAATTATAATAATAATAATAATGACAATACTATTTCATAATTGAAAATTCCTCATAATAGAAAGACAAAGTAACACAAGTTGCATGTGTTTGGTAGTGTAGATTTAACATTTTTTTAAATAGACTTTTTACTCCCGGTCTTTTTTTTTTATTTTTTATTTTTTATTTTTTACGTGCGCACTGGATAAACTTCGGCCGAACATAAACCTAATACCTTGCAAACTAGGTCCGACAGGCCACGACCTCACACGTCTTTCTTTAGACTATCACTTATTTATTGGTCAATCATTTTTCCTCTATAAATACACACTAAAGACTACCATTGATGTTCATCACCAAACCATTTTCACTTGCAATCCTTCAAAAGAAATATACAAATAACAATCTCATTTCCAAGATGAATTCAAAAATAGGGCTGAATCTGATAATAGTTTCTCTTGTTCTTGTTTTTGTTATAATGATGGGTAAAACCGTTGCAACTGATCTCAACAAAACTCCGTTCCACCACACTCGATCCAACGGTAAGTATAAAATACTTCGTGAATATTAATAATGTAAACTTTGATTTTATGTTTATGTTCTAAACTTTATGTCATTTGATTTTTAAAAGTAGGCAATCATGGCTCAGAAAGGATTCCCGAAGATCTATTGGGTGAATCGAAGCCCATTTTTAACTTTCAAATTTTAAGGAAATTTCTTAGTAGCAGGCCGAAGAACATCCCGATATCAATTTGGTGCCAAAAGTGCTATATGAGGTTCAAAAGGAAGTGTTGTTAAACACAGATCAGTTGCCGTCGCAAATGTTCTTTATATCATCAGATTACAGAAGAACAAGATGATTCACAATTAATATATATTTATTTCCACTTGTCTTGTTAAGTTTAGTTTGCAGACTATTAGATTTGATCAGAAATTTACTCAAAGTGTACCGAATAACCGCGATTGCGGATAATATATCATTATTGTATTTTATTGTTTTTCTACTTGGAAGAATTAGATAATTTCATGACTATCATGATTGTATTTTTTTTTTTTTTGTTTAAATTCATATTTTTATTATTCAATTTATACCTTGTTAATAAAAATATAATATTATAAATGTACTCTATTTTTTTATAAAAAAAAAAAACTAAATTTTCTGAATGGTGAGTATTTAAATAATATTTAAATAAGAAGTTTAATGAAAATGACAAGTGTTTTTTTTTTTTAATTTGAAAATTTTTGGTTTGAATTTAATATTAAAATAATATTTAATGAGATGTTTTGTGAGAAAAAAAAATATCTTTTTCAAAAATTACATAGTCAAAATAGTAAAATTTAGAAAATTTTAGTTAAAGAAACGTATCTTTAAATTCAAATTCAAATAAAAATCATATAAAATTATATAGTACTGTATAAATTTCAAGATCTGAGGGGTAATTTGCAAATAATATAAAACAAGGGTAAAATTGCAAATAACAAGAGTATATGCCCTGCAGGGCTGCAACTTCGCGCCAATTTTGTGCCACTGAAGACCTAAACCTATCGAACCCTAACCACTGAAAGGAATGGAAGTAGCCTGGAAGCTAATGAATTGGATTATTCGTAGAGTATTTGAATATGGTTTGATTTATTGGTCAAATTTGATGCAACTTATTTTCAATAAAATAAAATAAAATAAATTGCCAACTTGATTGTACCCTCACTGTCCCCAACATTTTTAAGGATATAATTTTGTGTGGATATTATACACAAATCATTATATTTATCCAACATTTTCATTTATATATTTACAACTAAATTTTTCATTTTTTTTTCCAATAAATAAATATATAAAAATAAAAGGAGTGTGCTTTAGGATAAAAGTGAAAACAAAGACTAAGCCGACGAAAATAAAAATAACAGAAATAAAATTGCACACAAATTTCTACAAAAGATATTAGGATAGTATTCAACTAATATAAAACAGAGTATACTATAATATAATATATTTATAATTTTCCAACATGAACGCTTTGGCTTAAAAATAAATATATATATATATATAGTTAGATATGTTTTAAGAGTGTTTTAAAATTTCAGAATGGTTAGAGAATATTAAAAAATTAATATTTAATGTGATGTTTTAAATAAAAAATTATAATAATTTTATTTAATATATATTAAAAATAATATTTTTATAAAATATTAATAAATAGTGTAAAAATTTGAAAATACAAGTAAAGGAAAACACTTATATATATAATCATTATAAACGAGTTCTGTTTTTTTTTCAAGTTTTTTTAATATAATAAAATATATTCAGTCTATTCACAAGCTATTTTTTATAGAATAATTTTTCATAAATATTATTAAAAAATATAAATATACACACATTAATACAATATATATTATTTCATCTATCATAATATGATAATTAAACTACTATTTTAAATAATAATAATGACAATACTATTTCATAATTGAAAATTCCTCATAATAAAAAGCCAAAGTAACACAAGTTGCATGTGTTTGGTAGTGAAGATTTAACATTTTTCTAAATAGACCTTTGACTCACGGGTCTTCTTTAGACTATCTCTTATGTATTGGCCAATCATTTTTCCTCTATAAATACACACTAAAGACTACCATTGATATTCATCACCAAACTATTTTTACTTACAATCCTTAAAAAAAATATATATATATATATACAAATAATAATTTTATTTTCACGATGAATTCAAAAATAGGGCTGAATCTTATATCAGTCTCTCTTGTTCTTGCTTTTGTTATAACGATGGATAAAACCGTTGCAACCGATCTCAACAAAACTCCGCTCGACCACACTCGATTCAATGGTAAGTACAAAATACTTTCTAAATATTGATTATCTAAACTTTGATTTTATGTTTCTGTTCTAAACTTTTTGCTATTTGATCTTTAAAAGTAGGCAATCATGGCTTAGAAAAAATTCCTGAAGATCTATTGAATGCATCCAAGCCCACTTTCAATTTTTCAAATTTAAGGAACTTTCTTGGCAGCAGACCGAAGAACATCCCAAAATCAACTTGGTGCCGAATGTGCTATATGAGGTTCAAAAAGAAGTGTTGTTAAACACAGATGAATTGATATCTCAAGCGTTCTCTATATCAAATTATGAAAGAATATGATGATTCATTATTGATATATATTTTTTCATTTTTATTTTTATTTGAATATGTACCCATCATAATTGTATTTTATTGATTTTCTAATTAAAAGAATAAGATGATTCATAATATCATAATCGTATAAGCAACACATTTTGCGTAGTTATTTGTATTTTTTTTATTTTTTACTTTGAGCTTTCTTTGTTTGAATTTAATTTTTTTAATTCAATTTATTCATTTTTAATAAAAATATATATTTAAAATATTATACTCTCTCCAGTTAAAAGATAATCCTTTTTTTTTTTTTATAAAGATACCAAAAAAATAGATTAAATTTTCTGAAAGTGGAATATTAAAATACTATTTGAATAAAAAATTTAATGAAAAAAATTCAAATTCAAACAAAAGACAAACAAAATTATAGTAGTATAATATAAATTTCAAGATTGTAAGGGGTAATTTGTAAATTATATAAATAAGGGGTAAAATTGCAAATAACAACAGTTGCCATATACCCTGCAAGGCTGCAACTTCAAATCGGGGAACCCCCGCGCCAATTTTGTGCCACTGAAGACCCTAAAACTATCGAACCCTAACCTCCCCCCCCCCCCCCCCCCCCCTCTCAAATCCACGTTGGGTCATGGAGAATCAGAAGAAGGTGGCGTGCTCGGAGAACGAGCAGCTGGCCGCTTATTTACTGAACAAGCGGCAAGAACTCGCGCTGAGTACCAAAGGCATTTCGGAGAACATGGATATGACTCTTTCCAAGGCGTATTCCAACATTTGTAATTGTAAAACCCCGATAAAAACCATGAAGGACTTGTACCAAATCAAGTGAGTGAAAGAGTGAGATTGTTAGGGAATTTTAATTTCTGTTTTACTTTTTGATTCGTGGAAGTGGCTGATCCTTTTCTTTTGATTCGTTCGGTTCATTTGTTGGACTGTTTAATTTAATTGATTTGTGGGAGTGATATATTGAGAGGGGGTTTCCTATCGCCTACTCACCTGTATGATTGTCTTGAAGAAGATGTTCAATAGCATTCTTGGTCGCTTGAGTTGAATGGTTGTTTATGCTTTAGATTGTTATTTTATTTTATTATTAGTTTTTTCACAGTGAAACAATGAATTTTTTGCAATTTTCCTCTCAAGTACCTTTACTGCTTTTTCATCTTGTAAAGTTGTTAGTAGATTTATGCAATGAGATGTATGTTAATTCAAAGGATTTCACAACAAAACAGATGTTATGACGTTTCCCTTCAAATATATTGCAACATTTTGTTATATCTATTTTGTTCTGAATGTGTATCTTGTAACTGGTAAGTTGACTGTCTAGGCGTTTTCAATATAGTTATTCCAATTCTGGGCAAAACCCTGAAACAAGAAAATATGCACAAATTTCTCATAGGGGTGTTGGCAAGTGGATCTTGAAGCAGATGCAAGGGTTTTTCCAGACAGATTCTGGTCCTTCTGAAAATGATGAGATAGTCAAAAAGGGTAATTCACATAGATAAGCTAAAGCTAGAATGTTTTCTGAAATTCATTTTATTGCTAGGCATGAATTCCTCTTTGTATACGTAATTGCTGGACTTTTGTAGGAAATAAAAACAAGGGACCAAAGCGCTATGTTCCACAGAAGAATTCGGTTGCTTTTGCACTGGTGATTACACTGTTCAGGTAAGTGGTTGCAAAACTAGTTATTCTATGTGCTTATTTTGGTCTTACATTTATCCTTTTTTGAATTATCAACACACTCTGTTCCCCCTTTACTTCAACCCAATATCTGTTGTTATTATTAATTCATTGTCCTTGGAATCAGGGGGACTGAAAGTGGCAGTGACTTTATGCTTAAAAAGGATCTCATAGATGCAGCCGAAATAAGTGGATTGTCTCGTGTACCGATTATGTAATTGCGATGATTAATTAAGGAAGGATCCTTTTTCCTGTTAATTGATACTGCTGTGCTGATGTTCTCTTTATACATCTAGGCCAGAAAAGGGAAAAGGGAAAGCTGGACAATTCGGAAGCACACCAAGGGACTGGTACACTGGATGGAGCTGCATGAAAACACTTATAAATAGAGGCCTTGTTGTAAAATCAAGCTGTCCAGCCAAGTATGTTCACGCTATTTCATATCCTCCTTTGGCGGAGCATTCTATATTGAACCATTTAATGTGGCTTGTCAGTCTTAAGTATTTTCCATGTTATTCAAGCTTTGTTCCTGCCGGAGTTGGATATTGTTAGTTTTTTACATGATTCTAAGCATCCACTTGATTTTATCGTGTGAATGTTAGGTTTTTGTTGGGTCTATTTATCACCAAAGACAATTACAGCAGTAACTGAATTACTTACCACACATAGAAGTGCTGAAGTTGTAGCCTATTCATTTTTGGTTTCATGAACTTCTACAAACAAATTAATTGTGAATTGTAGAGACAATGTGGCACTAAGCATTCCCATGTGCTTTTTATGGTTGTGTATACAGGTATATGTTGACAGATGAAGGAAAGGAAGTAGCACATGAATGTCTTTCGAGATCCGGAATGATTGATACAAATAGAACATTGGGTGGTTCAGAGAAAGACCCAGATATTAATAAAAAAGATAAATCTAGGGTTGGTATGCAAGGGGAGTTGCTAGATTTAACGTGTGACACTGGACCTTTGGCTGAGAAAGAAGCACAACATAATTTGAAGAAACCAAAGATCTCAATAGAAATAGAACCTGAATATCTTGATAAGGTATGTTCAAGCTCCATCTGGCTATTGGCAAATTCTCGTTTCATAATGGTGCAACTTGCAAATTCGTTGCTGTTTCAGGAGTAACTCCTTGATCCTTATTTTCTCATACCTTTTTTTTTTTGCTTTAAAATACCTCTTCCCATTTAAAACAAAAACAAAAACAAAAAAAAAAGGTGAAACTAATGCAATAATAGATTATCTCCAACCTTTCTATGTTTTTTCTTTCAATATTCATTCTAGTTTTATGCGACTCAAAAGTTTATCCCTTTTGATAGTTTACAAGCATGGGGTTTTCTCGGGCACAAGTTATGCGTGCTTTTTCTGAGGCTGTAGAAACATCCAAGAACAAGGAGATGTCTTCCATTTGGCCAACTGTTCTTTGTCGTCTTAGAGAAGAGGAGATCTATGGTTCAACTTCTATATCTAAATCTATTATCAATGACAATGATAATGCACTGCCTTCAATTAAACCTACACAAGGCAATAATTTTCTCTCTGCCTCTCTCAGATGGTGATTTTTTTTGGATTTATCATCATTAGCTCACCTTTTGTGTATTTTGTGTAAGGGCATGCAGGGTTTTGTGCTAGTGAAAACATACAGCCTCGTGACAGTGCTGCATCTAGTTATCAAAAATCATTCCATCATCATAATTTCAAACAGATTTATAGTAGTATGAAAGCTTGCTCCTCCACGGTAAGTTTTATTTGAGATTTGGTTATGGTTCTGTACATACTGTTTTAGCCTCATTTGGAATTATTGAGGTGTATGGAAACTGAAAAGGGATACACTACACTTTTCATTAGAGAAGTAAGTGGGTCAGGAAGTCTTGGAAAGTCTATCATTCCTATCTTCCAAACATTGCTTTTCCTACACAATAATGATATAAATAGAAGCTAAGTACTAAGAGTACTAGATGAGGCTGTCACATTTAGACTAGGAAAAGAAGGCTCTAAATTTTGCTTTTGCACTTGCCTGTATACCCCTTTCTCCTCTCTCCCTATATATATATATATATATATAGGAATTCCCCTGCCTTTACGTGCTAAATCTATGAATTAGTGAAGAAGAGAGCAAAGTTCATCTTATATATTAGTTTTCCTTGGCAATGTACCTGTAAAATATTTTAGGTAATAAAGTTGGTCATTGGTAGAGAAACATAGTAAAATGCTAAAAATGTTTTATTATATACCTTTCAGTTATTTTTCCAGAAACCAGTTATATTTGCGTGTGCAAAAGAATTTCATGAATGTTTAGGCTCTTTAAATCTTTCACTGTATGATTATCAGGACAATCCATTAAAAAGGTGCAGAACTCAAGGATCAGAAGCTAAATCCCATGGTCTAGCATTGCCACCTCTTGTCTTTGGAGAGAAGTTTGGGGATGTATATGAAGTTATTCTGATACTGGACAACAGGGAGCAATTTGCTACACAAGGGTGAGCTGCTGAAAGCCATCTTGTTTATTTACTATTCTCCTGAAAGCCTTGAACTGTTTGAAAGAAACTTTTATATTCCTCAGTACAGTTGAAAATTTGTTATCTTTCACATCTCTGTTCTATTAGATTCTTACATTGATATTGGCATTTCCTTATGTATTAACTATTATCCGTAATCCATGACACTATATATGCTCCTTTCACAATGCATTACAATTTTTTTACTCGTGAATCTGCCGCAGGTCAAGATCAAAGAAGATCATTGATAACATAAGTTCTCAGTTTCACATCCAGATTGAGGTTAGCACCAGTTGTGCCTTCCATAGTCCTGATATGTCGTGCTGGCTTTGGTTTATTAAATTTTACACTTTGAAACTGATTTTATAAATATATACTTCATTATATATAGAGTAATGCACTAGTTTTGTAATGTTTAAAGCATCAGTGCTGCCAATGACACCTTCAGTGGGCTGGTATCATGGCTCACTTAATCTGTTTGACCATAAATTTTACTAGAAATTTATTTATTTTTTAAATAAAAAAACTGTTATATTTGGTGATGATGCATCGTACATGACTCTGACAGGTTAGAAGGCTGCCAGTGGGTGATGGTATTTGGATAGCTCGGCATAAGTATCTTGGCACTGAGTATGTTCTTGACTTCATAGTCGAAAGGAAGAAAGTTGATGATTTGCGCCACTCAATCAGGGACAATAGGTATCGAGATCAGAAAATGAGGCTGGTGGTAAATCTTCTCCTTAAAAACCCATTTTAATGGTTATAATTAGTAATTACTATTTTCAGCTTGTCTACCAGACTGCCACCATATTCCAATATGTCACCTATATATTGGCTTGGGAATATATTTTGCAAGCTATATGGTGTTAATTTTTCTTTAATTGGTAATCACATTCAGAGTTATGAGATCATGAACCGTATAAGTCTCAACAAACTTTTGTGCATTAACTGTTGTAAGCCATCTATAAACCTAATTGAAATTCTACTTAGAATGAAGGTTTTGAAATTTTCACCTAATTTCTATATCCTTTAAGAAGTTTTAAGTTCCAAAATTTGAAGTATGGATAGAAAGCATAACTCTTTATTTCTATAAGCAATGATATGTATGTAGCCGGTAACTTTCAAACTAGCTGTCATAGATGCTCTTTTTATTCGTGAACTTGCATGTCAAGGTTGAAAAATATTTAACAAAGTTTAAAATTTCATGCTGCATTGAGGGTTTTACTGCATATATGCATGATCACTAACATTTTTCTTCTTCTGTAAATGAAATCCTTTTAAGAGATGCGGACTTAAAAAGATGATATATCTGGTAGAAGGTGATCCAAACTCCTCTGAGGCAGCTGAGAGTATCAAAACAGCGTAAGTATTGCATCATATTTTCAGGTTATGTTTGTCTGAATTGATTCACCCATTAATGTAAATTATGTAGACAATGCTTCTGGTTTTTACAGGTTAGCTCTTTTCCAGTGGTGATTTTGCTTATAATTTTACACATCATATGTTGATTATAGTTTTATGCCAGAACTGATCTAATTTCCTCTTGGCAGTTGCTTCACAACTGAGATCTTGGAGGGCTTTGATGTGCAACGAACGGCTGGTTTAGCAGATACATTGAGAAAATATGGCTATCTTACTCAATCAATTAACCAATTTTACATGTCCATGGACAATGAGGAAAAGTGTGTTGGTGTATGCCCTCCTTTTGATGAATTTATCAGAAGGTGTGAAGAGTTGGATAAACTGACAATTAGCGATGTATTTGCAATCCAACTCATGCAGGTATTTTGTGTCACATTCTTTAACAACAGTTTCTTGGTGTGGATCTTCAGTTATTTATTGTTGTCTTCATACGAAGATAAAAGAAATAAACTAAACAATGCTATACAAATGTAGGTTCCACAAGTAACTGAGGATATCACTCTTGCTGTTTTGGATATGTATCCAACATTGTTTTCTCTTGCCCAAGCATACTCTCTCCTCGTAAGGCATTAATTATAAGCATTTCAATTGCCTTAGGTAACACTGCATAAACCACATGAATGATATCGTTTAGGATCTGGAATTCACCTAGCATGAGTTAAAATTCTGGGTTATTAGTAGATATATCTCTGAAATATAATAATAACTATTATTGAGTTGAATTGGCTAAATCTGAATTGAGAATCAATGTATAGGATGGTGATGTTAGCGGGCAAGAGGAAATGCTGAAGAAACAGAGCAACAACTTGATCTCGGGGGCAGCCAGCAAAAATATATTCCACCTGGTTTGGGGTGACTCCATACAAATAGCAAAATAAATGAGGTATATGCTCTTTCATTCTCGTGTTCACTGTTCGATATTACTATTGTAAATGTGCTATTTATTTGAGGATCTATCCGGCATTTTTTGGTTTAAGTTGTCTTTTTTTTTTAATAATTTGTATATGAAGTTGGCTTTTATTGGACATAATATTTGCTTGGAATTTTACATGTGTATCTCTGTCTCTAGCTACCGGAGACCATAAGGTTATCACTTAAAAATTGTTGCCATCTTCTTGGTCGAGCCTGTCGCCCAAGCTTGCTTTTTTTGGACTAGTTTAGTATAATTTATAGGCTCTTATGTTCTGCTGGGGTTTTATTCAATATGTATATTTGATTAGCTTATGCAGGTTCAACATTATTAAAAAGAAAGTAACCAAAAGTAAATGTTTAAAAGCCTAATGCTTGGGGTTGTTTTGAGTTCAAATTGGTGCCATCTGTGATGAAATAATAATAATAATTATTATATAATGACTATTGATTTAGTTACTGTTTTCTATGTTTTTTCCCACACACGAGTCTTCCGGGATCAAACCCGGATCGATAACCCTGTAAAGAGGATGTCTACCGCATGATTTAGTTATTTTTAGTGACTGTATAACGTGATATGGAAACATTTGGAATGAAGCTAAATACAGTTATATCAAATGATTGCTGATGTTTTTAGGGTTGAAGCAGGTCCCAAAATATAAAATTGACTCTCATAATAAATAATTTAAATTTATAATTAGATTTTTTTATTCCTTTTTTTCTTTTTGAAAATATATGTTTTAATAATCGCATAAATAATTGGAAATTAAAATAAAAAATAAAAAAATTAATATGTACTATATGGATTTTTATTTCTGGATTGCAATTATTTTTGGGTAAGGTTGGTTCATGATTTGAAATTATTTTTTAGATTTTGTACTCTATAGCAAATCAATTAAATGTAAACCACTGAAAAATACGTTGACCGTAAATTTCAGGAGTGTCTATAGAATCATTTGGGCATTCAAATATGGCTAACTTCCAGAACATGTAATAATGTAAAACAAGCATGAATTCATACGACTAGAGGTCAAGAAACAACAATCGGTAACACAACAATTTGACACGCATAACTAACAATAGCATAGAACATCACTTGTCATTGACCTCAACTTTGTGGCACAGATTCATAAAACATACCAAAAGCACACCTGATTCGAAGCTTTGAAGAGCTTCCAACGCCGGGGCGGGCGACGATCGATTGATGCAGCTGCGAATTCGAAGCTTTGAAGAGCTTCCAACGCCGAGGCGGGCGATGATCGATTGACCGGCGCAGCTGCGAAAGAAGACGATGTCATTGATGTCTAAAATCGACAAAAGGCGTGTACTTAGTTTTTGTTTTTACCTAATGTTACATGCAAGCCTGGACGGGGCTTGGGAGGCCGAATGCCGGGGAATGGCTCATGTGGAATTCCCATTTGGTTATGGGCGCGACTCTTTCGAATGCTTCAACAAGCAGCGCGACTTTCCTCTTGCGTGCTGGACCGAGCTTTGCGACTACTTGTCTTAGCGCGTAATCCACCATCCATTCCTCCGTGTTTTTCTTGTCATCGAGTTCTTGGTGCCTCAGGTCGATCTTCTCTGCCTCTGGATCGGGATCCAGTGGCAGGAAATTCGGCGGGCGTGGATTGAAATCGCGCTGGTCATTGCTTTCTTCGATGGGTTTATTGGATTTGGCTCTGTTTTGAGGGAAGGCACCGTCTTCAGCATCGAATTCTGCTGATGCACTGTCTACGCATTTGGGATCAGATGTCGGAACCGGAACTCGGGGGTGTTCCTCCTCTGAAGCAACTTGAACTGATGCTTCATCTGCACCATCTCCATAACTCTGCATTTCTAAGCTTTGAACGGATTCTTGATCATCGAATGAGATTTCCTCTGCAGCTGTATCCGGTTTGCCTTTGTCGTGATTTGCAGGATCTGCGATGACATGATCATATGCTGAATTCAGTAGGTAGTTGCTCAAACCGGGGGACACTTTATCCACCATTAGTTCATCAAAACTGCCTTCGTCCTCGAAATTAGTTTCCATCTCTGCTTCAAGTGAGCATTCCTGATCACCATGATCGATATACAGAATCGAGCTGTAGCTGGTATCTCCATCTGTATCAGAGGTGCTATAATCTTTATCATATGTTTCTAGTTTTCCATCCTCCAGGCTTTGATCCTCATTCTGGTCGGATATATCGGTAAATCCGGCATCTCCATTTTCGTCGAGACTCTCGTCAATTGGCTGCGCATCCAAAAGCATCTCCACCGGCTGTTCTTCTGCTGCAATTTTATTGCTCTCATCAATGGATGCTGTATGCTCAAACTCCGCTGCATCTCCCATGGTTTTACAGAAGATCTCGACGAAGAAATCTTCGCTCTGTGGATTGATCCTTGGACTCTCTACATGATCCTGCACCGTAACTTCCACAGGCTTTCCGCGCCTAGGCGATAGGCAACCGAGCTTTATACTCCTCTGCGCCTTCACCATCCGCCTCCTCGCCGATAAGAAGCACTTTAATGGCGGCACAGGAGCATGACGATGACCGTTGAGAGAACAATAAGTGTAAGGACAGACCTTGACGGCGGAGGTTCCAACAGACTCTGTGCCTCCGGGATTAAGACTCAGGTAAGCCGGAAACTTACAATCCTTCAGAGTTGAGGAGCATGTAGCTTTCTGCGCATCGAAATTTTCACATAGAGCGACAGGGGAGCATTTTCGGATCACAGAAGCTCTGGTGAGTTTAAAGCTGGAGTTCTTCGTCAAAGTCCTCGTCGTTTTCATCGCCGCGGTCGCCTTATTGCCAGAGGCTAGGGTTTTAAGCCTGGAGCTCTTCAAACCTTTTCTACGCGAATCCAAGCAGTCAGAGCTAGGGCTTTTGGAACTCACACGCGATTGCTCCTTCCTCGCATCAGAGCTCGTGGTCGACCTCATGTAATTTGGCGTTTTCGCCGCCGGACTCCTCACCGGCGATTGCTTCCGAGGAGTCGCAGCGTCTGCAACAACTTCCAGTGGCGGCGGCGGAGGCGGCTCCCCCGGCTGGTTCTCCTTGATCGGATTTCTCTGTCGCACGACGGCTTCCATTTCCGATGGGTTGATCGACACGGTGGTGGTCTTCTTCTTCTTCTTCTTCTTCAGGTCTGCTGGTGCAGGCTTGGTTCTGGCGTCGTGATCGCGTGCAACTGCCTTGGTCCTTTGCACCATATCTGCCTGAGAAGATTGGAATGGATAAAGACAAAGTTTGTTAGTGCTTAAGGAAGAAGAAAACCATTGAAGAAGAATCCAAACTACCTTCCAACAGGTTAGCTCTCTCTGCTCTTTCCGCCAAAAGAAAAAGAAAAGCCGACCGTTTTTATATTTGGTATAATAATATTATTAATTTGGCGTAGGGAATTTGAATATGACTTTGGATGTTGACAATCCACTAACCTCCGGTGGGCCCCAACGTCACCTCCCCTATCTTTATTCTCATTTCATTTTAAATAAACAAGGGTGCGTTACCTTTCTATTATTTTTTTTATTTATATTTTTATATCAACGCTATTTAAGCGATAACGTTAGAAATAGAATATACTCTTATTAAAATTAATAAATATATTTTAAATCTCTAATATTATCTTCAGACTCAGGTTTCATTTATTTATTTGGTGGGGGCTGGATTTTTTAATATTAATTATTAAGAAAAAATTTCAATTATTGTGTTATATATAATGATATTTTTAATTTTAATTACAACGAAGCAAAAAGGTAAATGTGACGCCGGCAGAGAGTATTATACTCTGTTTATTCTCTTTTGTTTTACATTTCTGTTTATATTATTGTTTTAATCCATATCTATGGCATGTAAGATTTGGAGGCTGTAAATGTAATATTATTTATTTATTTATTTATTATTTTAAGTGATGTTTATATAAATATGACCGTATATTTAATTCATAATTTTTGAAAATGTCCTTTAAAACCAAAGTAATCATACGTGTGTTGTCACGATAATGTTGAAATTAACATGAATTAGTCCTGTGATCATTTTCAATATCAAGTATTTAATTTTATACATTTAATATATATATATATATATTGTAATAATATGAGTAGTGGAGTGTGTGTGAGAGGTGACACGGGAGAAACCAACCAAATCCACGAATTATGGTTGGGGTTGGTAATTAATTTCGCCTATATAGGGAAACTGGATTTTATTTAAATAAACTAAAGCTTACTTACTCAATAAACATTTTTGACAATTTTTTATTAATATTATAAAAAATCGTAATATATATACACACTTAATACATATTCTATCAATTTATTAAATTATAAAATATCATTTTTATGTATAACATAAAACTTTATATAATATAAATAATATATATTTATAATTAAAATATATTTTAATGAATGTAATTTACTGAAAATAAAAATGTTTCAAGGATAATAATTGTACAGATTAAGATAAACTCTGATTAAAAAAAAAAATTGTGAATTGCTATAGAAAATATGGAATACTAAAATATTTCTATATTCTTTTTCTAATATTACATGTTACTATCATAATTTATAATTATTTAACTCAAAAAAAATCTAAATACAAGTCTAATACTTTGTTTATAAATATATTTTAAAATAATAATTCAATAAGGTTTTACGTACATATTTTCGTTGGGCGGTGGGATCGAGAAGAATGGTTGGTCGGCAGAAAGTGGGCCATGGGCGGGAGCGTCTGTAGCCCAATATTTTTTATTTTTTTTTTTAAAAATAATAATAATAACAAATTGTCTTTTCTTCGTTGCCTGTTACCTTTATTTACTTTTATTTTTTTTTATAATCTTGTTCTTTATTTTATTTTTATTTTAAGATTTATAATAATATTTCATTTGTCATGCAAATATGTGCTTATTTGATCGGATAAAAATTTTAATAAAAATAAATAATAATAATTTTTTTTATATAAAAAAATGTAATAATATTTTACTTAAAAATAAATAAATATTTTTAAATAACAGTAAAAAAAAAAAAAAAGCATTCAAACGGAGGGAGGGAGTATTATATATATTCTACATATATACACAAGCGTATGTGGGAGTAATGTGATAGGTGGAAATAAAAGTAGATCATGCGAGCCGAATATGTTAATTAGATGCCAAATATGTATAATTTAAACTATTACTCCCTCCATCCCTCCTAATATGGTTGTATTACCGTAGATACGGAAATTTAGGTAAAATATAATTAGTAAGTAATTAAAAAGTATATTAATAAAAATTATTATAGATTAAAATAAGTAAATAGTTTAATTAAAATTAAAAAAAATAATTATTATTTAGTAAAAATAATAATAGATTAAAATAAGTAAATAGTTTAATTAAAATTAAGAAAATTATAACATTTAAAATTTAAAATGCGATTAAAATGCATAATTATATTTCCAAAAATCAAAAGAACAAGTTACGTGGGACGGACAAAAATAGAAAATATGTATTTAATTCATTTCAAATATAATGAGATATAAAATAATATAATCTCAATATCTCATTGTGCTAAAAAAAAGGGGTCTTGATTCTTCCTTATGATATGGATCTTAGGTCCTACTAAACCCACTCCATTATTGTCTTTAATTTTATTTAATACTTAATCTAAAAAATTTTAAAATCACATATAAAACCATCATTTTATAAAACCCAAATATGTATTACTATTAAAAAAAAAAATAATGATTAAGCACAAGATTAGAATGAAGATAAACGAAAAAGACAATCACTTAAATTGAGTTGAAAGGTGTGCCCATTTTTCTTAGTGTAAAAATTGATGTAATAAAAGTGACACCTTTTCTAGAGCACTAAAATTGTCATGCCTTCCATTCATTCCATTTTTGACAAAGGAAATAGTATTGGGTTTGTAAGATTTATATTTTAAACTAAATATTTAATATTTAATTTATATAATATTTAATTAAAAAATATATTATTTTACAAAATCCTCCTTCAAAATATTATGACTCAACTTATAGCCTCAAACTCAATTCATACAAACCCAATTCTCCCTCATTATTTTTGTGCTCGCATTAAAATATACTATTATCATAATATTGATATGTCAATAGTTGCTGAATATGATTTTATTTTGTGTTTTGATTTAAACGAAGGAAAATAGCAATATATTTTTACAACAAAGAAATTAAAATCAAATCTTGGGTAAGTGAAATCTTTTATTGACTAACAATAATATTACTGTTTTATTTCCCATACATATCCAATAAAATAGGTACAGGATTTCCAATTTCATTCAAATGGCATAGTGAATCAACAATAATTCATTCAGTCACCAACTAATAGTTTGCCTAGTCTTATTTTTTCGAATCTAATTTGCGTGCTATTAAATTAAGTCGGAATTTTACTTAGAGCGCACACAGAATCTAATTTGCATGCTATTAAATTAAGTCGGAATTTTACTTAGAGCACACACAAAAAGTAACAAGTCCAACTGTATAAAAAAAAAGAAAAATAAAATCCCCACAAACACAACATTTCACACATTAGCCATTGCAAATTCAAGCAATTGTTGCCTATGTTCTACATCACCACAAATTTTAAGTCACATAACTTCATCAATTATGAACTCAATCTTGTGTTTTAGTCACTCTGCAGACAACAAACCCAGAAAGAAGATTATAATGAGCATCAACGAAATACCCGGAGACTGTGGTTCGCCGCCGTAAACCCGCCGTCGACCATAAGGTTCGCCCCGCTGATGTACCTCGCCTCGTCGCTCGACAGGAACACCACCGCATTCGCCACATCGTCCACCGTCAGGTCGACGCCCTGCAAGTTAGCATTGCTCCTGACAAAGTTCCGGAACCCTGTCCATGAGTCTTCGGTCCTCTCGTCCTCGTGCAAGTGCGCGAGAGCCAAGTTCGTCGCAACGGCGTACGGCGACACGCAGTTCACACGTATCCCGTGCTTCCCCAGCTCCGCCGCAACGCTCTTCGTGAGCCCCAGCACGGCGTGCTTCGACGCCGTGTATGCATGGGGGCCCAGGCCCCCGACGGCGCTCGAGACGCTGCAGAGGGATACGATGGCGCCCGACTTCTTCGGGATCATCACCCGAGCTGCGTGCTTCATCCCGACGAAAACGCCTCTGACGTTGATGTCGAAGGTGAGATCAAAATCGGAGAGCTGGGCGTCGCGGATGTCGGAGGCGGGAGGCCCGGAAATCCCGGCGTTGTTCACCATTATGTCGAGGGTGCCGAATTTATCCGCGGTGAATTCGACTGCGTGCTTTACATCGTCTTCGATCGTCACGTTGCAGTGGCAGAAGGAAATGTTCGGGTCGCCGCCGAGGCTTTTGCAGAGCTGCTCGCCGAGGTCGTCTTGAATATCAGCGATGCAGACTTTTGCACCGTGCCGGTGGAACAGGCGTACAATGCTCTCTCCGATGCCGCTCGCGCCTCCGGTGACCAATGCAACTCTTCCTAATAATCTGGAATGAATCAAACATATGTAAATGCATCCGGAGATAAGAATGCAAGAAAAAAATCGTGTTATAGGAATTGTTAAAATCATCAGTATACCTGTATAGCGTTATGATGAGAAAACACATCAAAACTACTCTCTCCAGCAGCCAAAATTATGTTACAATAGAGGGATATTACAGCAATCGATTGATGATAAAAACTTTCTAAAGTGGAAGTAAATTGACAGAAAGATGAAGCTTGGGATATTACAGCATCTAATCAAAGCAATTGCAAGGTATGAAATTGAAGACAAGCCCTTGCTATGAGGTTTCTTGATACATTGTACAGAAGAGTGGAAACCATATCGATGCGATAATATTCGTAAACTTGAACCATTGGAGATGTGAATCACTAGACAGCTCAAAAACCACTTTTATTCAGCAATTATTTCAGGGCCTAACTTCACTAATTCATGAGAAAAGCTTCAAATAGTTAGATCAAAATGCAGACTCTGAAGGCAAGACTAACCATTTCAAACAAGTATAAAATGACCCTGTGTGTAAAAGCCAAATTGAAGACAATAGGTAGAATTAAATCAATACATCTTTCCAGTTTTAAGTGGCTATAATTTTACATTAACTTTATCTACAGAAGTTCTCATCTCTGTCTATCGATGTTTATGTCAGCAAGCTCTTATGATTATCAGTAATATTATGCATCTGGAATCAAACTTCACTTATCATTGCCTAATTTATATCCTTTGACCATATTGCTGGATAGGGATCATAAAGTATCTTAACCAAGCTAATCACACATTCTTTTCACGCAATGTAAACTCATCATATGATAGAAAATTGTCAATAAGCTTCCCACATAAAACAATCCATTCCCTTAACCAAGCAGAATTGCAATCAAAGAAGTAGAGAACAACTGAAAATTAAGGATATGTTTTCAACCTTGTTTTCACTCTATTCCTTCAGTAAAATAACATTTTGCCCATAATAAAATCACATTCACAAACCACTTTTCACACAAAACATTGCATCCAAAGAGTCCAAAACATATTATTCTTTCAAAATATTCAGATCCAAAACACAAACCAACCGAACCCTAAAATTGCTAGAAAATATCCATCCTTAGAAGAATCCAAGCACTCTTCTTCTCAGATGATATAAACATGGAATCCAATATGAGCTAAAACAGGCTAACACCAATACATTCCACATACATGTATAATTTTACCATGTTCTAAATCTCTCAGTATCTACTAAGGTCAATGCTCACGCACACACAAATTAAAACTGAACTAGCATTAAGCATTGGCAACAAATCAAAATCATATTCCGTTACATAAATCTCATCACATAAAACCAATCCGCCCAAACCCCCAGGCAGGCAGCAGCCAGAAAGCGTCACCGTGGAGAAAAATAAACTGATCAAGCAACTCGAAATGAGTGGGACTCGATTATTCTTAGCAACAGAGAAAAATCAAAATCAAGACGCAGGGCAAATAAATAAAACAGTTCGGAAAGGCGCGCAAATAAATCACTTAGTTAGAAGCAGAGGTGAAGGTCAACAATTTTATTATAATCGCATACTACCTCTGGGTGGGAAGAACAGCTGTAGTTGCAGTTGCGGTTGCAGTGGAGTCTGACGCCATGCCTATTCCCCTTTCCGAAAAGTTTTTCCTTCGGCTTTTCTTCCCCAAATTTAGTCGCCCACTATCAGAAGCACTACTCCATTGTTGCTGTCTTTATCGCTTAACTTCGCCGCATGGCGTTTGTATTTAATGCATTGGCTAGTAAACAGCGACCTCTCACAAATAAATTGCACATACAACTATGTACTAAATACTATACATGTGAATAATAAAAAAAAAATACTTAGTATTAAAATTTTATTATCTACAATATTATATTAATATAATGATAAATATATTTGAAATACTAATAATACTATTAATATAAAAAATAATAAAATAGTATTATAATTTATTATTAATAATTTATTAATTTAAATTAATCAAAGGATTATCTAACCGGACATAATAAATATAAAATAAAATAGTAAAATATTTTGTTACATTTTAACTGTGGTTTGTTGGTCGGACATAAATCTCGGCCAAAAATATCAATCTAATAGATATAATTCTTGGCAACTCAAAGTAATTTTTTATTATTTTTGTCCGGTTTATTTAAAATATTTTTTTTTATTATATTAAAGTAATTATTAATACTAAATTTGTTAGCCCAAAATTCACTCAAAATCAAATAAAAGCAATATCTTAACAACAATATTGACAACTTCCACTATTAAACTATAAATCCAGACTCATTGTTTTTGGACTGAGAATGCACACAGGTAACCATGAGAACAAAAAAAACAAGTAACAATTGATAACTTAGTTCGATTATCAACTATCTAGATTTAGAGATTCCAACTCAGGCCTAATTCAACTTATGTCTAATTCTTCTTTGAGATAATCTATCCAAAACGTTGTTGCTATTACCACATCTAATTCTTCATCCTACTTTACAATTGCATCATGATTTTCTATCAAGGGTGTGTTTGTTTGGGGGATTGGATTTTTAATTCATTATTCATCTCATTTTTTTCTCTCCTAAAAACATCAAATCAAACACCTATTTTTTATTTTTATATTATACTAAAAATTAATTTTACATTCAAAACATCACATCAACACCTATTTATATCACATCATACAACAATTTAAATTCAAAATTTTTACTATTCAAATCCCAATTCAAAATAAAAAACCTCCAAACAAACACACCCTAAATCTCTCTGACCCCTTCTCTAAATTTATGCATGGAGGAGCTCTCCCAACTTTCTTGTTTGCTACTCTCTTGTATTTATAGATTTTCTTCTTTTTAGTATTTTTCTTTCATTCTCACTTCTAAAATATTCTTCTAACTTATCAAATTTATTCATTGCATCATCCATATAGAATAAATTTGTTATAATCGAATTCTCCACACATAGAGATCAGCCGTTCAACAATTCTTGATCAATTCTTCCTAGGTCTTTATTTCATTGATCAATTTTGGGTATCTTTTTGTTTGATTGAACTCAAGTCAAATTAGATTGCGTCTGTCTATTGAAGTTTATTCGTCTATTGAAACCTATTTGTTGATCAGATCATTTACAAATATCAATCAAAATCAAATACAAACTACAATTCATTTTTCAACAAAAATATTATTTAACTTTTATATAAATTATAAACATAGTATTCCACATATAAATTTAAATATAAATTACAAATGTCAAAATTATTTTATGTTTCACTAATTATTATTATTTATAATTTATTATAAAACTCCAAAACTCAATTAAATTGAGACATAGAAAGTATAATTTATTAAATCAAAACAATATGCCTCAATTCTATAATAATAATAATAATAATAATCTATATGATAATGTAGACTATGAGCATATTATCATAAATTACTATTTAGTATTCAATAGTCACATTTTAACATTATAACATTATTATTATTATTTTAAAATGATTGTAATTGTATTTTGGCTTTTTTTTTTTTTTTCTTAAATTCTCATGTTTTTACTATTTGAACTCTACATTTTTTTTTAAAATACAATATATATATTTTTTCAACAAAACATCTCATCATACGTTACTTTAATACCAAACTCAACCCAATTTTTTTTCAAAGCCGAAACGTACCCTAAGGGTGTGTTTGTGGGTTTTGATTTTGAGTTGGGATTTGAATAGTAAAAATTTTGAATTTGAATAGTTGTATGATGTGATATAAATAGGTGTTGATGTGATGTTTTGAATGTAAAATTGATTTTTAGTATAATATAAAAAATGAAAAATAGATGTTTGATTTGATGTTTTGGGGAGGAGGGAAATTAGATGAACAGTGTAAATCCAACCAATCTCCCAAACAAACACACCCTAAATCTTTGACAGAAATCCCACTCTAACATACATATTTCACTATCTTGAATAAAAACTGTTCTAATTATTATTACTATTATTGTTGTCTTTTATTTTATTTTATGACGTGGGAATACGCAGTCTTTACCTGAACGCACAGGGTAAATTCCGGGTCGAACCTAGTATCCTGCAAACTAGGTCCGACAAAGCACGTTACATGGAACGTCGAAGATTTGAACTTATAATTTTAAAATCCACCTTCACACCATTTATATCATTTTTTACGGGATTATAATAATAATTATTATTTTTTAAAAATAATATTTTATTATAAGAATTGATGCATACTTAACTTATCGGCACTGATTTGACGCTAACTTATTTTATATATCATTGCCACGTGAGCGAAACATGTTTAATATGTAAGCATTGCGGAGCTACAAATGAATTTATAAAATATGTATATACAAAAAAAGATATATTAAAAAATAAAAATTAAAATAAAATAATAAAAATTCATATGTCACCTGTGTGGCACTGATATATCATACACAAATAGACATAGGAGAGCTACATCATTAAGGACTTGGTGATGGAAAATCATATTTTTTGAAAAAAAAAATGAAAAGAAAATTCATTGCAAGACAGTTTAATTTATTTAAAATTCTAAAATAATAAATTAAATTCAAAATTAAAAATGAATTTCTCTTAAATTAAAATAATATAATCATATAGTAATAATATAATAGTAGGCACAGCTCTCTTAAATTAAAATAATCATTTTTTTAAGTTTGTTATTATTAATTTTAAATTAGAATTAAAATAAATAAGGTGTGTTTACCTGTAAAATTTGGTTTTGAATTGTAATTTTAAAATTTTGAATTAAAATAATTATTTAATATGATAAATATGTGTTAATATAATATTTTAAATATAAATATAAATTTTAATACAATATAATAAATAAAAAATAAACATTTAATTTGATGTTTTAAAGAATATAAAATCAAAAAACAAATCAAAATTAAAGACACCATTTTTCACTTTATTATTCTTTCTACCAACTCAAATAAAAGTGTCTATATTAATGTATAAAATTTAATTATTTTTTGAAAAAAATAATAAATAATTAAATAACATATTAGTAAAATTTTTTATAGATTATAACATTTAAACGGGTTTACCAGAAGAGTAGTAAGGAAGTTGCAAGCAACTAAGCGGGAGGCGTGAAGGTGGTCTCCCAAGGGTTTATCATCTCTTCCGCCGGTATGCTGTACTCGCGTCGCGGCCAGGTTGAAGGCAAGGTTCCCTCTGTGAATTAATTGGCACGGCTGTAGCTCGGTTTTTCGCTCTTTTCCAAGACTTTATCAGAACCTTTCTTGGAGTTGGACACTCCACTATGACAAAAGTATATGGCACCGGAGTGTACGACTTCCGCCGTCACAGGGTTGCCGAGTATCCCGTCGCTGCGGATGCGCAGCAACTATCGGAAAAGCCGGTGGAGTCTAAACCTGGATCCAATTTGCCTAGCTCCATTACCCTAAGTGAGATTCAGAGAGACCGTCTGACGAAGATTGCCGCCGAAAATTGGTCGGTAGGTGGGGATTCTGGTTCCAGAAAGCCCTTCAGCCCCGACCTCGTTAATGACATATACTACTCGGAGTTAACTGTTAAAGGTAATTTTGAGTTTTCTTCTGAATTTTTAGTTCTGCGATTTGTTTATGTTATGTTGCTTGCCAGCTTTGTTTGCAGGTAAGTGTTGCTTTGTTACACTTCTTATTGTCCGCAATTGATATTGTTTGTTTTCGAGTTTCTGAATAGAAATGTTAACTGAAGTAAAATATTGGTGCTTCTTAAACTTTTTCGATGCATAAGTTTGAACTTCTGGTATACTGCATTTGCTGCCTGCATTAATTAACAGTGTCAAAGTATGCAAGATGGGCGTTGCCATGTTCCTATGGAGATTTTATGAAATAACAGGGTTCTTAGGGAAGGGTTTGACATTGGGCTTTCTGCGAATTGAGAAAATTGACATGTACTTCTGTCTTTCATTTGGTTCACTTTTCTACTTCATAAATTTGGGGTTTCAAAACAACAATGCGTATATGCTTAATTACCATAGTATAATCACAATAGAAGTTTGACAAGTATCCATGTGGATGAGAATTGTTAATGCATTACCAATGGCCAAACTCTGTTGACTCTATGTTTTCTTTTTTGCATTAGTCATGTTTTTGAGGACCAGAAACTGTGGGTTTGTTTTAATTGGAAATGTAATAATAAATTGCTATCTTGGCTGATGTAGGGGGTAGAAAGCTAGTGCCATTGCAAAGAGTGATGATACTAGAAGTGAGTCAATATTTGGAGAATTATCTTTGGCCAAACTTTAACCCAGAGACTGCTTCTTTCGAGCATGTAATGTCAATGATACTCATGGTTAATGAGAAGGTACGTACCTATGTTGCATATGATTACTGAGTTACATCTCTGCTTACTAGTTTGTTATCCAAAAAATGTGTTAAATTACTCAAGATTCCACGTGTGTTAAATTAGCCCAAATTTTCATATATATATATATATATACAGACACATTTGTCATTTGGGGGTTATATGCATTTTGAGAGTGAAAATGTTTCTGATGCTCTCTTGGAGTTACTGATGCTTTACGCGATCCATTGGATGATACTTCTATCCTTTTTTGGGGATATATATGTATCTGTATGATTTTTGCTTAAAATATTTTGTATAGTAATCTTAAGCATTTTAGAGTACACAAAAGGAAAAAATTGGGTTAGTATATTGAAGTGCCATGTATGATAAATTACCAGGGGTGGTAAAAGGCTTACAAAATGCAATGTGATATTTTGTCTCTGGTGCTTCCTTCAAGGCCTTTTATTTCTTGTACCATTGCATTCTTGTTTATGGTTCACTCCGTGAGTTTAATTTTACCTTTGGGTCACAGCGTACCGATATTGTGAAATAACGAAGTAAGAAACTATTGAAGTGGCAGGTGGTATGGTTTTAAGGTTGCTATTTGATTCATTTTTATTCTCTTTATTACCGACAACATGAATTTTGATTTGCAGTTTCGAGAGAACGTTTCTGCTTGGGTTTGCTTTTATGATCAGAAGGATATGTTTAAATCATTTCTTGAAAGAGTACTTCGCCTGAAAGAGGTATCTTTAATTTTTAATCAATTCTTGCTTGTTGGCATCAGATATTATGATATCTAGGTTTTATTATCTTCATATGCCATCATATATTTATTTGAGGTTGTAATCATATTTATACATTTCAAGGAGAATGTTTGGAACGAATTCTTATTCTGTATCTAATCCTGGCTTATGTTTGACTCAGTATCTACAACTCAATTCATAATGGCTGCCAAGGTTGTTGAGTAGTAGTAAATGTTATCACTTCCTTATATATCAATGCTTCGTGCTTCTTTATAGGAATTTTCTGTTTATAATACCCTCAGTGGTTGAACTATGTTGTACATCAATATGGACATTGCTTTAATAAATTTAAAATCAGATAGCTCACAGAGAGTAAGTAATGGAAGTGCCTTAGATCCATCTTTCATTTTGAAATTAATGAGTAGGAGTTGGCGCGTCAAGGTCATAGATTTTATATGAATGGTCAAACCGGAGAGGTGCCTTATACAGGGAATAAGTAAATTGTCAGTTATCTTAATCTTTTACCTTGTAACCATTCAATCATAAGATAATCAAATTCCAAAATGTGTGTTGAAATATAATAAAATTATGTTGCAATTATAGACATTCATATTGTCCCCTATCATTCAAATCCTCTCTCTTAACTCTTTTTATCAGTAGTCCAGTTTCTTGGCCCACTTGTATTTATATCATCCTGAACATGATACCTTTGTAGAGTTGCCAAATTAGAGGTGATTGTTAATCTCCAAGAGAAGTATGTATGCCCAATTCCTGCACACACAGAATTTGACACCTTTACAGATTAATTATTTTATTTTATTGCCTACTATTGGATTGGTATCTTTATGAATTTCTCGCCTCTGTTGTATGTTAAGGCTGTAGCTTGTAGTGATGATTATGAATGATGATTGCCTCCTTGTGAGTGGTACATATGTCTTCAAGTGCTTATGTGTCACTTGATACTTTAATTGCTGGCAGTTTATGCTATTCTGGGTGGTTCTTGTTTCTCATAAGTCTTCATGTAATAGGTGCTTGATCTCCATATATATCTGTTGCGACATTTCAACTATTATGTTTTGACTGCATATGGATAATTTTTTCCTATTATTTTCATAACTTTTCAAATCATAGGGTTTGGAAGCAATCAATAGTTGTTTCGTGACTGTTAGGCATTGATGTGTTGATACAGAGACAGTGACACATTTTTCACATGTATTATTACCATATCACGTGGTGACTGCTCTTGAGACTGCTTTTGATGAATTTGTTCAATTTTAATCACAGGGGAAAAATTTAACTATTGCAGAGAAGATAAACTATCTACTTTTTATGATCAATGCCTTCCAGGTACTAGATTGTTTAATTTGTACCTAGTAACTACTGTCTTTCAATATTATTATTTTTTCCTTCCACCTCAACCATTCCATTGCCCTTGTTTATACATAAACTGGATTTTACACTGATGTATGAGAATTGCCTGAGTACACATATTTCCATGAATGTAAGGAAATCACCTGAACTTTGTTTCTTCGAGTAAGTTTTATTTTTAATTTTTCGTTGTTTCCTCATTATGGCATCTCATTCTTTTGGTTTTTGACATCATTTACATGATCACACAATCATTTTAGTGGATCTTAAGCAACTCTAGGTTTTGTTTATTCCCCTTCCCCTTCTAATTTAATTTTAAACTGCATATTCTGAATATCTGTCATTTATTTTGAATATCATGCCCTGTGTTCCCCACCTCTTTTTACTCCCCTTACATCTTTACTTGCCAGAAGTTGCAGCTGTTAAGTTGTAAATTAAATGTATCACAATGAATTATTTTGAAATGCATTAAATACGCCAAAATACTTTGTCAATATGAATTATATCTGAGAACTTTTGGATGACCTCAGAATATATCTACTTTGTGGCAATAACTATGCCCTAGAGTAATTCAGGCTTTGTTCAAGGTTTTCAACATCCTTTTCGCATTATGCAATCGAAAATAAAATGTTTTTTCCTACCCAAAAATATCATTTGCAACACACCTTAACTCTGTAGAACATAACATCCAACTGCTATTTTCCACTCCAAAATCTGGTGTTTGTTTCTGTTGGATATGAAAATGTTGGAACAAATGCCAACAACTTCTTGATGTCTATCCCTTAATTGTCGTTAGAGGGGCTATTAATATCTTTACACGGTCAACATTGTTAATCAAATGTTTGTCTAGTTGGCATTTACTTATGTATCACATTGTCTTGAGTATGCTTTGCAATTTGAAATTAGCCTGGCTCTTTCCGTCTGACTTTTCTATTGATTTTGATAGAGCTTGGAAGATGACATAGTAAGTGAAAGGATTATGAGATTAGCCAGTCTGGAGTGTTGGCATAGTCTATCATATGGCCGTTTTCAGGTAGGATTGATTATTCTATCAGTTCCTACAGAAAGGTTTCTTTAAACTTCTGTCTGTTTCATAATAAATATTATGCAGTTTTCTGTTGTATCAGTATCCTTTTCTTGGAAAAATATCTTTTGTGCGATGCTTATTTTTCTTCTGGGTTGTAGATGGAACTTTGTCTCAATGAAAATTTGATCAAAAGATGGAGAAGGATAGCAAAGAGAGCCAAAGATGCATCTAAGCGTGGAGAAACTTTTGACCCCTCAACCATGGTAGAAGCAAGCTTCTTGCGTAATCTGATTGAGGAATTTCTGAAGGTATGATTTGTTAGTTCTGGCCTCCGTTTGCACCATTGTACCAAAACCCTGAGCAAGTGTACTCTGTCCTACAACCAGATTCTTGATTCTGAGGTTTTCAGAAATAAATCAAGAGATGACGAGGATAATGGTGTAACTGACATTCATGGTTCTGATGACGTGGATGATGCCTGTGTTCTTTATTGTGAAAGATTTATGGAGTTCCTTATTGATCTCTTGAGCCAGTTGCCAACGAGGAGGTATTATTATTTAGTGGTTCTATTAAGCTGTTTAAATTTGATCTTGTTAATTTAATTGGCAATAAATTTCCCATCTGGATTGATGGGATTAATTTAATTTTTGTCATGTAGCATTCGTTGCAGGTGCTCTTACCATCACTTTAGTCTTTCAATTCTGCCTTCAATTACATTCAATCTTTAACATCTGGAATGTTTAGGTTAATTGAGGATTGCCTTAGTGTTGTTTTCAGTTTTAAGAAATATTTTAAAGTGCCTTACATACTATCTACCACTTGCTTGTGATTGGTGATATTATGTACTTGTTTGACAGTAAAACCTTTATTAATTGCTGCTGTTTAAAGAGCAGTTCATTGTGGATTTCTGAAATATGCCAATAATCCTGTTATTATCTGTGTGAATTGTTAAAGATTTGAATTAACCTTTACATTTTAATTATATGTTTCCTGCAGATTAGTTCGGCCTCTTGTGGCTGATGTTGCTGTTGTTTCAAAATGTCATTTAAGTGCTTTATACGGGCATGAAAAGGGAAAACTTTTTGGTCAGTTGGTCGACTTGCTTCAGTACTATGAAGGGTTTGAAATTGATGACCATCAAGGTAGACAAATGACTGATGATGAAGTTCTTCAAGCTCATTACAGGCGCCTCCAGGCTTTTCAGCTTCTTGCCTTTAAAAAGATTCCAAAGGTATACTGTCCTTGCAGTTTGTGCTGAGATTACTTAATTAGACAATTATATGTGGGTAATAACCTTCTGTGTTTTCTATTTGCAGCTGAGAGAACTTGCATTGGCTAATATTGGTGCAATTAATAAGCGGGATGACTTGGCGAAAAAACTTTCAATTCTTTCTCCTGAAGAGTTGAGAGATTTAGTATGTGGTAAGGTGAGTATGGTTAGCTCTTGAAGCATACATCAGCAAATACTGGAAGTTAACTTTTGTTTGCATGATATCCCGAGTACTAAATTTTAGCATAAACAGTGTTAAATGGTTAAGCCATGATATTAAATGGTATGTCCACAGTGCATCTAAACGTGCAATTCCATTTCTGTTTGGTGTGAATTGCGCTGAGCAGACATTGGAATATGCATATGATCAGTGTCATTTTTTGTGCCTCAGCATTTTTTTCCTACCTTGTAACATTAAATTATTGTTACTTCAACTGAAAATTTCTTATCTGGAAACTGCAGCTGAAACTAGTGTCCAAGAACGATCCTTGGTCGGAAAGGGTGGATTTTCTAATAGAAGTCATGGTTGCATTCTTTGAGAAACAACAATCTCAGAGAGAGGCTATCAATGCCCTTCCACTGTATCCCAATGAGCAAATAATGTGGGATGAAAGCCTTGTACCAAGCATTAACTACTCTGGTGAAGGATGTCTAGCACTTCCGAAGCTTAATTTACAATTTCTAACACTTCATGACTACCTTCTTAGAAATTTCAACCTCTTCCGCCTTGAATCAACATATGAAATCCGTGAGGATATTCAAGAAGCTGTTCCTCATCTTCTTGCCCATATTAATAATGAAGGAGAAACTTCCTTCCGTGGTTGGTCTAGAATGGCTGTACCAATTAAAGAATTTAAGATTACAGAAGTTAAACAGCCAAATATTGGCGAAGTAAAGCCTGCTGCAGTGACAGCTGAAGTTACTTTTAGCATTTCCAGCTATAAAGCACAAATCAGATCTGAATGGAATGCTCTCAAGGAGCATGATGTTCTGTTTTTGCTGTCTATTCAACCTTCTTTTGAACCACTAAGTCCTGAAGAAGCAGCTAAGGCAACTGTGCCTCAGAAGCTTGGGCTTCAATGTGTTAGAGGATGTGAGATTATAGAAATACGTGATGAGGAGGGAACTCTTATGAATGATTTTACAGGGAGAATTAAGAGGGAAGAGCGGAAGCCTCCTAAAGGAGAGCTAAGAACTGTAACTATTGCATTAGATACTGCACAATATCATATGGATGTTACTAATATTGCAGAGAAGGGTGCGGAGGATGTCTACAAAACTTTCAATATACTGATGAGGCGAAAACCCAAGGAGAACAACTTCAAGGCAATTTTGGAATCCATAAGGGATCTAATGAATGAAACTTGCATTGTTCCTGATTGGTTACATGACATCTTTTTGGGTTATGGAAATCCTTCTGCTGCTCAGTGGACGAATATGCCTGATCTCCTTGAAAAGGTTGATTTCAAAGATACTTTCCTGGATGCTGCTCATGTCAAAGACAGCTTTCCCAGTTATAAGGTTTGAAAATATTTTCAAATGTTCTATCTGTGATTTTTCATCTATTGGTTTTGACTATTTGCTTTTGTTGAATCAGAATGCTTGTATTTACGTTCTCTTTTTTTTTTTTTTTTTCTTTTTTATTTATTTCAGGTCAGATTTATAAACTCAGATGGAACAGACAATTTGGACCCATTACCTCCATTCTGTATTCACTTCCCTAAAAGTCAAGAAGGCAAAGTTCATGCTCTGCCTACCAATGAGTCATCTGCTAAATCATCAAATAATGCCAGTAGTTTGGAAGGAGTGCATTCTGAGAAAATGGAAGTTCTAGTTGAGACTTATGTACCTCCTGATCTAGGGCCATATCCCCAAGATCAACCAAAGCAGAACTCTGTTAGATTTACTGCTACTCAGGTACTTGATTTTTTGCACCATTTTGAAGCACAATAGCAGTTAGTTTTTTCCGTTTAAATATTAACTAAACATGATGAATGTAATTTTATATTTAATGCATGATGACTTGTACATGTTTGTGTGTGTATGGTTTATATTAATAGCTAAATGTTTGCCTTATTAAACAAGTCCGTGTATTTTGAAGTATCAACATCATTCAGAAGGAAAATTGTAAGAATATACAATTTGATGATTGCATGTCAAATTGCTATGATTCTTGAAATTATAACATCCTTATGCTTATTCTTCATGGTTGGCATTCTGTTGAAGCGGCTAGTGTTTTGCTTCTAGTTCGTATTACAACCTGAAGTAAACATTTTTCTTTTAATCTTAAGCCTGCAAGTCCTACAGCTCTTGTGAGTTCTCAAGTTTTAACATATATAGAGCTGTTAGAAGAATGACATCTTCGAAACTTGCTTGATTTTCTTTCAGTTGCAATTTCTAACATCTCATCTTTTTCTTTGTAAGTGGATTTCTGAATATTCTGACTGCTTCTGTGTTATTCAGGTTGAAGCCATCATCTCGGGTATCCAACCAGGTTTAACAATGGTTGTTGGTCCGCCTGGTACAGGAAAGACAGATACAGCTGTGCAAATCTTGAATGTTCTTTACCATAATTGCCCATCACAGAGAACTCTGATAATTACTCATTCAAATCAGGCTTTGAATGACCTTTTTGAAAAGATAATGGAGGTAAGAGACAACTTCGGATGGCCATAGCCACAGTATAATACCACATTTGAAACTTGTCATTTACTCATTATCAATATTTCTTATTTCAACTGCTCATTCTGTTTTTGATTTCAGAGGGATGTTCCAGCCCGATATTTGCTTCGACTTGGGCAAGGTGAGCAGGAATTGGCTACGGATCTTGATTTTAGTCGTCAGGGCCGTGTGAATGCCATGCTTGCTCGAAGGTTGGAGCTTCTTAGTGAAGTAGAGCGTCTCGCAAGATCTCTACTACTGCCTGAGGATGTTGGATATACTTGTGAAACTGCTGGATACTTCTGGTTGCTGCACGTATACTCACGCTGGGAACAATTTTTGGCTGCTTGTGCTGACAATCAAGACAACCCCACTTTTGTTCAGGAGCGTTTCCCATTCAAGGAGTTCTTCACAAATACTCCCAAGCCAATTTTCACGGGTCAGTCCTTTGAAAAAGATATGCGTGCTGCTAAGGGTTGCTTCCAGCACTTAAAAACCATGTTTCAGGAGCTCGAAGAGTGTAGGGCATTTGAATTGCTTAAATCAACAGTAGACCGATCAAACTACCTCATGACAAAGCAGGCGAAAATAGTAGCTATGACTTGTACGCATGCTGCCCTTAAACGGAAAGACTTTCTACATCTGGGGTTTAAATATGACAACCTGCTGATGGAGGAAAGTGCACAAATTTTGGAGATCGAGACTTTCATCCCAATGTTGCTCCAACGACAAGAAGATGGTTATGCTCGGCTAAAACGATGTATATTGATTGGGGACCATCACCAACTGCCTCCTGTTGTGAAAAACATGGCGTTCCAGAAATACAGCCACATGGATCAGAGTCTTTTCACAAGATTCGTGCGCCTAGGAATCCCTTATATCGAGCTTAATGCCCAGGGAAGAGCAAGACCTAGTTTGGCATGTCTTTATAATTGGAGATACAAAAACCTTGGTGATCTTCCGTTTGTGAAGGAGAATGATATCTTTCGCAGAGCAAATGCTGGATTCTCTTATGAATATCAACTGATAGATGTTCCTGATTACCATGGGAGGGGTGAGAATGCTCCTTCTCCTTGGTTCTATCAGAATGTCGGGGAGGCTGAGTATATTGTCAGTGTCTATATGTACATGCGTCTACTTGGGTATCCTGCCAACAAAATATCGATATTGACAACATACAATGGCCAGAAACTTCTGATTCGTGATGTTCTTAACCAACGATGCAGCCCTTACCCATTCATTGGTTTACCACACAAGGTGCCATTTCTTCTATTTTTTAATATCTATGCTTGCTATTTTCTGGATAAATATTTTGCAAGTAATCTTGATACTTGTTTGCATGTCAGCCTCCGCATATCTGCATCTCTATTTGTTGGTTCTTCAGAATAGGAGTTAGATCTAAAAACAAAACAAATATCAGAAGTTATTTTATTACTGAGCTGCACTTAGAGTACATATTCATCCCTTTTCTGTTCTTACTCTACCCTTTGCTTTGCCTTCTCTTTCCTTGGTCGAGTGTTAGTACAATAAACATTTTGGTATCAAGTAAACAAAATGATTGTAGTTAGTGTTACGATGTAGCAACTGTTTATATTCAGTTAGATCCTTCGTGATTGGTTGCAGTGTGGCCGGCATATTGTAACTGTTCTTCCTGGCTATCAAATTTCAAGAGTTGATTTGACAAGCTTCCGTCATAATCGAAGGGCTGAATGATAGATAACATAGGAGATATTTTTTTTCACTTATTTCGGAGCTGTTGGAGGATATCTTTTGAGATGAATAATTAATTATATTCGAGGATGTGAGAGAGTTTTAGCTTTTTGAGAATTCCTGTGATGAGTATGCATAGCTCGAACTCACTTTTTGCCCCTGAATTTTGTCTTTTTAATGTATGTATATGTGTATATATAAAATATATATATATTCATTTTTCTCTCAAGTCTGTAGCTGATATTTGCAAAATTTAATGTAGGTCGCCACTGTCGATAAGTTTCAAGGTCAACAGAATGATTTCATCTTATTATCTCTTGTCCGTACTCGGTTTGTGGGGCATCTCCGTGATGTAAGACGGCTGGTGGTCGCAATGTCCCGTGCTCGACTTGGCCTCTATGTTTTCTGTCGGCGTTCTCTGTTCGAACAATGCTATGAACTACAACCCACGTTCCAACTTCTGCTTCAGAGGCCCGACCATCTCGCTCTAAATCTAAATGAGGTCACAGCATATACAGATCGTCATGTCGAAGACACTGGACCTGTCCAACTTGTTAGCGGCGTCGAGGAGATGGCAAGCATTGTACATTACAAGATGCACGAGGTTTACCAGGTAAATAGCCCTCATCCCTAACCTGATTATTGTTCGGTGATTTTTTATCCGAAGTTCTATATAACATTTGAGGACTGCACTTGGCTGATTCTCTTTGCTCATATCGACCAGATGCAGATGATGAGTCAGCAGATGAGCCAATTTTCTGAGGATTATTCAGGACAAGTGGCAATGCAGCAGATCGACGCAGGTGAGGACAACGGAGGGACAACTCTGAATGCCGCCATGGATGTCGATTCTCACCCCTCCACTGACGTTGAGAGTGCCATGGATGTCGATACGCGCCCTTCAGCAGATGGTGAGAATGACAAGAATACATTACTTGATGGCGAGGCTAATGATTCGGCTTCTGCACAAGTGGATGGAGACGAGCAGCCTTAAAATGAACGGGGTAATCGATGATGCTTTTTGCAATCAGGAACTTGTGTTGATCGAGATCAGAGATGGATGATTCCCAGTGATGTGCATCGGTATTTTTGGAGACTTGAAGAACACTTGAGCGAGAACTGAACTGTGTTCTAATCATTGGAATCATCCATGCATCCATCCATCCCAGTTTAGCTGAATACTATACTAGTAAGTGATCAATCTTATATCCTTTTCTATAAAGTTGGATTGGATTCTCTTTGATGTTTGTTTCCAATATCTGGAATTATTTCATATTTTATCAACTTTGTTCGTGTTGGTCAATACCTTTAATTTATAGTATTTATTTATAATTTTGCACTATCATATCTATGTAATTTACGTATTTAACCAATTTAAATTTTTCTCAAATTTCATTAACTCATCATCTTTTTATAATAATTCTATTTTATGCTATTAGTAGATTTTTTATTAATATAATATTATATTTATTAAATTTGTATTTACGTAAATTTTGTGGATGGAATATTATTTATGATAGTATAACAATTAAAATTTAGACTTGAAAAGAAATACCATTGAACTTAAATTGAAAATGAAAAGGCACGAAAAAGGAGGATGGGATCAAACAAAGAAAGGCTTCCAAAAGAAGGAATAAATTGTAGTGTATATAAATCAAATGGAACTACAAAATCTGTTCTAAACTCTATTTCATAACCATAACCAAAACATCTTTGTTGCAAGTAAAAATCAAATCAATAGAAAGTATAGTCCTTTTTATTTCAATACTTGCAATTGTAATCGTAATCGTAATTTTAACGAAAGAATAATAAATGACCTGAAATATCCAGCAGGAGCTTTTCCCATGTCGATCTCCATTGCCTTCCCTGTCCTCTGCCCTCTGCAAATCCCAATTTGATTTCAGATTTATTTTGGTAAAATCAAATTCATTCATTCTAACTTAAGCAAGGTCAGGTCCGCTCGCCAATGCTTCATAGCCATCGTGTGTTCTAGTCTTCCACATCGAAACCGGGACGCATTTCAGCACCACGCCGATGATCAAGCTTACGGCGCCCGTCAAGACGCTCACCGCCCACAGCTCGCGACTCAACGGAACCGTAGATGCAAACTTGCCCAAGAGTTCGACAATCACGACCTGAAAAGCCACGGTGCTGACCATTACCATGATGAAGATCCAGCTCCCGAAAATCCCCTGTAATATGTTTATCTTCTCCATGTCGCGGCTGTTGATTTCGTTGAAAACCTGCGACGCTAAACAATTAGAACAGTTCTTGTCGAGAAGCATCGTATTGTATTGTATCGTATCGACTGCACCTGGCAGAAAACGAAGGTGTTGAATATCAAGGTGTTGAGGGTGATTTCGGAGCTCGGCCCAGTCAAGTTCAGCAGCCATTTCCCTTCAAACTTGAGAACGACGAGCACAATCAGCTGGAAGATGCTCTGGCCGAGGATGTTTCGCCACATGACTTGCGTGATGAACTGCACGTTCCTTCTCACGGGCGGTTGCTTCATCAGTCCGTCGTGTGGTGGCTCCGTGGCCAGAGCTAATGCGCCGAGAGTGTCCATGATCATGTTCACCCAAAGCAATTGCACGGCAGTGAGCGGGGCGGAGCCTGCAGCCAAGAATGTAATAAACTATCGATGAATCATGCGCGTGCATACGAGCAAAGGGAGGCTACCTGAGATGCAGGCTGAAACGAAGTTTATCACAAGGGCTACGATGTTTACAGTCAGCTGAAACTGGACAAACTTCTGGATGTTGATGTACACCGATCGCCCCCATTTCGCTACGTTCACTATAGTAGAGAAGTTGTCATCCATAATCACCACGTCCGCGCTTCCTTTAGCGACCTAAGCGCGTTCAAGGTTTCGATTCAGTAACAAAACGATTCGATATATATATATATGTATACATGTATGTATACAGACCTCAGTTCCTGCTATACCCATTGCAAGTCCGATATCAGCTTCATGGAGAGCCGGTGCATCGTTAGTCCCGTCTCCGGTCACAGCTACGACTTCTTTGTATTCTTTCCTCAATAACGTCACGAGCTTGTGTTTGTCCAGAGGCAGCGATCGCGCCATAACCTGTCGAGCAATCACTCAAAAAGATTAAACTAACCGAACTGATATCTATTGATCGTGCAATCGTTACTCAACCTGAAGTTTGGGTATGATCGCATTCAATTCCTGCACGCTTTTATCGCGGAAATCAGAGCCTTCGATGGCGACACCATCTTCAGTCAAGATGCCACATTCTCTAGCAATGGCCCTGGCAGTGTTTATGTTGTCACCAGTCACCATTCGAACGATAATTCCAGCATCTAAACAAGTTCGGACAGCCTCTTTCACGCCCGGACGAACAGGATCCTTAATCCCGACAACTGCTATAAGAGTATAGCCTTCTTCAGGGATCGATTCTTCAGATTTTTTCTCCGTATCCTTATACGCCAGGCAGATTGTTCTCAGAGCTTCACCAGCAAACTTATTAATGGCATCTGTAATGTTCTTTCTCCCATCTTCTGATATGGCAGCAGACTCCCCATTCTTTCCTAGTACATTGTCACACATTGCAAGAACAATCTCGGACGCGCCTTTCACAAATGCTCTTCGACTGCCACCGGGGAGCGCCACAAGCACCGACATCTTTTTCTTGACAGAGTTGAAAGGCTCAACGTTTATTGTCTTGCATTCTTTTCGCGGTGCATGGAAATCTTTATAAAGCTGCAAGCCAAATTCAAGCAAAGCTGCCTCTGTCGGCGACCCTAGGATCTCGTTCTTCCCATCCTTACCAGTCACAACTTCCGCGCCTGTATTCAGAAATATAGCTTGTACCAGAGGTTTCTTCAGCTTCTCAGATATGGAAGAGCTGATCCCATTCCCGGGCTTGTTGTGTTCGACCTTTTTCTCATCTTCGTCTAACCAAATCTTCGTCACAACCATATGATTCGTCGTCAACGTCCCTGTTTTATCAGTGCAAATGCAGGTTGCAGAGCCCATAGTCTCGCAGGCGGACAGATTCCTAACCAGGGCCCTGTCATTCATCAGCTTCTTCATTGCAAAGGCAAGGCTGAGAGTGACTGCCAATGGGAGCCCCTCAGGCACGGCGACGACAAGAATAGTAACAGCAATGGCGAAGAAATTCAGAAGCTTCAGCACATCGTTTATCGACCAGTTTTTAATATGACCAGCCACAGCCTTCTCTGCTAGAAACCTGATAGTGAGCACAACAAACGTCAGGACAGCAAAAGCTAGACCAATCTTCCCGATAATGGTCGCCACTCCATTCAGCTTCACTTGCAATGGCGTCTCGTCTTCTCCCCCTTCAGTCAGCGTGATCATCAGCCGTCCCCACTCGGTCCTCATCCCAACAGAAGTCACCAGCATTCTGCCTGATCCATCCTGTACTTTCGTCCCGGACAAGAGAAAAGGTCTCCCTTTATCTATGCTCACCGGCTCGCTCTCTCCTGACAGGCTGGATTCATCGATAGACAAATCATAACCGGACAGAAAAATTCCATCAGCCGGAACTTGATCTCCTATAGACAGGTTGACAACATCCCCCACGACGAGTTCGTAAATGGATACCTTCTGCCTACGCCTGTTCCGCGTGACCTGAATGAGTATGTTCCCCTTTTCCCTGTCCAGGTCCCTGAACTGCAGAGACTGCTTGTAGTCACTAATGGCAGTCACCACCACCACCAAGAAAATGCACAGAATTATCCCTATCCCGTCATACATTCCCTTAGGCCACCCCTCGGTGGCGATCCCAACTCCTACTGAGATCACGGCGCACACCATCAGGATTATCAGAGTTAAGTCTTGCAGGGCATCCCACACGAACATCCAGAAAGGTCTAGGTGGTTTCACTGCAAATTGGTTCTTGCCGAAGATTTCCTGCCTCTTTGAAATTTCATTCTGTGACAATCCATTTTCAAGTGAGACTGATAGCTTTCTTGCTAGTCCCTCAGCTCCTCCATGAGATTCCAGGCGCTGCATGTCGTGTGATCTGACGATGGAAGCAAGCTCGTCCGGACTTATGTTGTAACCAGATTCCTTAACCTCTTCCGGGATGCTCTCCTTTTCTACTCGACTAACTCCTAACATAGCCAAAGATTTTATAAATGGTGAGAAACTGGAGATTCAATCAGTAATACTCAGGATTGTAAATGGTGTTCTCAAGATCGTACCATCGATGAAATGCAATGCAGCCTTCTGTACATATAAAGCTATTCTAATCTTCTCCTGAAAATGAAACATGAAATCAGATTGAGAAACTTCGCAGAATAATGATCAACAGATCCGCAGATTTTATGGATTAATAATCAGTGGTTTCCATACGCAATTTTTGAACATTTCATAGTTTGCTTAGAAAATTGTGATTTACTGATACCCTAACTACAAAAACTATTACAAAAAGCATTGTGAATATGCCCATCTCAAAATTTTATTAGGAACAAAATATTGCTCCTAGAAATGAAATTGCAAAGTTCTACAAGCTCTTAAAAGATATTACCAATATTTCTTATAGTTCTATTTTAGTTTTGGTAATGAATTCACGTAAGTTATATTATTCCATATACAAACGTGAAATGTATATACACTTATTATCGTTAACAAACGATCTTGAGGAACTTAAGAAATTTTCAACCAGTTAAGCAGTTAAATTGTGTTGAATCACAACTATTGTTACATTAGAAGTGTTCAAATACCATTCAAATAGAATGAAAGCTTGTGATAGAGGCCTTCACGTCATCGATGCTAAATCTAGAAATACAGAATGTAAATATTGATTCTTGATGGCAAAGAAGCCCCTACAGTTAGAATTCATAACAAGGGTGATCTTGTTGGTAGGTGAGATCAAGAATTAGAAGGTCTCCCTGACCCTGAATGGTGAATCTAGGGCATGATGATTCTACTGGCGATTAGTTAAGCTTTTATAGATGAAAAGAGCTGTAAATAAACGTGGGAAAATTACAGTCAAGCAATGTAAATCTTAGAAGAGGTTATCCGTGAATTTCTTATCATTGGCTGTATTTCTTTGTAGAATTTCCTTGATAACAAAATATGCTGCTGAATGCTGATCAGATCACGAAAAAGGCTTCCAATCCTAATGAATAAAATGATCGGAGAAATTAAAAAAACCTGCATGGTGGAAGAAACAGACGAAGCTCAATGAACATGTGACGTATAGCAACCAGATAAAAACGAAATGGCTTTTTATAGTTAGGATTCGCCATATCTATGCTTGCTTTATAGTAATATCCTTCACAAGTGCGAACTCGAATGTCAGGGAATCCGAAGAACGTATGACGAAATTAGACCGTCGCAACATTCACGAAATTGCTTGTTTTATAAAAACTGTAGTCGGTGCATATTGTATAACTTACCGACCTTAACAGTATAGTAGAATGTAAATCGAAATCTTCACATCTGACCTAATTAAGCGGCAGGAAAACATTTCGCCTACGTGGATCTACGGAGAAACATCTCAGATTGAAAGCGCATAGACACAGAAATTAATAAACCAGAATTAGCGAGGAGTAGGAGAGGAGAAGAAGATAACCTGGATTTTGCGGCGTTTGCGCTCGGCCTCCGCGCGCTTGGCGAGATCGGCGACCATACGGAAGCGTCGGCGGGGGTTTTTGACGAGCCAGACAGCTGATCTCCATCGCTTCAGCGCTTCTTCGGAGGGTCGCTTGGGATCTACGTTGAAATTCTTGTCCAAATAATCCTCCATAATGGTCGATGAGTGTGAGCGGGAGAATGCAGTGATGCTTCGAGGATCATCAAGTTGAAGAGACAGAGGAAGGGGAGATTTGGGAGAGTGAAAGTGAGTGAGTAGATTGATTTGAGGAAGGTGAAGGAACGATTCAAAGCAGGCAGGACAGCCATGGCTTCTCCTTCCTTCCTTCCTTCGAAATAGGCGGGAAGAAGAAGCAGTCACACTTTTACAGCCACATTTCTCTACTATTATACTGTCTCTGTCTCTTGTTAATACATTAAACTTAAATTATTTTCAGTATAACATTTTATGAAAATATTATTGGTATGTTTTTTTGTGATTTATTTACACATTTTTTTAATTAAATAAAATAAATATTTTTTCTTCTCTGGCCTTTAATCAACTTTAATTTTTACATTTTAATTCATTTTATATGAATATCATTTTAATTTATAATATTATACACATTACAAATATAATTATTTTTATATTATACAATACAAAATTAATTTAGTTATTTTATCTTTATTTTTACTGCATGTAAATATAATATTAATATTTTTAATCATTCGTAAAAAAAATTAAATATATAGATAGATATAAGATGAAAAGAATAATACATATTCTCTCTGTCCGATTAAAAGATTGTCATTTTCTATTTTCGTCCGTTCCAAAATAAAATTACTATTTCATAATTTAGTAATTGTACTAACTATCTAACATTATAAATATCCTTCAAACTTATGTTATATTACACAAATGTCATTATTTTTATATTACACAATATTAATAGAGATATTTTTGTCTTTTTTATTATAATTTATTATAATACTAATATTAAAAAATTTATGTGCAAAAAATAAACGGCAACCTGGTACCGAGAAGAAGGAAATATATAGTTATTCTTTTTATATTATTATGAACAATTCTTACATATTTTCATTCACACTTTTACAAAACAAACCTACCCTTTATATTATTTGCTTTTCTTCCTAATTTTTTATTATTCAAATTTTAAGGATTTTCGGATTAAATACTCCTTTTGTACACTTGTCAGTCCACTTGAGAGTAACAATTACTTTTAATGCTAATGCTGATATTAAAAAAATTTAAATATTTAAAGTTTGCTCTTTTAATATTTAAATAAAAAATATCTCTGAACGTTGTTTCTTAGTGATTTATTCATTTTTTTTTATATTTATTTAAAATTACAAATATTATTACATTTATATGATATAATACTAATAAAATTATTTTAATTTTTTTTATCTTTATTCGAACTACAGACGGATAAAATATTATTATTTAATATTATTTTTAATAAAAAATATATAGCATAAAAAATTATTAATAAGTTTATAAAGAAAAATGAACCAAATAGAAAAAATAGTGATAAAATTGTTACTACTATTTATTAAAATATAAGTAATCATATAGTATTTAAATAAGATATTTAACTATAAATAATATATATATATAAATTTAATGGACCATAAAATAAAATATTGATATAATCTTGATGGACCAAAGTAATATATATTTTTAAATAATTTGGAGAAATAATTGAAATGAAAATAACTTAGAAGTAAGATATCAACCAATCAAACAAATCAGTAAACTTTTTTTTTTTTTTTTAATTATGTGGAAATCCGCGGCAGCTACTCAAAAATGTTTATTGAGTGAATCTCTGATCCAATCTAATATCCTGCAAACTAGATTCGATAGATAAGTCACGTTAGTCAAACCATATGTGACAGATGAAACATTAATATTATTTTTGTGTTGAAATTGATAATAATATATGTTAGGTAAATTATATGGCTGTGGTGAGAGGAACGATTGCTCAAAACTCAATACAAATAAAAGTTATTATATATTTATTTGATATTTATAAAATATTAAAAAAATATGACGTGATGATATTTAAATAAACTTCTAGTTATGAGCTATATAAAATCACGTGTTGAAATCTTCCATAATCAAGACTGACCATGTTGAATATTTATTATTTTGTTAGTTAATGTACATATAAATATTTTAAATTTTAAAAATCAATTATAATAAATCGGGTACAACCCGAACTTTATGGGTTGCAGTCAAATTTTTTAATCTATTTTTTAAGGTACAAGTATGATTTTTTGTGTTGAATTTTGGATCAAATTTTTGAATTTTTTTCATTTATAGTTTAAATAGCAGTTAAGTATAGTATTTTTTATATAAAAAAACAATCATGTATTTTAAATTTAAGATAATAAAGAATAAAAACAAAATTCAAATAAAACAAAAAGAGATCGGACTGTGAACAAATTATTGTTATTAATCATATTTAATGAGCACATATTTTGCTATATCCACAAAAAAATATATTTTTTTTCCTTCTATATAATTTTAATTTTAAAAATTTTAAAAATTAGAGCAATAATAACACAGGCCAAATAAAAAGATCCTCGAATTTTGGAAGCCCTACAATTACAAAAGCAAAATCAATGCGGGCCCCTCCAAATCTACTTTTGCCAGACTGTACTGTCCTGCTTTGATTTCTCTAATTAATGCATAAATTGCAATTTACTGGAACTTGAAGCCCCATTCTGCAATTTGCACCATATTTGACCAGTCAAAATCACCTGAATCATTTTGGACTGATTTTAGTTATATTTCAAAACTGGTATTATTATAAACTCAACACACAATTACAAATGGCAAGGATTGTTCATTTTGTATTTAATTTTATACTTTGCATACTAATTGTATATTTATTTTTTTAAAACAATATTACTCCATTCGTCTCAAAATTATAGTCTGAGTTGTGTTTGACACGAGATTTAAGAAATCTTAATATTATATTGATAGTAGGTGAAATGTATGTATAAAAGACTTTTTTACCCTTGTGAGCTTATTAGTATAAAAAGTAGTGACAATTGTGTAATAATAATGAAAAAATAAAGGTAATTTTATATTGATATGGTTATTTATGAAAATGAGATTATTGTTTTAGAACGGACAAAAATGATAAACAATACTATTGTATTGAAACTAATGAAGTGTATAGTTTAATGAATTGTCCAAATGCTTAGAAATTGATAGGGAAACAGTGCTTCTAAATTTGACTTAATTATATTGCCAAAAAATAAATAAGAAACTTGAATGACTTTAAAAAAGAAAATAAAAATAACCTAAGATATCAGAAACCATTTATGTTGTGCATTTAGTTTGTGTATTTGCATAGTAACTTAACGTAATGCTTTTAGGGTGTGTTTGTTTGAAGGATTTTGGAGGATTTTCACTATTCATCCAATTTTTTTCCCCCAAAAATATCAAATCAAACACCTATTTTTCATTTTTTATATTATACTAAAAATCAATTTTACATTCAAAACATCACATCAAATCCTATTTATATCACATCATACAACTATTCAAATTCAAAATTTTTACTATTCAAATCCCAATCCAAAATCCAAACCCCCAAACAAACACACCCTTAGAGAAAATTTATATATACATTTTCTTTTTAAAGGCTAAATAAATAAATAAATATATAATCATATTAATTGAATAGTAGTATTTTCTCAGTCCCAAACACTGGGCAATATTTGTGTTCGGCAAGAAAATTTAGGTGGAGAGTATTAAGTATGATAATTTGAAATAATTTGGATATTAAGTGATATGATTGGAGAGAGAAATAATTATCTGTTTTTTTTATTTGAGTGATGTGATTGGATAAAGTGAAGTGTATATTAATATATATATATAAAAATATTATTAATTATTTCTAAATTTGAAAATATTGCAGTAAGTTTGGGACAAAAAAAAAATGTTGCAGGATGTTTGGGACGGAGTGAGTACTTATTTCCTATGAAATACTTATGTGGCATTTTATTTTCTTGTTGTATAAAAAAAATACTATTGTCTCTGCCTAAAAAAAATAATTTTATTTTTTATTTTCATTGTCTTATAACAATAGTTTGTTTCAATTTTTTTTAATAAATAATCCTCCACTTTTTTACAAATTTAACTCTACTTTTTTCACAATAATTAAAAAATATTTTGATATTTTAAAAATACTTTTACATTAATTATTAATATAATATTATTATTTTTTAATTCTCGTATAAATCTAAAATACTACTATTATTTTGATACGAAAAAAAAAATCTATTTTTTTATATAATAAATTTTTTTGTTTTTACTTATTTTCCTGACAATTTGTATTTTGTCAAGTAAGTATAAATATCAATGATAAAAGAAAAAATTATTTTCTTTTACAAAATATTAAATAAAAATATTATTTAAAAATAAATCTAATATTTTATTCCAATTAATTTCAAACAATAACCCAATATTGGTAGTTATTCCACAATAAAATTATTATAATTTCAGCTAGTGGTTTGAGCTTGCATCTAAATGCACACACTTATTAGGGGATTGTTTGTTTATAAATTATTATATTTAAGTGTATATTAAAAAAAATTAAATTCAATTACAATCAACTAAAATCTTTTTGTCTTTTAGTTATTTATTTAGTATTTATTATTTGTTTTTCATTTTTTAAAAATATATAGAGTATATTTTATAGTATAGATATCAAATTATTATTAGTATTACTTTATATCACTCATAAATTATTAAATAAGTGTTTTTAAAATATTTCACGTTTTTATATATATCTTTATTTTATTAATTTTATATAAAAAATAAATACTACCTCTCTCCCATTGAAAGGTTACTATTTTTCATTTTCGTCCGTTTCAAAACAAAGGTTACCATTTTCTAATTTAGTAATTATACTACATACTTCACATAATAAATACTTTTTCAACTTACAATATATTACACAAATATCATTATTTTTATATTAGGGGTATTTTTATCCTTTTTACTATAATCCAATATAATATTAATATTAAAAAATTTACGTGTAAAAAGCAAACTCCAGCCTTTTTGCGGGACAAAAAGAGTATATAATTTTATTTAGTTGAACGAACAAGTACTAAAATAAAATGAAAAAGTAACGATGTGTTTACTTATTGATTTCACTAACAATTTTTTGAAAAAATATTAAATTAATTATTTGAATTTTTTATTTATTATATTATATAAAAATTAAAATTTATATTCAAAATATTATATTAATATATATACATATTATATTATATTTTATATTAATTTAAATTTTTACTATTTAAATCTCTCCATTAAAAAATCATAAGAGTGAAATGAACTTAAAAAAATAAATAAATTTGTTTAATCATATTTACGGGAAGTGTCACCAGTGATGAGTGTCTGTGAGAAACAAAAGGCAGCAGAAAGAAGCGCAATCACATGGGCGTTGGTGCAATGGACCCACAGATCCCATCACCACTAAATAAAAACACTACTAGTCTACTACCAGGTACTACACTAGAGTGGGGCCCATCTGCACTGTCAGCCACCCAACTCTATATCACTCCATGTGCATTTTAATTTTATTTTTCAGACATGGGGTCCACCCCCCCTTTCTCGCCATTAATGCATCACATCAAATCCCTGCAGCTAAACGACAACCCAAACCCATCATCATATCAAAAAAATAAAAATATCTTCCCCTAAACCAAATTAAAGATGTAACAAAATAGAAATAACTAATAATTAGCATATAATTAACAATAATAATACAAATTAATATTAGTGATGGATTGATTACACAAGTATTCTTGATTTCTATACACATTACAGAAGCCATCGTCGTCGTCACTGAGATCTGATAATGAGGTGAGATAATATAATTGAGAGAAAATACGAAAAGAAAATTACAATGCACTGAACATGTTTGATCTTTTGTCCCTATTCATTCATATTTGTCTTCGTTTCTTCTTTCCCTGTCTGTGGTCCGAGACTGACTACACACTGCAAATTATACATACATAGATACATACATATATATATATTTATTGAGAAAAATAATTAAGAGAAAAATGGATGGCCTCCTTTTTCTTTTTTACTTTAGTATTAGTAGCCGCCGTTGCTGCGGCGGCGATGGTGGCGGCGGCGGCGGCGGCGGCAATGGCGGTGCTCAATGTTTTATGGATATATATCTTTAGCCTGTTAAGATTTTAACCAATCTTGTTATGTCGAAAATGGAATTTTTCTGTAATTGGGAATAGGGTTTTTTGATAATTTATGGAAGTTTTGGTTACCTTCGTTTCTGGGGGTGACAATAATTCTACAGCTACATCCCAACGGTCTCGCGACCGGAAGCAAACCTGTTTAATTTTTGTACACATCGTAATCAAATCATTGTGTAGTATAATTCAGTTCAGATTATTTATTATTTTGCCCCAAATTAGGAAGCAATAATAATATATGGGCGATGAAAACTAGGTTAAGACATTTATATAATTAACGACATTGTTGTTAATTAGTTGCAAATTGTGTGTGTCTTGTCTGGCTAACCTAGGCACATGGAAGTAACACGTTTTGAACGGCGGCGACACGTCGACGACGGAAGTTGTAGGGAACGCCGTTCCGGTGATCAATCCGTTCCTCGATAAGGGATCGGAAATTGCGCCGCACTTTTCTGTCTCGGTGGCAGAGAAGCCTCCGGCGGAGTCGCGGGAGGCGAAGGGGCTGTCCGGAAGGTTGTGATCGAAGCTGCAGGGATTTAATGAATCGGATTCAGACGAAGAAAGACTATGATGAAAATCGACTAATTCATCGGTTATTACCTTCCGGATTCGTTTGGACAGCCGTCATCTTTGGCGAATTTGATTTCTTCCTTTTCTTTTTCGACTGCATTGTGGGGTGCTTCGTCTCCATCTGCTGCAACAAAATGAACTAGATCAATCTACGAAAGAAAACTGAATCGAAAAAAGCCGAAACTTTGAAGATCAAGAACCTTGTCTAGCTTCGGGGCTGCTCTGATTGCTGGACATGACATTGAAGTTGAAGAAGCTGGTCGGAGAATAAACCGGCGATGGCGAGGCGGCGACGGGGCTGCCGGAAAGCGGGCATTGGTGGGTTTTACGCTTGACGTCGAGCAGCTGTAGGCCCATAAATCGACGGTTCTGAAGCTCAATTGTCTGGTGCAAATCCGCGGCCTCCTCTAACTTCCTCCTCCACAAATCGTCGTGCGCGCCGTAGAACATTCTAGCACCTTCCAGATATCAACAATTCATCCAGACACTGTTATTAGATGACCGTTTCAACTAAAAGCTTAAACTTTTTGATACATAGGTCACCTGCTTACCGAGCTGGAAATCTTGAAGATCTTTCGACTCCAGCTCCGAATGGTTTGGGCTACTACTTAGTCCTGCGAATTCGCCTCTTTCAATTTGTTGTTGCTGTTTCCTGCAAAAGAGATTGCTTGATATATTAAGAAATCGATCGATATATTCATGCTTGTCAGGGATTATCGATTCCATTGACGACCTATGTTTGTCGGGGATCTTGCCCTTTTCCTTATAAGGCTTAACGAGGACACGAGCATCGCAGACGAAATGCGGGTTGCCTTTGGCGAGGATGAGCTTAACGGTCTCCGGAAATTCGAATGTGACAAAGCCGAACATCCTTTTCTGCTGATACGGGATCCTCACGTCCTGAACGGGTCCAAAATTGCTGCTTCATTATGGAACACCATGTACAAAAGTTTCAGTCTTTGTTATTACAGAGGTGATGATCATGAAATGAATGATTGAGGCTGTCTGTGCACCTGAAATAATTCGACACATCTTCTTCCTTAAACGTGCTGTCTGCAGGGAATGTCAAGTATATCTGCCTCGATCCTGGATTGAGCCCGAATCTCCCGAATTTGTGCATTCCATCGCCCATCATCAAAGCCCTGAACAGATATTTTCAAATCAATCGAATTTGCCCAAGAAATTAAAAATGAAAATAAAAATAAAATAAAATACCTGGAGGTATCGAGCAAGCTGATGCATTTTGGGGAGTAAGAGAAGCTGGGGGAAGAAGACAACAGCTGCTGCGGCTTTGATCTGAGAAGCAGCTCCGGCGGCGGCTCCATCATCGCGTCGTCGGCGCCGCCGTGGAGGAAGCGGCAGCTGGAGCCGTTCTTGCAGTAGCCTCTAGCGTAGAACAAGCACGGCTTCCATCCGAGCCCGCCGCCGGCGACGTCGTCTGAGCCTCTTACATACATATCACTAACGGAGTGGCTTCTCCGGTGGCCGCCGGCGAGGCCACCCCAGGGAGGATAGCAAGGGGCGTTGCCGTTGGGGCTCAGGGCCAAATCTTGGTAGTAAAAATCACAACTTTTCCCCCCAATTTGTCCCGGCGAGCCGTCGTTGAGGAAAGAGAGCTGATCTTGGAGATTAAGCTCATCAATTAGGTCAATTTCTGAGGTCCCATAAAAAGGGGCAGCTGCAGAGTTCATAGTAGAGTTGGAGCTCGTGCTGCAGCTGCTGTACCCACCCAGCCCCATCATTAAATCGTCGGAAAAGCTCCCGCCGGAGTTCGTCCACGACGGCGGCGCGTTGATTCCGAGTGGGGAGGGGAGATTCAGACTCAGATTCAAATTCAACCTCTGAGGAGCTGAAGAAGGACATGAGTTCTGCCTGGAAAGGGAAGGGTTGGGGAAAGGTGGGGTGGGGGGGGAGGGCGTGTTTGGCTGAGCTAAACTAAGCTCCTTCTTGGCTTTCAAAATCACAGAGTGGAGGAGAGATTCAGGGCCGAAAGCCAAACGGATCATTTCCTTCTCACCATGATCTTGAATGAGCAGAAGCCCCATGATTTTTGCAGCATTTTGAGGGTCCAAAGTTTGGATTCTTTGGAAGACTGTCTTCGTTGCTTCATAAGCATCCATACTTCAAAAAAGTAGAGATTCCAACACTTTGTTGTTTCTGCACACACCACTTGTTAGCACCCCAAGTTCACCTCCATCCTTGACTCTGCAAAAAACTCCATGAACATAAACTCAAAGGGAAAGAAAAAGATTGCGGAAAGCTCTATGAAAAGCTAAAGCTAAGTTGAAGATGGTGGTTGAATTTGTTCATTTCTAACTTTCAGAAAAACACCACCTTCCAAAAGGTGCCATCTTTTTTTTAATTTTCTCCTCCCACCAAGATTTTTCTCCCCTTTCTTAAAATTTTTGTTTTTCTTTTCTTTTTTTTAAAGAACATAAACCAAACTCATACCATGAAACACCCTTTCAATCCTCCATCACTTTCTGTCTGAAGAAGGCAAGCCCATATCAGTTCTTCATTTACTCTCTCTCTCTCTCTCTCTCTCCAATATTTTCTGCTAATTTTCTTTCAAGTTTGAATATATGTTTGCTAGCAATGGAAGGGATGCCACAAAAGCCAAACCAGCACCTTGTTTCGACGCAGCTGCCACTGTGCCCTCCAGAATTTTGCACTAATCTGACAGCAACACCAGATGGGAGTCTCGTTCTTGGGAGGTCCCAGGATCTCAACACCCCATAAAATGAGCCCACACTGTTCTTTCTGTACGGTCAACACTGTCGCCGTTGCAGTTCATCCTGGCGTTGATTTCCAGGACCTTCCAAGAATTTGAAAACTTTTTCAAAAATTTTTTTGTTATTATTATTATTATCAAAAGAAAAAGTGAAAAAGGGGGAAATGGTGAAGTGTGGGGGCAGTGAAATAAATGAAACGAGAGGTGTGTCTCAAGGCTGAGTTACAAAAAATCTTCCGGCAAAAAAATATGTAAGAGTACTTTTATTTTTAAAGTTATTTATATGAAATAATTTTATTCAATAGATAAATTATTATTTAGTAATATATGTTTTAATTTTTCAATAAATTTTCATAATATATTATTATCTGTCATATAAATTTATTTTATTTGATCGAACACAAATTTTAAAAGAATAATTAAAAATACTTTTTCATAATAAAAAATATAAAAGTAATTTTTTTAATAAAAAATAAAATAAAAATATTTATTATGATAATAAAAAATAATTTTAAATTTAATTAATAAAAAAATATTTTATATATATCTTATTTTTATATTAAAATATTATTCATACCGTCATTTTTTAATGCACCTACAAATTTTCTAGTAAATTAAAAAACAGAGTAATAATTTTTCTATTCTATTTGAAATGAGTCATATGGAGTTTTATAATATATATAAAGACATAATAATAGTTTATTAATTAGTGAAAATATGTATGAGATTTTAATATTTTTTGTTCTTTGATTTTATATAAACAATAATTATATTTATAATAATATATTTGTAATTTAAATAAAAAATACAAATATTTTGGTATTAATGTATAATTATTTCTACTATAAAAATTACTTTTGAATGAGATAAATCAAAATGGTAAAAAATTACTTTTAATTAGAACAAGAAGAATAGTATTTTATTGGCGGATAAAAATATATAATATGTTTTGATATTTTTACCTGTATAAAATAATTATATATATAATAATATATATGTAATTTATATAAAATTTTATGATATTTGATATTAATATATAATTATTTTTATTAAAATAAAAATATAATATTTTTTAATAAAATAAAATAATAAAAAAATACTTGAGACGAGAAAAATACTCAATTGTTTATAAATGTTTGATATCGGAATAATGTGATATAAAAGGGCAGTGAAAAGAGTATTTATTTATTTATTTATTTATTTTCTTCGTTTTTTTAATAATTTATATATTTTTTTATTTTGGTCTGTTACATAGTAAAATATTTATTTTTTTATCTATTTAATATTAAAAATATTCAACTAATTTACAATATATTATATAAATGTTATTATTTTTATATTATACAAACTAATAGGATTAATTTATTCTTTTTATTTAATTTTAATATAATATTAATATTTTTAAAATATTATGTATAATACAAATGGATATATGGATATGGACGAAACGAGTATATAAATACATTGACTGACAGAGTTCCACTAACTCTCATCTTGATCCCCTCCCACTCTGTTTTACTGTTAATATTATATTACTGTCAGCGTGGAAATGACTTTTCTGCCCCACTCCATGTGGTTTCTTGTTTTTGATTTGGATAAAATCAATATTTGTGGAAAATATGAGTCGGCCCACGTGTTTTTCCTTTTTAGTGTTATTTTTAAGTTAAAGTTAATATATCATTGATCAACATCATAAGTCAGTCGATAATACAAAAAAAATAAAATAGAATTTGAAACCATAAGAATAGAGCAATTCATTTTATTTCAATATTCTTGGTTTTGTTTGATTTTGGTTCAAAATTAAATTTTTTATTTGAATTCTAATTCAAATATTATTTTAAAATAATTTGTTTTTATAAAAATAGTTAATGTATTGCATGTTGAGTAATACTTTCCTTTCGTCAAAACTCAATTTATTATTCGTGTTCGTATATTAAAAATATTTATTTTTAATTACAGTAAAAATAAGTTTATATAAATATAAAAATACTCAAAAATTTTACAAAAATAGTTATTTTTTGTACACTTAAATAAAAAAATATTAAAATTATTTTATATATTTTCATGGACTAATAAAATATTATTACTCTCTAATCCATTAAATATATATAGTTTGCAGTGAAATGAGTATTATTTTTTATTTAAAAATTTAAAAAAGTACACCCATTTATACATAATTATGAACTATTTTGGCTATATATTTTATTAAAATAAATTTTAATAAGCAACATTTGGGGTGTGTTTGCTTAATGAAATTGTTTGAACAAAATTTATTTTATTTGTTTGTTTTTAGGTAAAATATGTAAAATTATATAAATAATATAAAAAAAATAAATGTGTATAATATATTATTTTTTTAATTCTAAACAAATTTTTTTAGCCATTCAAATTGAATTGTTTTTAATAAAAATATAATATTTATATTTCATTAAAAAAACAAACAGTCATGTTTTAATGGTGTATGTTTGCTTTACGTTTTTTAGATGACAAGTATTTTATCATAATTTAATAAAAAATATTAATTTATTATTAATATGATTTTTTATACTTAATATTTGTCTTGTACTTTCCTAATTTAAAGTATCATTTTTATCACTTTCGTTCGTCTCACTAAAATATATTCATTTATTAGTTTAGAAAAAATAATTCTACTCTAGTATCCAAACATATTTAAATTAAAAACATATAATTACCTATACAATTAATTTATAGTATATAAACTAAAATACAAAAAATGTTAAATTTATTTTATATATTTCTACTAATCAAAATTCTAAAGCCACCTCAGTTGTAAGGGAGAGAGTATATAATATAAATTTTACCATAATTTTATTATTCTTTTTTTTTTTCTCCCTGAGGGTTTAGTTGTAAAATTTTTACCCTGATTTTATTATTTTTATTTTTATTTTTTCTCTTAAAAAATATCAAATCAAACATCTACTATTTATTCATTATATTACATAAAATTTTAACTTTATATTTAAAATATCATATTAATAAATAATTATATTACATCAAATAATAATTTCAATTCAAAATTTTATTATTTAAAATTAAAATTCAAAATCAAAATCAACATATTACATGTAAAGACAAAGTGAGCAAGCACACCTTGCATGGGCGTGTTTGTTTAGGGGTTTGGATTTTGAGATTTGAATAGTAAAAATTTTGAATTTGAATAGTTGTATGATGTTATATAAATAGGTGTTGATGTAATTTTTTGAATGTAAAATTAATTTTTAGTATAATATAAAAAATAAAAAATAAATATTTAATTTAATATTTTTTTTAAAAAAAAAGTGGATAAATAGGGTAAATCAAATCCAATCCCCAAAACAAACACACAAATGGATCTAAAAAATTCAGTCCATTTGGATTAAACACAGTCGTTATAATTTCACAGCAGCACGTGAGTCCATTCGAATGAATCCAGGTGAGGGTATTCTTGTCTTTTCAGCTTTTTGTTTCAGACAAGTGTGGGGACGTGACTGTGAGAATGGCATAGACTGAACCATCTTTTCATTTAATTCTCTCCCCCCTCCACTTGTATGGAGTATTTATTTAGGTTCTGTTTACACTATCTTATTTATTTATTTTTAAAATTTTCATAGTAGTTCTTTTTATTCATTTATAAATTTAATTATTTTTATTTTTAAAAAATTAAATTATTATTATTATTACTTATTTATTTAAATTTTAATAACTTTTTATGATACATAATTTCATCTTTTAACTTTCTTTATTTTTATAATATTATAGTTTAATTTCATGCTTAACCAGGTAAACATAAACATAAGGAACGAAATATTATTTATTAATAATAATTTTATTAAAACATATTTACTTAATTTTACAAAAATATTATACTCTTCCTCTCTCAATTGTATTATTTTTATCATTTTATTTGTATTTTCAAAAAGTAAAATATCAAACATTTGTATAATTTTATTTACTAATAAAATATTATTTTTTAATCTATTACAAATAAAATAAAATAAAATAATTGAACAAATTGAATTGAAGGAGGAAATATTAAATATTTATTGTTTTAAATTTTTTCAAAACTTTTCATTTAAATCAATATTTTTGTTACTTTTGTATTGTGTATTTGTTTGAGAGTTTAGATTTTGGTTTGAAATTTTAATAATAATAATTTTAAATTTGATCAGTTGTATAATGTGATATAAATAGATATTTTTGTGATTGATATTTTGAATAAAAAATTAATTTTTAGTATAATATAAAAAGTGAAAAATGATTGTATGAATTAATATATTTTAAAAAAAATTGATGAACAATAAAAATATTATAAAAGTATTTAAATGAACACCCTCGTAGTGTTATTATATATATTTTTAAAAAAATTATATATATTATTAACAAAATTTCATATTAAATATTAATTTTTTATTATATGCAAAATTGAACCCTCGTGGAGTCCATTCAAAACCTTTATCCAAATGAGTTTTATTTATATTTTGGTGAGAATCTTTTACATTTCTATGTTATGGTATGTTATGTTGTTGACCACCATCGGGACTGCTCCAATGCACGTGCTGTGCACGTGCTTTTTGGTTAATCAAATGTGATTCAATTAGTACACGAATGGGTTGTGTTTTTAATAAAATATAAAATATATTCATTTGAATATATATATTTTTATTTTATTATTTTTACGTTGAAATAAATAATTGAAGAATAGCAAGTAGAAGGTGAAGCATTGTCACGTGACCATTTCAGCGCTACAAAATGCTTACCGATACGAGAAAGTGTTGATGCTGATTGCAACCAAAAGGGTAAAGCACGTGCATGGCACATGCATATGGATATATTAATAGGGGGTAATTAGTAATAGAATTTCTTTTATTATTATTTTTTTAAAAAAATAAATTAAAATTGATAGAATTATGTTTAATAAATTAATATTGAATATAAAAATGGTGTGGCAAACATTCCACTGTAATGGTCTATGTTTAGAGATAAATTGATCTTTTCGCATCAAAAGTTACATTTTTTTTTTTGTTAAATTAATCCAAAATTTAAATATTTAAAGACACCCTACATTTTTAGAGAAATCTTATAGCTTGATTTATCTAATTCAATATATATTAATTAATTAAACTAACTATGTTTTAAAATTAAATTTGCGTAGTCATTAGATGAGGCGATGGGTTTAGGAATTGGGCTTTATTTGGGCTTTTATGTATATATTCAACCCAAACCCACATTAATGGATCAGTTCAAGCCCAATGCATTATATATATATTACTGCTCTTGATTGGAGAAGAAATACAGCAGTCAACCCAAATATTAATTTGGGCTCTTTACGCACAATTTTTCCTTTTCCTCAATTTTTTTTTATTATTTATTAAAAAGTATATATATTAAAAATATATTTATTTATTTATTTTTTTTCAGATTAATCAAGACTGTGTTAAAGAAACAATGAACATTATTTCTTAGTATTTCTCTTCTTAGAATCGGCTCTAATTTTCCCATCTTTTCTAACAACCTTATTCGTATCGAAAGCTCTACACCTTTCGAAATTAACGGCCGCCGTCAATTTTCCGAACTCCGGCCGCCGTTGATCGCCGTGATCGTGTAAACGGAAGCTCGATTCGCCGTTAGGCCCGGCCATCAATTCCATTAAATTGCTCCCAAAATTTAAATCCATTCTTTGTGAACTCGATAACAGTCTACCAGTCTTTGCAATATTCCCATTCTTCGAACCCGGCCCGTTTTGTCCAACGGCCCGAACCGCCGTCTCCGCGGTCAAGCACGGATTAACCCCCAACCCGGTCCAGGACTGGACCGGGACCAGCTTACTCAGCTCCGCAAGGCACGCCGTCACTTCCTTCATCGACGGCCGCCGTTCCCGGCAAGAACGGACGCACTTCGCCGCCAGCACCGCCAGAGTTTTCCTCACCAGGGCGTCGTTGGGCGGCGGAGTCCGAGGATCGTAGAGAGAGAGCATTTTCCGGCGCCGGATCAGTGGGATCGCCCAATCGACGACGGACGCCGGCGAGTGGCTCAAATCGATGGCTTTCCGGCCTGTGATAATTTCGAGCAGAAGAATTCCGAAGCTGAAGACGTCAGCTTTCGTGCTGAGGAGGTCAGGGGTGACGTAACAGGGGTCTAAGTAGCCCATCGTTCCGGCCGGCGGCGTCGACCGCAGACGGGCGGCGTCGGCGTCGGCGCAGCGGAGGGCCAGGCCGAAGTCGCCGAGGCGGGCATTGAAATTCCGGTCGATGAGGACGTTGGCGGATTTGATGTCGCGGTGGATCACCGGCGGGGATTGGGAATGGAGGGTGTCGATCGCGGTGGCGATTTGGAGGGCGAATCTGATCCGGCGCCGCCACCGCGGCGGCCGGCGGGATGCGGAGTGGAGGACGTCGTAGAGGGTGCCGTTGCTCATGAATTCGACGACGAGGAGGCGGCGGTTGCGGCCGGCGGCGGCGAATCCGAGGAGATTGACGAGGGCGGGGCTCCGGAGGGAGGAGAGGATGTCGATCTCGTTGTCGACTTCGTCGGGGACGGCGGAGGAGGGCTTCTTGACGGCGACGCGGCGGCCGGTGGTGAGGACGGCTTTGTAGACGAGGCCATGGCTGCCTCGGCCGAGGAGCTTGGCGTCGGAGAAGTTGTTGGTGGCGAGCTCCAGATCTTGGTACTTGAATTCCTCGATTTTAATGCCGGTGGGTTTGTCGTCGGAGTTCAAAGTCGCCATAGATGATTCCGCCGTGCAGGAGAGGTAACCCATCCCCAATTTCGGCATAATTATATATATATATATATTTATTTATTGCAGGGGAATTAGGGAAGATGAAGATGAAGATGAGCTGTGTGTGGGTTGAAGAAGTTCGATGGCCACTGAGTGAGAATAGGAATTATATATGTATATGTGTATAAGAAGAATATGGATGGATATTACAGACGACAATATATATATATATATTGAAACGTAAAATATACTTACATACTAATTTAACGTAAGAAAAGTATGGTAGGAAATAAAACCAACTACTCATACGCAACCCTTTTTGTTTTTTTGTCCCTTTGGAGGTATTTGCATATATTTATATATTTTCAAACCATCATTTTTTTTTTTATTATTATTATTTTTTTATAATGCAATTTTAAAATTAACATATGATCTACAGTTGAATTCGATTATTCTATAGATTTTGCATTATTGGTTTAATATATTTTATATGTTAATGAATATGCGAGTACAATCAACATGGTTCAGCATAATTTTTCATATCACAAAATCTTGAATACTATTGCTTGTCTAATCACTCTTAGATTACAAAAACCAATTAGTTACTAATTAAAACTACATTTCCAAATCAATGCATGATCCAATCTCATATAATAATAATAATAATAACAACTTTCTGAAAAAATAAAAATAAAAAAATGTCATGAATATTTAAAACTACTAAACTATATGTTCAAGTTTGTATTTTTTGTAAAAAAAATTATTTTACTAATCAATATTGAAGTCTCGAAAAAATCTAAAGCTAATAATAATAATAGGATAAAGAATGGTGGGATTTGGAGAAATGGAGTTAGCTAAGAAATTTATTTAGGATCTATACTAATAATGTGGTGATATTAATTCAACATGGCAATTCATATATATAACAAACTTCACACTAACAAATATATTTAATTGGGGTCCCATTGGAGACTTTTATTCAATTTCATGTTGATATATATGTTCCCCAACCAACAATGTCCCGTAAGGGATGGCCTGGACGACTCAGATTACCTGCCATTCGGGTGCTGCTATTTCATCTTTATTATATATATATATTTTTTTTCATCTTAATTATATTATTATTATATATTCTTACATAAGGATTTCAGGCTCCTAAGTATCGAAGGGATTTCAACAATAAGGCTTCTCCAAGTCATGATTATAGAAATTAAAAATATTAAAAAAAAAAAAGAGAAAAGAAGAAGAAGATGAACAAATTAAAGAACACACAATTAACCAAACCCTAATTTGTCATCTATACGGGCTCGGGAATATTTTTATTTTTATTTTAAAAAATAAAAAATTGAAGATGCAAATGTATGTATAGGTAGAAGACAAGGGTTTTAATTTGGTGACATTCTGTTTTCTTGGAAAGAAGGAATTGAATAGAATTGAAGGAATGATTTTGAAGCCATGGACATAGAGACACAGACAGACAGCCCATAGTATGTATATATATATATATATATACATAGTGGTCCTGATCTCCTACCCAGCTGCAGCAATTGGTTTATTGCTGCTGCACTCTTCTTCATCTTTCAGCAAACAAAACAATCAATCAAACACAATTAAAGAATGAATACACCCAAAAAAAAAAAAAGAAAAAAAATAATGTATTAAAGTTGGTATATATATATATATATACATCCCCAGTTCACTTCAATATATAAGATGATACATACATATAGATGCAGCAGCAGTGCTGCTGTAGAGTGAAAGCCAATATATATAATGTGTGTATATATATATATATATTTAGGGTATTTGGTAGTTACATAAAAGAAGTTGAAGATCATTACTATGAAGATAAGAATTTGCTCTTTTTGGGCTTGCCAAAGCCACCCAACTTTAGCTAGTTAGATTAATGGATAAGAAATGTCACGTTCCATAGTTTATATATATATATATATATATAAATTTTATTAGTAGATAATATTAGATATAACAATTATTTTCACCTCAAAATATTAAAATAAAAAATAAACATTAAAAAGAAAAACCCCTTAGAGAAAAACTTATGTTGTAAGTTGGCTCATTTTTATTAGGGTGAGCATATTGGATATCAGCTTCAGTTGTATAGATTTTTTGAAAAAAAAATAAAATCATATTTTGCATTATTTATCTTTCATCTTAAAAAAAAGTATTACACTATTAAATATTTATTTTTAAAAAATAAGATATTACATTAAATATTTATTTATCTTTTTACTATTCTAATTTTTTTTTTTTTTAATTAAACTCCAAACTCAAAATAGATGTATTCATTTAAAACTTGGTTTTGAACTTTAGTTTTAATAACTTAGATATAATATTTTCTTTAGTGATTGCACAATTAAAAAATTATAATAATCAAATTTCAAAAGAACAAACTAGTTTTTTTTTTTTTTTTTTTTTTCTCCGTTTGATCGAAGTCGAGTTCTCTAATATAATGAGAATTAGCTGCCAAAAATTAAAAGTCACAAGTCTTCCTTGGGTGAATTGATGCATGCATGACATGATGCTTGAATTTGGAAGTCTTCTTCAACGATGACTTAAATTACAAGTGCAATAATTTTCTTAATTCTACAAATTTTTTAAGGAAAATTTCCTAATTCTCAATATTAATCAAGTCAAGATATGTTAGTCTTCTTGTTCATTGTATAGTACTAGATTGTCTTTTATTTTTTTAAAATTATATAATTCTCATAATTTTTACTTAAATAATTTAACAATCAATTATTATTTAAACATAAAACACAAATGCAAAGACAAACAAATTGAGTTTAACGCTTTTAAATAATTTAACAATCAATTATTATTTTTAAAATATTATATTGCAATTAAAATACATTTCTCCTTCAAAAAAAGATTAATTAAAAATATATTTAAACATCAAGATAAGTACTCCACAATATATGTAACTGTAATTTGCTTCACATACTTGGCAATTGGCATTGGTGCCTGCGGAAAAACAAAAGATGGACTGAGACCGAATTAGTGAAAATAATGAGACCAAAATATAATAAGTCAAAAATTGTCACATGCAATGAATAATAGGATGAGACAATAACTTACTTATCTTTCAATTTTGGGCCCAATGGAGATTCCCTGCGCGTCAAGTTATCATATGCTACAATAAATATTAATATCAATATATATACATTTTTATTTTTTTATTTTTATTTTGATTTTTCTATTTTTTTGTGTGGATATTATCTGCTTTTAGAGTCAATTATATACATTTTGCTTGTTCTTCTATTGGTCGTTTAATTCGTGAAAAATCACTGCATTTTTGTTAGTTATCTTTGAGTTAAAGAAATAGCAAATGTCACTTAGATATTCAACTGAGTCATTATACAATTCTTAAAACATAATTTAAATGATTTGGCAGCTTTTATCTTCAATTATAAGTCAGTCCAGTGAAGTTTAAGATTAAACAAAATAAAATCTTGATTAATTGATTTTTACTGATAAAAGTTTCCAATGAATTCCTCTAATAATAGAATATTACTCAGGGAGATGTATGAGATCCCAATAAACCAATCAAATGTTAATCATACCATACGATGCATATGGATAATACGATGAATAGAAGACAACAAAAATTGATACCTGATTTTTTTTTTTTTTTTTAAAACCTTTATCGGAGATCTAGTTTCTTTACTACCGAATTATCGTGATTTTTTTATAAAAATTAATAAACAACAAGACGAAAGAGTATTTCACCTCCCGAGTCTTTATTGTTTCAGCACCACACAATCTTCGATGTTCTTGGATGCCTTCGGAACAAAAAATGCTGATCATATGGAGGATTGAAGCCACATTGCTCAATAATTACAATCACAACAGCAAATACAGAAGTTGATCACAAAAAATTGGTAGAGAGTTGCTGAATTTTCCAAGCTCTCCTGTTCCAAACATTTCCGAGACAACAATCGCCAGCGGGCAAATTACCTGTTGTGTAGTATTAGTAGTAGTAGTGAGAGCTTGGAAAGAAAAATAATAGACATCGAATGTAAGGCCAAACCTACTTTAGTACAAATTGATTTATACTATTTAGAAAAATCTTCGACAAAAAGCTCATTGAAGGCTACAGAAATGAGAATTCATGATCAAGAATGAAGCAAGAGAGCATAATATATTAATAAAATGATGAACGGATATGTGCTTGTTCAACAGAAGCTTCATCATCCCTAGCCATGTATGAACAGCTGAAATATGATATGAAAAAAGAAAAAACATAAATGTAGAAATTTAAGGGGGAATCAATTCAAACTTACAGTTGATTGATCATAGAGGATCCACACACCAGTTGACTTCCAAATGGTTACAATCATTCGAGCACTTGACTTTGTTTAGAGAAGCATATCTGCGCCGTAATAGCAAGAGAGGTGGATTTTCTGTTTGCTCCTGATTCGTGCCGCTTCTTTTTTGCGATAATTTTCTAGAAGAGATCTTCCATTTTGCTTCAAATGAGTAAGCTAATAAAATGTAAAGCTTCATGTTAAGATATATGAGACAATGATCATATGGAATTTTAACACATAACTATATCATATTGCTTGGTTAGAAAATAGCAAAAAAATGAGTGGATTAACATCCTTTGTAATGAAAATAAATGCATATTTATAGCACAAACAAGAATAACTTGAATAAATTTCAATCAAGGCAATTCTTGTTAAGTCACAATTAAATCAATCATTGAAGATATACTTGGTGTCCGACTTGATAAAAAATATCAAGCCATAATCATCTTCTTATGATGAGTTTTGAGCACATAGACCATGACTACCAGACATATCTCATCCGTAAAATTTTGTTAGAGGCATAATTAGGTTTTCCGATCTTATAGGAGCACTTGCCACAAGTATTGTAATCCCAAAATAGTTGCTGTACTTTGTAATAAAACCACAAGTGTGACTTGCCTAAATAGGCATACTTGCCTACTTGGTACAAAGTATGAACATTATATCGGCCATTTGATTTCCCACTCGTAGACACAGTACTTACACATGACTATGCACTAATGCAATAAAATTTAGACAGAAGACGATACTAAAAGTAAAAACTCAGACAAGACTACCCTAAGGGCTAAATTTGCATAGATTAACTAAACTTGCAGACATTCTTAATAGGCGCTAATTAATTGAAGGGAAACTATCAAGGACAATGCACAACCCAAAAGCAGCCACGAAGAACCAAACCCAAATTCAACTCCACTATAGAGGAGCGCATACAGAGTGGATTAACGGGCTATTTTCTAGAAGCATTGCCTAAGATTAATTGCTATAGACACACATCAGCAGCTCAGGGCTTGTTTGGAACTTAAGGAAATGTAGTTTAAGTGTAGTCACTAGTCAGGGCTTAATTATGATGCTTTGTTTAGAAGAAGATTGAGAATTCAAACAGGACAGAACTAAAACTCTGATATCATGTTTAGAAATGGATAGAAAATAAGTAACACCACGTGCTATAATACCCCAAAATTCGGAAAAAAGGTTTAAGAGAATCAATAAGACTGTTCATGTGAACAATGTGCACAATTCTTTTTATTAGGTACTTGAAAAATGTTATCCCCTTTCCCTAAGTGTATGCTTATTTAGAAGGACTGATTAATCTTTGTGTGTAAATTCACATATACAGATGAATGAATACTTCTAATCAAACATACTACGGTATTCTTTTACCATAATCAATCAAATATAAAGCAAAGATTGTCAGTGGAAGACAGAAACTACACACTAGAAAAACAATGAAGAAAGAAAGATGAGATTGCATAGTGCTACTGACTAGGGCTATTCATTTTTCACAAAATATGAAGACAGAACCATACCATATTTAGTTTTAGCAGATTTTAGAGTACATTGTAAGAATGCCAATTCGAGTAAGGAATTTTATGGGATCAAAACATCAAGTGTATCTAGAAACTTGCAGGCTCTTTAAATTGGGATAAATACTACCATGGCTCTTATCATCGAATCCCTCAATAAGACAAGCACAAATCCAGGGCCTTCCTGCTCGGGATGATTTTGCACCGCCTTTCACTTCACCATTGTGTTGTTTTAATCTACAAAAGTAAATAACAGTCCCAATCAACTGGAGAAACCAACAAATTATATGTATATATTCATCATACCTAAAAGAATAAATAAACAAATAAATACATACATACATACATAAACAGCAGCAGCCTCAATTACATCAGAGATGGAATCTTGGATTCTAATAATTCCCTAAGGAGAAAATCTTTTTTGAATGTTCTATGAGCCACAATCAATCAAATCGAAGTACTCTTGAATCGAAACGCAATTCAGACATCCCCAACACATCCTCACAATCAATTTTAGGGAAGATGGATGCAGAGATAGAGAACGCACCGGCGAGAGAAATTATTGGTAACGCCAACATAGGTTCTGACTGGGTGATTGGTGGAGAGGATTAGATATACAACCCAGGGATTCGAGGACGATGCTCTTGAAGCTGGAGGCGATTCGGATGACGAAGGCTTGTTTGGAGGCAAATTTTCTCGGGGTTTTGTCGATGAATTTTTGAGTGAATTGGGATTGCAATGTGAATGGGGTTTGAGCGACCTGAAGGTTTTTGATAATGCCTTCTCCATGTCACAATTGGTTGAAGCTTCCCGTCGGCAATTCACGCTTCGCAGGCTCTCCGGCGTTTCGACCGTGCCAGAAATTTTCTTTTTATTTTTTAAAGTCTATATGAACCAATTAAACATAGTTTAGAAAGATGGGAGTGTTTTTTTTCTTTTTTCTTGTTTTTTTTCTAAATAAATTAGATTTTGCTTATTTTTAATAAAATTTTCTATTAAAAATATTATTCAAAATAAAATTTCATTTTAAATATTAATTTTAAACACAATTAAAGTAAAAGAAACTTAACTTATAACCATAAAATTATAAGTTCAAATTCTAAAATAGTTAATTAGTACTTTTATCAATTATTTCATTAGATATCGTAAATCATAAATAAATAAAACAAGGGTCCCTTATTTATAAAACAAAACCTAAGATCAAATTAGTTTCGTAGTAATATGGGGGGTGAATTTTTTACAGTGAGTTTATAAATTCAAATTCGACGTTTCTAGGTCCACCTATCACTCATGGTTCACACAGTGTGACTTGCTTTCAGGTCTAATTTTCAAGATATTAGATTCGATTGAGATTTATCCATGTGCATTTTCGCGTCATTGCTGCAAATTTCCATGTTATTAAAAAAAAAAAACTATAATTTATAATTTGGTATAGCAAGCTAAGCTAAGGTAAGGAATTTCTTTCATTCAAAGTCGATGTCCACAAGAAAAGTCCAAAAAACATTTCCAAATGCACCACAAAACACAATTAAGTCAACCCATGACTCTTTCCAAATATGTATCATATGACCAATATGTTTTTTTCTATATGGATTGAAAATGACTTCCAAGCAAAGCCTTCCATGATCTCTACCTTTACCTAAAGCCACGTCAAAACACCTCATCCATTCTCTCTCATTACAAACACATATATATACACTAGCCCTAGCTAGCTAGCTAACTAAACCCTAAATTTAAACATGTACATATGTCATTAAAAATTCTTGATCCAAATCTCTACACCTACACCTACACACATCATCGCATATTATTAATCTATTCTCTTAACTATAACTAACCCTTTAAGTAGAATCATCATTGCCATCAACTACCTTTCCAAATTAAAATATCATACGATGAAATGGAACCCCATCATTGGCCCTCTTTCTCCTCCCCTACCAAACCTAAATCTTCTTCCATACATAAATACATACATATATATATATAATCAGCATTAACTGTCCAATACTAAAATTACAATACAAAATGGCTGGGGGCACTCCAGGGCATGTGGCATTAGGGTTTGCTTTCTTACTCATCGGAATTTGGCATCTTTTCAATTCCATCAAAATCCATTCCCTCAATCCAACATCCTTCCGGATCCTTCCATGGTTTCCGGCGCCAAGATTCCGGCGGCTCGAGCCCATCCTAATCATGGCCGTCACGGCGGCGTTCATTTCCATGGAGCTCTTCCACGGCCGGAAACTCCTCTCCCCCGACGGCACCATCCCCTCCAGCAACCTCCCCCACCTCGAGCACTCCATAATCGCCCTCTCATTCTTCGTCTACGCCGCCTTCGCCGCCGTCTTCGACGGCGGCGCCCCTCCCCCGCCGGCGAGCCACGGGCTGCTCCACTTCCTCCAGGCGGCGGCGTTCGCGCAGCAGCTCCTGATCCTCCACCTCCACTCCACCGACCACATGGGCATCGAGGGACAGTACCATTGGCTCCTCCAGACCGTCGCCGCCGTCTCGGCCGCCACCACCGTCGTCGCCATCGGCTTTCCCGGCAGCTTCGTGAACTCCTTTATCAGAGCTTTCAGCGTCGTTTTTCAGGGGGTTTGGCTCGTCGTCATCGGCGCCGTCCTCTGGACGCCGCGGTGGATTCCGGCCGGCTGCGCCTTGAAACGCGGCCCCGGCCGCGACGCCGTCGTCTGCGGCGGCGATGGCGCGCTGGACCGCGCCAAAGCGTTGGTGAACATCCAATTCGGGCTGTATTTGGTGGTCCTTAGCGCCGCCTCCATTTTATTTTACTTAGCCATTCTCAAGCTTTACCCTAATCGAGAAAAAATTGAATACAGATCTCTGCAATTGGATCAAGAACACTCCGCCGATGACCACATCAAGAACTAATTTCATTACATAATTAATTAGTCATTTCATTAATCTTAGTAATTACTAGTGATTGATCGTTGCTAGATTGCTTTTTCTTCATACATATATATATGTATGTATGTATGTATATGTGTATGTATTTGTCTTGAGGTAAAAGAGATGATCGAGAGACAGCCCCACCGTACAGTATCTGTCTAGCTTGCCTTAAACTTCACCATGATGGATGGATGTAATAATATAATTAAGTATATATATTTATTTTACTTTATTTATTTTATAATGTGTTGTTGTTAATTAATTATTATCATAATTATGTGAATCCAATTGCAGCAAGTCACACACTTGTACTAATGTTGCTTAGAACTATATATTTTTTAGCTACAAATATATATGCATATATATATATATATTCCCTGTGGGTACGGTTCTTTTGCTCAATATCTCATGTTTTTATTATTTGGACTCTATATTTTTTAAAAAATATATATATATATATTTTTTCTCTCATAAAATATCTCTATCATACATTATTTTAATATCAAATTCAAACTATTTTTTTTTTTAAACCCATCTAAAGAAACATAGTGTTTGTGTTTGCTACCATTTTAAGTAATTTTGTAGCATGAAAGGATTTTCATGGCAAATGGTAGATTATTATTATTATTATTATTATTTTTACGTTAACTAATATTTATAATCCAACTTATAATAAAGTATTTATTTATTTATTATTATTTTTTTTATGTTTGGCAATAAATAAACACACCCAAGGTATTTTAGGAAATACTCTCCCGCCCTTAATAAACTATCATTTTTATTTTTTTATTTTATTTTGATCCACCTCATGTTATGTTATATATTTATTTTCTTATTCAATAGCTGTACTATCTACATGTGATTAAAAATATCATTATAATTTACCATTTATTACACATTACTTTTATATAATATAATATTTAATATAATACTAATATACATAAAATTTTGTACAAAAAATAAATGAATATATAGAAATAGTATAATTTATTAAGATATTATATTATTTTATTATTTTTAAAGTAAGTGATAGAATGTATTCTTTTTGGGAAAATGCATAGTTTAATATATTTCATATATTCATTATTTTTATATTATTTAAATAAATTCATATATTTCATACAAAAAATACTATATCTTCACATTATTCACCAAACAAACAAATAAACAAACCTACTGTGATTGGTATTTTTAAAATAAAAATTAATATATATATAAATAAAGGAAATTTAGAATATATTAAATATTTTCAATACTTTTATCTTACTATAATAATAAAATTTTATAAAATATAATTAAATAAAAAATTAATTTTATTTATTTATGATTAATATATTATTTTATAAAACATAGACAGTTCAATTCATGAAAAAATTATTTTAAGGTAGATAAAAATATTTATTTATTAAAAAAAATAAGTATTAAAGTGTAAAATGTTAAAAGTTTAATTTAAAAATAAAAATAAAAGTATTTCATTGAGTTCTAAATATAAAACATTAAAAGTTAAATTAATTTATATTTATTAACTATATTTAATATTAATGGATTTTAAAAATAAAATATAAAAGTATATTAATAAAAATAATTAAATAATTTAACTAAATAAAAAATTTATAAATTTTACAGCGTAATTAAAATTGCATAAATATATTTCAAGGACAAATTATATGGTATAAATTAAAATAGAAAAAATAAACAAATTAAATCGAAGGGATAAACTATAGAGACGAAGAAAATAATACTGCATAAACAAACGAAGACGTCATCCTAAAAGCATCCATAAATTCTGACTGTTCCAGAAGCTGGTAATAATAGAACACAAATCTAACTACCAAGGGCAAGACCGTCATTCCACACCAATCCCCCACCCCCTCTCTCCCTCCAACACACAATAAAAGAACCTTCAGGAATCCCCAAAATCTTCGTAAAACAAAAACATGGGAAAAATAAACAAATTCAAAAATCAAACCATCATCTCCCCCCCCCTCCTAAAATGGCAAGAATTTTACAGAAATGGAAACCATCCCATCCCATCCCATCTCCTTCCCCCAACTGCAATTAGGGTTCCTCGCGGGCGGGGACCCTTCCCCAATTCCCCCCTTCACCTTCCTCTTTTACCAATTTCAGAATCGGCGCAACTGGACAAGAAAAGAAAGAAAGAAATCCTTAAAAAATTCGAACCCCAAATTTTCAAAAAGAAAAACCCTGAAAAGTGGAAAGTGGGCTCCATGGCGGAGACCCCAACGGCCAATGGCTGCCAACTCCAAGCTCAATGTGGCAACTAGTGAGCGAAACAAGAGTCATGCATTACAGTGCAGTGCAGTTGCATACAACACCCCCATGCAAAAGCAAAAGCTTGCCGTTTCACTGCCATTTGTATTTCTATTTCTATTTGTAATTGTAATTGTTATTGGTGCCTTATAAATAACCCACCCACTGTTTCTCTCTCCTCCCCCCGCCCCCCTCTGTGCCTCTCTGCATTCCTCCCTCCTCCCCCCATTCGGCGAGTCTCTGTTCCATCTATTTTCATTAGTATTTATTTTGTGGGGGGGTTGAGTTTCCCCAATTTTGCATCGCCCCCCTTTCTGTTTTCGGTGGACTCAAATTCTAGGGATTTCTGGAGCCGAGCCGAGCCGATTTTGATCTTGGGGGAGAAACTGCTGCTGCTGCTGCTGGATTCGATGGGGCGCGGAAAGATCGAGATTAAGAAGATTGAGAATGTGAACAGCAGGCAGGTGACGTTCTCGAAGCGGCGGTCGGGGTTGCTGAAGAAGGCGAATGAACTCTCGATTCTGTGTGAGGCCGACGTCGCCGTCATCATCTTCTCCAACACCGGCAAGCTCTTCGAATTCGCCAGTTCCAGGTCTGCATGCCTCTTCTCGATTTCTGATTTTGATTTCTCTGTTAATCTGTTCAATTCAAAAACCAAATTTCCTGAGATTGGGCGCTTTTTGAATCTAGTACGAATCAGTTTATGCTCTTGGACCAAAAACTATTGAATGTCTGCGTTGATATGTTTGATTTCTGGAAATGAATCCAAACAAATTCTGTACAACTTAGTGTAGTAATGTATTATGTTATTTAAGTGTCCGAATCTCGCGGAATTCGTGTAAATGTGCGGTTAAATTTGCTTGTTCTTATCAGCATGGCGAAAATACTTTCGAAATACAAAAAGTGTGTGGAACTGATGCAGGACTCCATGGGAGGACTCGATCCGGAGGTACGATGTTTGCTTCTAAATTGGTTGTCTTTTTTGATTTTATATTTCCTTAAAAATTGTCGAGGATTGTGATGTCTTCTCTTCCTTCGGATCAGAAGCAGTCGGCGAAGGAGGCGGAGGCTTTGAAAGAGGAGATCGGACGGCTCAGGTTAAAGGAAATGTATGAATTTCATTAATCCAAGTCATGTTTTTTTTTTAAATTTTTTTCTTAAACCTCTGTTTTCTAATGGTGGTTGCTGTTCGTAGGCGATTGTTGGGAAAGGACTTGACGGGGACGGGGTTGCAAGAACTGAACGAGCTTGAACAACAACTAAACGAGGGGCTATTATGTGTAAAGGAGAAAAAGGTTTTTTTTTTTTTTTTTTTAAGACAAATCGATTTTAGTTATTGTCCGAATATGTGTTGCATGTTTTAAGACAATCCCGGTTTCCGTCATTTGCAGGAGCAACTACTGATCGAGGAATTAACTCAATCTAAAGTTCAGGTTCGGAATATTATTTCATTTTACATTCGGTTCTCGAATCCGAGAAAAAAAGAGAATTTATATATAAACCCAGGCTTTTGCTATTCGGCGCAGGAACAACAGGTCATACAAGAAAATGAATCCTTAAGACGGCAGGCAAAACCAAGACATCCTTTTACTTTCCAAATATTCCTATGTTGTACTATTTTCGCGGCCACTTCTAAAAAAATCATCGAATGTTCTAAACATAGGTCAACGAGCTTCAAGCCCTTTTCCCGTCGGATAGCTATCGCGCTCCACTGAAAACAAAAGTAACTGAAGGTTCCGGAAGCCCCGAGATGATCTGCAACGGGACTGTCACAAATGATGACGATTCGGACACCACCCTCCACTTGGGGTATGTATCCCTCCTCGACCTGCCCCGTGATTTTTGTAATACTTGACGATGTCATAAAGAACGCTGTTTTTGTGTCCAGATTGCCATCGTCCGGTCTGAAAAGGAAAACGCCCGACGGTGAGAATTATTCGAGCACATCGGAGACTCAAGCTCGCTTTGGGTGATCGAAGGAGCGTCTACTCAAGCTCCTATGTGTGATATATGAAGTTGGTATAGCTAGCTAGCCAGACAGCCTGTAGAGACTGTTTCTTTCATCCTTACCTTACTGTCACATTTTTAAGGATGATTCATTACTTGCTAAATCCTATGATGATGATTTCTACTATATAGCCTAACCCTGCCCTGTGCTGTTTTGATCTTTCCTTTGGGTATGTTTTTTCAAACTTCCAATGTCTCTTGATTTGATTTTGATTTTGCATGTCATATAAGGGATGTTTAGTATGATTTTTTTTTATTCTTTTATTTTTAGTTCGATCGCAAATTTATTCAATGGGTATTTAATTCTCGTAACTAATAAGTAAATAAATCAAGCTAAATATTAAATTAATTATATTATTAGAAATTATATTTTTTTTTTATGTAAATATAGTGAATTTTGTATAAATAAATAATATTTTTGGTAACCAAATCCTATATTCTTTAAAAACACATAGTAACAAAATTTATCCAATGCACAGACGTTACTACGATTTTTGAAATAATTCTTTTGATAAGTATATAATTTGAGTTGAATTGATATTTATATATATATAAATTATAATATATGTATATACTCCCTCTCTCCAGGTCAAATGAGAGGCGCTTAATTAGTATGAATTAGTATCAATAAAAAATATATAATATAAATAATATTTTATATATAACTAAATAAAAAATATTTATTTATTTATAATTAATTTAAAATTAATTTTATAAAAAATAAAAAATTTTAAATATAAAAAAATATTTATTTATTTATTGAAAAAAATAAAAAATAAAAAATAAAATTATATTTATTAAATATATTTAAAATAAATAAATTTTATATAGAGATGAACATATATCGAATAAGAAAAACTTGAAAAATGGATGGAGAAAGTATTGTATTTATAGAAAATTGATTGTTTGTCTAGTTTGCAGGTATTAGGTTAGTCAGATTTACCCACAGCGACTGGGATTTTCACTGCAAAAGTCGAAAATGTTGTTTAGGGTTTAGAGTTTCTTTAATTTTTATATACTTATCTGGATAAGGAGGGTTTACCTGTTTTATCAGTTCCTATCGGGATGGACTGCATCACTGCAAGTGATAAACCCTAATAATTAATACTATTAATCAAATTAATAAGTTTACCAACAACAAGAAAACCAACCAACCTGCACGGCGGGTTTTTCATTTCTTTTCTTTGTAATTGTAGATACTCTCTGCAAAGCTTATCGTCTGCATAGACGCTTGCCCTTCCAAACTTCTGCCATTTCCGCATTCTTCAGTCACTTCGCTGCGTACTCTTCATGTTTTCTTGGGGGTACTTTCCGGTAAGTAAGTTATGTTCTGACGTTTCGCTGCCCGCTTATTTATGTTTGTTGTCGGTTTCCTGATTCTTGCGCAAATTTTGTTTTGTTTTGTTTTATTGGGTTTGGAATTGAGGGTTTAATTTGAACTAATGCATACAGTTTAGGATAATGTCTTGTTGAATTACGTATTTTTCCATTGCTTTCTGTTATAGATTCTTGATTACTTTCAATCAAAAGTATTTTATATTTGGTTAATTGTTAATTTTTTTTCCGTAAGATTGGGTTGCTTGGCACTTGTTATTCTTACTATGTTCTTTGCAGTGTTAAGGAGCAGATTAGTTTGCTGTACTCTGAATAAGAGGAAGAAGGGATGAATTTTACAGGGACAGCAAACTCAAAGCTAGACATATTTCTACCCAAATCCCTGTCTGTTTTCCCTCATTCTAAAACTGCATTCCTTCAAAGTGAGAAATTATTATTAGCCTGGAAGTTTTCTGTTACGAGTTTGCGATCCCGGGGGCATGCGCGTGGACCCTGGATTGATGTTAGAAGGCTTCGTATTAAGTGTTGCAAAGATTCTTCAAGTTCGAGCATCAACCCTGTGGAGGGGGAGGGGGATAATGAATCGTCTCAGAAGCTGTTTGAGGTGATTATATCTTTGCATTTTCCTTTTTGGCATTTTTGGAGAAGCTGAACTGTTTCTTTGGCTGTTTGGTGGATTGTGTAGAAAGTTGCTGAAGTTCATATGTTAATTGGTAATCTTTCACATGCTTATCTTCTATCTGAAAACAAGAAAAATGGAGTAACACTTACTCAGAGGGGATAAAGCTTCTGAGCTGGATGTTGGAATACTATGTTAGGGCCCAAATGGGTAGCTTATTTGACATAAAAATTGTTATGGTTACTTTGTTGTAATGTTGGAGTGGCACAAGGAGTTTCGGATTTGGGTTGCAGGGGGAGTTGGGGTGGATCTTTGTCTAGATGTCTTTGAAAACAATTACTTCATGTCACACTCCCGATTCAACCTATTTTGTATCCACAGCAGAACTTTAAAAGTCCTAGTTAGTTCCTAGCTCGTATGTTTAAATAGACAGGCATAATGCTGCACTTCAAATCTTGATTGGTTTTTGCTCTCTGCCCTTTTTATTTTATTTGCATTTCCATTAATTTTTTAACAGAAAGATGAATTGTTTAGTGCACAAATGTTGGCATTGTCAGAATTTGAAGGAAGCTGAGAGAGAACGAATGAATAAATTGGAAGAGTTTGAGAGGAAGGCAAATACCCAATTGGAGAGGCAGCTTATGATGGCTTCAGAGTGGAGCAGAGCACTTTTGACCATGAGAGGAAAATTAAAAGGAACTGAGTGGGACCCTGAGAATTCTCATCCCATAGATTATAGTGACTTAAAGAGACTTCTTGAATCAAACAATGTTCAGTTCATGGAATACGCCAATTATGGGCAGACGGTTTCAGGTTAGGCTTCTATTGTAATACATAAAAAGTCCTGCGTTTGCACAATTGTAGATTGTTGTAGTATTAATATAAACATCATCGAATGTTGCAATCATAAGAACAATCAATGGATTATAACTTTATGATTTTCATTGTCTTAAAATAATGGGTTCACCTTTTGAATTCATACAACTGTACTAAAGCTTTAACCAAAACAAGTTTCAAAACCATGTGTTGCTGCTTCACATAGCTAATAATTAACTTATGAATGTAATAATTTTTCTTGTTTCAACACAGTGATTCTACCTTATTACAAAGAAGGGATGAAAGAAAAAGGCAATAAAGAGAAAATTGTTTTCCGACGTCATGTGGTTGAGCGTATGCCTATTGACTGTTGGAATGATGTTTGGCGAAAGTTGCATAACCAGCTTGTAAATGTTGATGTCCTCAATGCGAATACCCTTCATGCAGAAATATATTCAAGTGTTTCCACTGCTGTTGTGTGGTCTATGAGGCTTGCTCTTTCTGTTGCTCTATATGTTTGGATTGATAATATGATGAGGCCGATATACTCAAAATTGATACCCTGTGATCTTGGTACTCCTCCTAAGAAGCCAACATTGCAGCCACTTGAGCCCCAGGCTCCCCTTGGTTCATTAGGGAAGAGTCGGTAGGTTGAGTTGTAATTTTTGTGTTTCCTATTTGATTTTATTTTGGTCATTCTCTTCTGCATTATAATTAAAGCACACACCCACACATGTTTTCATGATATCTTCTTCTGTCCATTGAAACCAGGCTTTAAGTAACCTAATTGCTTGAATGTATTAGCTGGCTAGATGGTTTGCATTTTAAGTGGTGCAGCTGGGTAGCTTGTTCCAACAATCATGAGAAATTTCTACACTAATTCATGATTAGGATGGAGCAACTGTACTACCAACTGTTTGCTGCAGAAATTGTGATGTCATTCTGTATTACTAAATGTATTGATAATATTGATTATCTGGTTCATTTGTGCTGACAGGGATTTCATTTTTCATCTTTGCTTTATTTAGAATATTGAGTATTAATGTCCTCTGGTGCTCCATGACTGAATTATTAGCTAAGCATGCCATTCTCAGTTTGAACATGACTTTCATTGTTTATAATGGTGTTTGACACTTTGTCCTGGCATTTTGGTTAATATTGACTCAAAAAATGTTATACACATGTAGTTTCAATTATTCTTCCTGTATGAAGTGATGTTATTGTGATTGCTTGAGTTCAATTAGTTGAGGTTGGCCAGGAGAGACTAAGGTGGAGTGGACAAAATAGTCATAAAAAATAAGTTAATGCTGATTCCAAGACTTGGTTCAAGCTTAAAGTTGGTTTTATAGAATGTAAAACTGTGTCTTTCTTTCATTTGGAGAATATTTTGTGAGGTGAGACCTTTCAACAAGTCCTAATAAGCAGTAACATAAATATACATGCATCTTAGTTATTTTGTTTCTTTGATCATGTACTGTGTTCTATGCCACAGTTTGAAGTTTTGAACCACCTTGTTGAGATGCAATTGATTTTCTCAAGGGTATTTGATATGCATATGCTTGAAAATATCTAGTTGGATTGGCACTCAATAGGAGGTTAATAGTGATCTGAACTCATTTTATTCTGATTTATGTAACATATTTTCGTGTTAGGGCAAAGTTCATATCAGCTGAGGAAAAAACAGGCATTACCTTTGATGACTTTGCTGGTCAAGAATATATCAAGAGAGAGCTGCAAGAAATTGTACGGATTCTAAAAAATGATGAAGAGTTTCAAAACAAGGGTATCTATTGCCCAAAAGGTGTGCTCCTTCACGGTCCTCCTGGGACTGGTAAAACACTTCTTGCAAAAGCTATAGCTGGTGAGGCAGGTCTTCCATTTTTTGCAGCCAATGGTACTGATTTTGTTGAGGTAAGGTACTTTTTCATGACCAAACAGTTAAGTAGTTCAAAGACGTTGTCGATATATGTTAATTATATTATTTTTCTTTTTTGAAATAATATTTTGTTGAGGCATTTTTTTGGGTTATTGGTTTTACTTAACAGAGCTTCAGGTAAAAGTGAGTTGCCATCCCTATATTGATTGTTTATGAAAACAATGTCCAGAAAGAACAATTCAAGGACTTATCTGAAATACAATGTTCAGTCAACTTCTTTAGGGCTTTTTTTCTCTCCAAAAAATAACAAAATAATAAAAAATCAATTGCTTTATGCAGGAATATAAAGCCATTCCGGGTGGAATTTGACATGTTTAATATAATAGCTGAATAGTAAGCACATGGAAGTATTTTGAGACTTCTTTGTAAAGTAACTATGTTCCACTGGAGTTCTTTAAATGTAGAATGGTATAATGGTAGCTGATTCTTCTTTTGTTGACGTATTGCAATTGGGTAGTCTTATTTGTGGATTCTTGAGAGAGTCGACAGTATTTGAAAACTTGTAATCTCTTCTTGTTTTTCTAAATTTTTTGAAGCTTTTATTCATCTCTATTTTTCTGTGATTGTATCAGTTCCAGGGTAATATGGATTGAATGTTTTATGTTATCACTATTATAATTGCAGCCACTGACTGGTTAATAATTATTGTTGTATATTTTCCACCTGAACTCAAACATGAGTATGCAAACGCACTTTACTAGTGATTTATGAATATAAAAATTGATGTTTTCAATTAGAAGCAGAAGGATTAATTGGATGTGCTTTTAAGAAAGACTCCTAGATGCTTGTCAGCAACTAATTTAACTTTAAATTTTTTCAGATGTTTGTTGGTGTTGCTGCTGCCCGTGTGAAGGATCTTTTTTCCAGTGCCAGATCATTTGCACCGTCTATAATTTTCATTGATGAGATAGATGCCATTGGTAGTAAACGTGGTGGACCTGATATTGGTGGGGTATGGCTGAACCTGTGGCTAAACCTGTTTTATATGTTTCCTTCTACCTATAAATATAAATCTCAATATTTTTTTAGTTATTGTACAGCACACTTATAATCCTGATGCATGTAGATTTCAGGTTGAATGTTGACAAAATTAATAAGCATAATCATATATATATTAAAGAAGGAATTCGTAAATCAATAAGTGAAAGTGTTGGTGCATTTATCTGGTTTCTTTTGAATTTTGCAATTTGCATCACACTATAGCCTGAATCTTACATGGTTCTGGAAGAATAATTAACAGACATTTTCTGAAATCAAGACTAATAGTTCTATATTATCCATCACTTTCCATTCAGTAATGGTGCTGTGAAGCAGCCTTCATCATTGTTTTGATCCTATTTTTGCATTTGTGTTTTCTTTTGATCAACTATCATGTCAAGTTTAAAGGGATGCAAATCTATCCTTTCTGACATTTTAGACACTCTTCTGCATCTGTTTCATTTTCTAGGGTGGCGCAGAGAGGGAACAAGGTCTACTTCAAATACTGACAGAAATGGATGGTTTTAAAGTGTCGACATCACAGGTCTGCAATAATTATATTCATAACCAATTTCAGGATCAAGTGTTCCCATGCCATATCTTGAGTTGGCAAGATTTTATTATCAGGTTTTGGTCATTGGTGCAACAAATAGACTGGATATTCTTGATCCTGCTCTTTTACGAAAGGGCCGCTTTGACAAGATTATTCGAGTTGGATTACCATCAAAAGATGGAAGATTTGCCATATTGAAGGTGCTTTCTGTTGTTGGTTTAAATTTTTTAGCCTCGTAGAAACTGGGTTACATATTCAGGAAAAGAAAAAAATAAAAGCTATTTTTGTAAGATGTCACTCACTGTGATAATTCCATTACTATTATGATAGGTGCATGCTAAAAATAAATATTTCCGGTCAGAGGAAGAAAAGGAGATTCTACTCCAGGAAATTGCAGAGCTTACAGATGATTTTACTGGAGCAGAATTGCAAAATATACTGTGAGAAAATACTTAAAGCTAATAATTATATTTTCCATCCTTAAATGCTCCTAATGAATTTTGCATGATAGGAATGAGGCTGGAATTTTAACAGCTAGAAAGGACTTAGACTACATAGGGCGTGAAAAACTTCTTGAAGCCTTGAAGCGGGTGAGCATTAATACTCCTAGCAATGGATATCTTGCCTTTATGTTATGTGACTTGATGTAGCATATTCAAGTTCATATGATCACATGTTCATCAATGGTGCAGCAAAAAGGCACTTTTGAAACAGGTCAAGAAGATTCCACTGAAGTCCCTGAAGGGTTGAAACTAAGATTGGCATATCGTGAGGCTGCTGTTGCAGTTCTCGCATGTTACATACCAGACCCCTACCGTTCCTTCTCAGATGTATGATTTGCCACATTAGATTTGTTATCCATGTTGAGTTTATTTAACAGCTCTTACTAAATTATAGGAACCACTGAATATAAATATTAACATGTGTCTTATTTTTGCAATTTTCCAGACAAATATTAATTCTATTCGAAGTCAGCCTAATATGCGGTATCAGGAGGTATCAGGGAGGTTATTTAAGCGCAAGGCAGATTATGTGGACTCTATAGTGCACGCATGTGCTCGTAAGTCCGATAATTTTGCTTCAGATGTAGCATGTATTGCCTTAACAAATGTGTTAAAGGGTTTAGAAATCTTTTTGATACATGTGACTTAGAAGTTAAAGAATACTAGTTTAGTAAACGTATCCACGTAATAAATGCATTTGTTGAATTAACTGCACCAAAAATGATATGTCCATATATGTTATCTTTCTCTTCCTTTTGTAAAGAACAATAGTTGCTTATTAGTTTTAAATTTCATTGAAACTTACTAGAGCTTGATTATATTTTAAATATTTTGTTAAAATAAATAGTTTATTTGAGTTGTCTTCTATAGATTTGTTTGGGTGGCTAGGAATTCTACTTTCTTATCTTCGATATTTCAAATATGTAGCCAGAGTAATTGAAGAAGAGATTTTTGGAGTTGACAATCTTTGTTGGATTTCTGCAAAATCTACATTGGAGGCTTCCAAACTCTCTGAATTCTTGATTTTGCGGACGGGAATGACTGCGTTTGGCAAAGCCTATTACAGATACCAGAATGACCTTGTGCCTAATGTGAGGATACTATGAGTCCTACTTTAAATCGGTAAATAATTTATCTTGATTTTGTAATTCTTTTAAGGCAGTTTTAGATTTTGTATATGGCAATGTACAGCTTGCCTCTAAACTGGAAGCACTCAGAGAAGAATACTTACGCTTTGCTGTCGAGAAATGCACATCTATATTGAGAGAATGTGGTCCTGCAGTGGAGAGCATTACAGGTTTGCTCTTTCTGGCATTTCTCATTAAGCTTTCTTTGACTTATATCTGTTCTTCAATTGCTTTTGGAACTTATATTGTTATGGTTTTGGTCCACTTCTGTTTATGTTGATATCTTATCCATGACCCTTGTTTCTACTTTTGAAGCAGATGTCCTACTTGAAAAGGGAGAGATAAAAGCTGATGAAATTTGGAAAATTTTCAACAGTTCACCTCGAATACCACAGGTACAAGACTACAAATGTACCTATCTTTTAAAATGACTATTGGAGTTTGTTTTAAATTTTGTGACTTCAAGCACATTACTGTTTGTTTGGTTTAGGTGTTTCTAGTGATACTAGGTGCATCAAATATTAGTTTATATGAGAATAATCTAAGGAATTGTGTGCATACTTGAAGACAAGCCCAAAAAGTCCAATAATTATGGCAATCTTTATTTAATCATATTTACATAATCAATACTGCCTCCTAATCAATCCCTAACTGTTCTGTATTTGCTAGTTCTTGGAGACTGAGTTAGCTTAGTTTGTCTTAAATTGTATGGTTTTGATGAAAATTTATATTTCCCCGGTTACCAGCCTGCTGTCAGGCCAGTGGATGAGTATGGTGCCCTTATTTATGCTGGACGTTGGGGACTCCATGGTGTTTCACTTCCAGGGAGGGTGACTTTTGCACCTGGAAATGTTGGATTCTCCACGTTCGGTGCCCCTCGTCCGATGGAGGTAAGTAGAGAGATTTTTTTTTTTTTTTGGTTATGCAACTGGTAGCATTGTTGTTGGGGAAGCATAGGGTGGAAGGAGAAATGGCCATTCTCCATTTATGCAGGAGATGGGATGGCTTTTAATGCATTTGTTCTCCCTTCGTAGTTTGCTATCATCATCATTAGATTTTGGTTAACGATTTTCTATTTCTGTGTTTGCATGCAGACTCAAATCGTAAGTGATGACACATGGAAACTGATTGATGGAATATGGGATAAGAGGGTTGAGGAAATCAAAGAAGAGGCATCCATGGAAATTGAAGAAGAAAAGGAAAAACCACTACTTCTGTTGGGAAGCCATTTCCTATAACATCATCTAGTAAGCACATTTTGATTCCAACTTAGCTGTTCTTTCTTAAGCACTGTTTTTTAAGGCATAAAGGTGGATTCCATTTCCATATATCCTACCTAATCTTGTAGAACATTGGCATAATCTTATTGAGAATATATATGTATTATATTTTCTGACACTGATTGCATAATCGTTTGCTCTTATTTGGGTTCTCTTCAATTCAGGTTCACCTTAGTAGATAGCTTGTTCATCATAACTCAGACCATCACATTGTTGAGTGAAGGAAACTTACAGCGGCTTCGGCTATCCAAATTTCATGTGAAGGCCGGACGAGTTTCTGAATCCTCCTATTTAAGTATCAAAAACAGAGGTACGTTTAGCAAACCAGACTTAAATATTCATCCAGTATTATCAGCCCCCTTGCTGTTATTTCATTATTATTTATTATTATGTATATTTTTTCATCCAAAAGCAAACTAAAATCAATTTACTGGACACTTGCGAATTGGTTGGCAAGCTGCATGTTGAAATGGGAATATGCCATGGTGATGCCCTTTCTTGTTTTTTTATATTCGAGTCTTTTGAGTCAGAAAAATAGTAGTCTATACATGTGATGTAAACAATAATCTTATAGAGTAGTATCTTAGTGAGGTCCTCTGATTTTCCAAATCATTTGATATATCAAAAAATATTCCTGAATCTTGGAAGCATCCCCAATTTGAAAACATTGGGAGGGAAATGTTAAAAAGTGTTATTTGTATGTATGTATGTATGTATACCCTGGTGAATCCCAATAATAAATAAGTGTACTTTGTTTACAACAAGTTTTGGTCCTATTTGTTAACATCATATTAAATATTAATTTTTTTATTATTATCAAAATTTTATTTTTTTCTTTTTTTAAACAGACCATATATCCATCACTCCATTATTATTATATTCCATAAATACCCCTTATCATTGTTTGTATTAAATAACATAACCATATCATTTATTGGGTTTAAACCCCAATTTATTTATTTATTATTATTATTATTGTATGGCTCCTAAAAAGTAAACAAGGCCATGCTTTCCACCTTCAATCATGACCAAAGTCACTCTCAACACAACAAATTCACATTCCAAGAATAGACAATTTTCCGGGCCGGGCCGGGCCGGGCGGAAACACCACAATTTGTGTCGAAAAGTTAAAAAGTAGTAAGATACTTTGTTAAAAAGCCCTCAAATTTCCAGGTAATATTATTTTCAGTTCCTTCCAAATATAACAAACATACAGTAGCAGCAGTACTACCACTTCGTTTTTTTGCAGCCTGTAATTTGGTCCCAATTCAAACAAAGCAATGAATAAACCAACAGCAGCCGTAGCTCTTCACTACACTTTACTACTTGTATTCTTATCCACATCACAAACTGCTGCTGCCTACACCCAATCTGAAGCCCTGTCTCGAATCTACCAAGCCAAGTTATCGAAAACCGGCATCGTCGACACCGCCCGTCTCAGCCTCGATGATGAGGATGCAGCAAGAACACCAGCCCATGAACAACAGTTGAAGATTGAGGATGAAATCGAGAGGCTGCCGGGGCAGCCGCCTGTCGAGTTCAAGCAGTACGGCGGATATGTGACCGTCGACCGCGCCGCGGGCCGAGCTTTTTATTACTACTTTGTGGAGGCTGAGGTTGATGATCACCATTCTCAGAAGCAGAAGCAGAAGCAGAAGCTCCCTCTTCTTCTATGGCTCAATGGAGGTATCTAAATTTATTTATTTTTTGATGAATATTTAGATCATCTATATGGCTTTTTTGGATTAATGGCCACGGAATGATTGAGTGTGTGTATTGTTGTTATTATTAATGGTTAATTTAATCTTGCAGAGCAAAATGAAAAGCATTTGGAAATGTCATGTAGTTTGTATTTGTAGGTCCCTTGGCCAGTTGTCCTGCAACTCCTTACCATTAATACTTTTGGAAAAGTTACAAATTGAGAATTGTTCTTGATAAAAGGTTTTCTATTTTTTAAAAAAACACTACTACATTCAAAATATTATAAAAAATTATTATTATTTTCTATTTTTAAACAAACCTAAATTTCTAAAACACATCTTAATTATGTCTTGACAATCGTTGAAGGTGTTGATTGAGAATTTATCAACATTCTAACTAAAATGATATTTTTATATTTCTCGTCCTGAAAATTATTTATTATATACAGCTAATATTTTGTGAAGTTGCACTTAAATATATTTTAAAAGAATTTTAAAATTAGTAAAATTTTAACTAAAAAATAGGTCATGAATAAAATATTTTCTAATAGATTATATATATTTATAATATTTTAATACTAACAGGACCAGGGTGTTCTTCTCTTGGATATGGAGCAATGCAAGAACTTGGACCCTTTAGAGTTCACAGTGATGGCAAGACACTCTACAACAACCCTTTTGCTTGGATCCATGGTTAATAATTAATTATTTACTTTATTTTATTTCACTTAATTAATTATCCATCTATATATAATGAATGTATATATATCATCAGCTGCAAATGTGCTGTTTGTGGAGTCTCCCGCCGGCGTTGGGTTCTCATACTCGAACACTACGGCGGATTACGACGCAAGTGGCGATAAAAGAACAGCCATTGACAACTATATGTTCTTGTTGAATTGGTTCAAAAGATTTCCCGAATATAAAAACTCCGATTTTTATATCTCCGGCGAGAGCTACGCCGGCTATTACATACCTGAATTAGCCCATGCCATTCGCCTCGGCAATTCCAAGCCCCGGAACGCTAAAATCAATCTCAAGGGAATCATAGTAAGCATTTGATCTATCAATTTATTATTATTATTATTATTATTATTATTATTATTATTATTATCATCATCATCATCGATGAATAATATCAAAAATTTCAAAAATATCTATATAAAAAACAGAGTCTAATTAAAACCTCTATAATAGATAGGAAATGGTGTGATGAACGACGAGACGGATCAGCGAGGCATGTATGAATATTTCGGAAGCCATGCTCTATCCGCCGACGAGACCATCGATACGATAATGAAATATTGCAACTTCTCGCCGGATGAAGAGCCGCAGTCGAATAAATGCCTAAATGCCTTATATGAGACCTTCAAAAACATCGATTCGATCGATATTTACAGCATTTATTCTCCTACATGTTCCAATTCTAACCTCACGGATAAGCCTAAAAAGGCTTCGGTGAGTAACCTAACTATATATATATATATATGTTTATTTTTATTTAATTTTTATGTATATGTATATGTTTATTTTTATTTAATTTTTTAATCAAATTGAGTAATGCAGATTGAGGCAGTAGATCCTTGCATGGAGCATTATGTGTCTGCATACCTAAATAGACTCGACGTACAGAAGGCTCTCCATGCTAAACTCACCAAATGGCAAGCATGCAGGTATATGTGGAATAATATATATATATATATATTATATAATTTTTTTAACTACCGTTTCTAATAGAACATACTTCTTTTTAACACAAGACATCCATCTAAATACTATTTCAAGTAAATAAAAAGAAATAGCACACTCATATACCTTACTTTTCGATTGTCCTAATTTCACAAGGAATTTAAAATTAAAGCCTTAATTATTAATTGAATTTCAAGTTAATGTAGGAATATATAATTTATTAGACAAATTATTTTGATATTATTCAGTGATAATATACTTTTATAAAAAGTTACACACTTATGTGATTTAGATAATATTCAATTTTTTTTCTATATATATATATATATCAAATATATTTTTTAATTATCTCAAAAATCATCACATTAAAGACTAACTTTTTATTAATTTTAAAATTTTCAAAAACTCAAATCTCTAAAAATCCCCATGTCTAAAGGAAGCCTGAGAGACTTGCATGTTAAAAAGTGTAAGACTTCAAATTAATGTTAAGACAAAGAATGAGAATAGATCATAGTATGAGATATTGGATGACAATTTTATATTAAAAAAATAATTAATGACGTATATTCTAACCGTTTTAATTTTTAAATGAGACGGTCATTCCGATGTTATGACATGAGTGTACCGTGCATGTAGTAACTTGGCTCAAAAATGGCAAGACAGCCCATCAACAGTCATCCCTCTGCATAAAGAGTTTTTATCTGATGGGATCCGAGTTTGGATATATAGGTACGGTACCATTTATTTATTTATTTATTTATATTGTTGGCTTTGTAGGTTTTTGAAATTTTAGAAAAAAATAAAAGTTGTTATTTAATTTGATATTTTGTGAGAGAAAAAAATGTATTTGATGTTATTGTTTTTTTAAAAATAAATTAGTGTTAAATGAGTAAAAATATATTGTGTGTATATATATATATATATATGCAGTGGAGATACTGATGGGAGGATCCCAGTTACTTCTACAAAGAAATCCATTAAAACCATGAATCTTGCTACCAAAACCTCCTGGTGTCCATGGTACCTCGGAAACCAGGTATACATTATTTATTTTTTTTAAAATTTATATTAATTAATTTTTAATTAATAAAGAATGTATTATTTATTTTAATTACAGGTTGGTGGATACCGACAAGTATACTCAGGAAACCTTACGTTTGTTACGGTAAGAGGCGCTGGTCATCAAGTCCCCACTTACCAACCTGCTGCAGCACTTTCTCTTATTCAACATTTTCTTGCTGGGACACCTCTCCCAACTTAATTAATTAATTATTTATTTATTTATTTTATTTTTAATAATATTGTTTGCTGCTTAATTACATTATATATTCACTTATTCAGTACTGCGCAGATTTTCTAAATCTAACACCCATAATATATTGCATTTGTATTATATTGATATATACAATATGTTTTCACACACGATAGCACTGTGTAATGCAAGAAAGCACACCATATACTTTTGAGCATGACCACGATGATTTATATTTTATTTATGCTCTAAATTTAGATTCACACCTATTTATATTTTCTTAAAATTATCAATAAAATTTTATCTATTATTAAATATTTATTTATTTTTATTAAAATATTATATTAAATATTTATTTATATCACATCAACCAATATTTTATTATTTACAAACTTAAATTCAAATTCAAATCCATTTTTATATTCACCACCTGTGCCTTCAAAATTGAATATATGAAAAACATAATATATATATATATCGTTTGATTAAAATAAAAATTCAACTTAAACCATGTAATAGAACTTTCTATTTTACCGAAGACATATTAGTAAAATAGTATATAGAGCAAGCTAACTTTAACAATATATTCTAGTTTTATATTACCATTATTTATTTTCTTTCTTTCATTTTTAGAAAATTATACATTCAACCTCTATGAAACAATTTATTTGTAAAATTAGACTTTGAGTGTTAAACAAAATCTCAATAAAATAATTGGCAGAGTATAAAATTTCAAATTTAAAAGTATGACAAAGACCTTATCACCCAATGATAAGTAGACATACATTTAGTTTGAATATATATATATATATTAATAATGTAGAATGATCTTTGAAAGGTATTAGAGTATAAAGATAATTTATTTTATGAGCTATTAATAATAGTGCAAAATACATTTATTAAACTATTGTTTCACATAATTTCAATTTAGATTTGAGCATTAATTTATAATTGTTAATTAACTTAAGGCATCTATATATACTATATATGCAAAAATTAAATTTGATATTATTTATCTACAATATATATATATATTTTTAAAAATATTAAATATAATGTATATTTTTTCCAATAAAATATCACTTTTAATATTGTGTTTTTCTTTTGATGAATTTGAAAAAAATTTGACGGTGTTTTGTGAAGGAAAAAATGTATTTTATTTTGAGAAATACAAAGGTACAATTTAGGAAAACTCCGCTAAAAAGAACATACAATTTTTTTTTTTTCAAAACTTCAACGGTTATGTTTACTTAAAATTTGATTCCAATTTTTTTAACTATCTAACCCTAAATTGCAGATTTTATATTAAAAAACATCAGATTAATTTAATTTAAAAATTCTTTATAAGATTTTTTTAAAAAATATATTCTTAAAATAAAAAACTAAATAAAATCACCGGAGCCGTACATATCGGGCCAGCCCGGCCCGAAAAGTTTACTTATAAAGCAATTTGTTCGGTTACAGTTTCTGGATCGTGTTTCTCCCTCCAAACACTCCAAAAAGGAATTAAACGATGGCGAAGGCCACCGCCGCCGCCGGCGTTGTTATCTCGGCCAGTACTATCCTAATAATAATTATCATTGTTATATCCCTCATTTCTGTATCAGAAACCACTGCAAGTGATGAAGCTCTTTGGCATATCTACAACCAGGCTAATAAGCTGCTGAAGAGCAAAACGACGACGGATTCCGAGATCAATTTCAATTACGATGAGGTGATTAGTAAATTGGAGGAGGCGAGACTTGTTGGCGGTGCAAATATTAATGAGGCTGGGATGAAAGACGAAGATGAAATCGAGAGGCTACCTGGACAGCCAACGGCGGTGAATTTCAAGCAGTACGGCGGATACGTCTCCGTCGGCGGCGGCGCCTTTTACTACTACTACTTTGTAGAGGCTCAGGCGGATCGTCACAAACACTTGCCGCTTCTTCTCTGGCTCAATGGAGGTTAGGTTTCCGATTTACCCATTATATTAATAAATAAATATGAATTTAAGTACGTTAAGAGATTGGCCTTGTAAGGGTTGGATTTGCGACAAACCTCATGTTACAAAAGAACACAGTCAAAGAATTTATTCAATTGGGATTTGGTCTTAAGCTATTTTCACTTGAAATTTTGTTTTAGCCTTTTTTATTATATAAAAATCGAATTTTCTATATAAAAATATATTAACTTTTTTATTTGCATTTTATTGTAAATCGTAACAGGGCCAGGGTGTTCGTCTCTTGGCTATGGGGCAATGGAAGAACTTGGACCTTTTAGGGTTCACAGAGATGGCAAAACTCTTTACCACAATCCCTTTGCATGGAACCATGGTTAGTTGATATTAATTAATTTACAATTATAATACATATATATATATATACACACATGTTTCTTACGCTTTCTTATTTTTTTACAATTTTTTATACTAATTATGTTTTTGTATCAGTTGCAAATGTATTGTTTGTAGAGTCTCCTGCTGGTGTTGGATTCTCATACTTGAGTACAACGATGAATTATACAATAGGAGATACTAAGACTGCTATAAAGAATTATGTATTTTTATTAAATTGGATGGAAAGATTTCCCGAATATAAGAACTCAGATTTTTATATTTCCGGAGAAAGCTACGCCGGTCATTATGTACCTCAATTAGGGCAAACGATCCTCTATCACAATTTGAAAACCAACGAGACAAAAATCAATCTCAAAGGAATCATGGTAAGTTTTTTAGTTGTGTTTACTTTGATTTTTTATTTTCTTTTAATAATTTTTTACTAAATTATTATTCAATCAATTATTTTTTTTTTTTAGATATAGATATACTCCATATTATTATTATTATTATTATTATTTTGGTCCAAAATTTAGTAGTGTTATATTTTGTTTGATTGTGTTTTCAGCCTAGTATTTACTATTTATTCATAGTAGTTTTTTTACTCTAAAAAATGTTACTCATTATGTCTCGTAACAAATAATACATTTGATGGGACATGGTATTTAATAAAGTGATAATATATAATTAGTTAATAATGGTAAGTAATAATATTATCTTATTATTTTTTATATAAGAGATATTGGTAGTAATTTTAATATTAATGTATATAATTTTAAAAAATTAGAACATGTATTTAAATATTTTAAAATATATCTCAATAAAAATATATTAATATGAATATTATTTTGTAAATAATAATTTTTTATATAAAATAAATAAATAAATAAATATTTATTTATTTATGATTTATATAAACTAATTTTACAAAAGGTGGGGAATTTTAAATGTAATAAAAATATTTGTTTATCGAAAAATAGAAATAAAAGAGTTTTAAATGAATGTATGATATTATACATTATATAAAAAAAAAATTATCATTTGTTATGAAACAAATTAAAATGGATATAATATCATATGTTATGGAAGAGAGAGAGAGAGTATATTCTTACTTATTTTAGATTTATACCTTACATAATTATTTTTTTATTAAAAGATCATATATTAAATACTTATTTATAATATTCAAATATGTATTTCAATTTAAAATTTTACTATTGCAAAAAACAAACAAAATACTATTATAACACAACCTCATATATTTATATTCTTGTAGTATGCTTGTTAACTAAGGATCCCTCGTCTCTTATAGATTGGAAATCCCGTGATCAACGATGAAACTGATATTCGAGGGATTTACGAATACTTAGGAAGTCATGCTCTTGTTTCTGAAGAGACTACTGACCGGGTAATGAAATATTGTTTCTCGACTAATGCCACAACCCAAATCGATAAGTGCAATTCTAGTCTATTAGAAGCTGTTGGAAACACTCAATCTATCAACATCTACAATATTTACGCGCCAGTTTGCCATAATTCGAGCCTCGATGAGAAGCATGGGAAGGCTTCAGTGAGTTCAAAATCGAGCTATTTCAGTTTCGATAAGTTTCTTAGTAATTATTAATTACACTAATATGTATCTATCTATATATCTGCAGGTTAAAATGTCGGATCCTTGCATTGATAATTATGTGTATGCATACTTAAACAGAGTCGATGTTCAAAAGGCGCTCCATGCTAATGTCACCAACATTCCGTACAAATGGCGATTCTGCAGGTGTGACCATATATATATATTGATATATATATATCTTTGAAAATTAATACGAATTTGAAAATTTAATATTATTCATTAATAGTAATTTTTTCAAAATAAAATAAAAATATTACATAAAGTATTCATTTCACCTCTCATATGACATTATATCAAATATCTAAATTTTTTACTATTTCAAAACTTCCAAAACTCTTCTTTTTTTTTTTTTCTTTTTTTTTTTCACTTATATGTTGCTAGATACTTGCCACCCCTAAAAAATTAATCATACCAAATCAATTTTATCATTATTATTATTATTATGATTTTTTTTTTCTTACAATAATATTTATAGTTTGTCGGAAAATTTGCAGCGATGAGATTGTCCAGAAATGGCAATGGCAAGACAGTCCTTCAACAATCCTTCCCATTCTTAAGGAGTTGATGTCAAAAGGAATTCGAGTTTGGATTTATAGGTAAACTATAAACTTCTGTCATGATCTGTATTATCAATGACTTCTCTTTTCTTTTGTTTTTCTTAAAATAAATTAAAAAACAAATACTTATTTTTATTTAATATACTCCTTCCATCCGTCTTCTAAATGTCACAGTTTATCTTTTGCATTATTGTATTTAGTATTAAAATATTCTTATATTTGTATAATTTTTTGTACAAATATTCTTCTATTGGTACTATAACACACTAATGAAAGTATTTTTGTATTTTTTTTCTTAATTTATAGTATTAAGTTTTCATATAATAATTAATATTCAAATGTCAACACACAAAAAATAACTGAGATTCTTAGAGCCGGATGGAGGTAGTATTATTTTTTTAAGAAAATTGTATATAAAATGCTCCCTCCGTCTGTCTCTAAATGTCTCATTTACCTTTTGCGTCATCATACTTCACATTAAAAATATCTCTATATTTGTATAAATTTTTACACAAATGTCCTTTCATCAGTATTATAAGACACTAGTTGAAGTATTTTTGCAATTTTTTCTTAAATTGTACTATGTTTTGATATAATAATTAATATTCAAATTTCAGCACATAAAAATTAAATAAGACCCTTGCGACCGGACATAGGTAGTATTATATTAAATACATATTTCCAATACAATCTCATCAAATGTTATTTTAATTTAAAATTTTATTATCTTCAAAACTCTAATACCTTTTAAAAAAACTATTCTTATAAATTCTCTTCTTTTGTCCTCAATTTCGATAATTTATAATAATTATATCTATATTATTTATTATTTATTATTAAAATAAATATTATATCTAACTACCATTTTTCAGTGGGGACATAGACGGAAGATTACCTGTTACGTCCACGCAGCATTCCATCAAGCAAATGAAACTTGTTACAAAAATCCCTTGGCACCCATGGTACCTTGCTCGACAGGTAATATGACAATACGATATTAGCTACATTTTCCCTTTAAATTTCTTCAAAATTTACAAATACAAGTAATTATTTCTTATGACAATTCTTGAAATGATTATGTAATAATTAAATTTGTTATATATATATATAGGTCGGTGGATACACACAAGTGTACGAAGAAAATCTTACATTTGCGACAATAAGAGGAGCGGGTCATATGGTTCCCACCGATCAACCTGCTAGGGCCCTTTCGCTTATTCGACATTTTCTTGCAGGGACACAACTACCTTCTACAATCCAGTAATAATTATAGAGTGTATTAAGATGTATTTTAGAAGTATTTTGACATTTTATGTTAGTGTAATAATAGTAAAAGTTTAAATAGGAAATAATATTTTATTATAAACTATGCATTTGTGTGTCTTTTTCAGATTTATTAGAAATAATTAAAAATTGAGTTGAAATAGTATTTAAGTATATGTTTGAAATACAATATTAATAACTTGAAATACCCTTTTATTTAAATAGATATATTAAAAAAAATAAAAATAAATTATTCTTATACATCAAAATGCAGAACAATACCATCTTAATTTACTTAAATTATGCCTAAATAATTAAATTATAATTATATTGAATAATTTAAAGCAATCTTTGGAAAAATGATTAAATAAATACATGTGTCCAGCCCAAATGAGCACATGCCATCCCAATTCTGTCGGTTCAGCCCCACTCCTTAATGGGCCCAACCAATTAAACCTAGACAGCCCAATTAAACCCAGCCCAGCCTATACCACACTTAAGGTCCTAGCCCATATAGTTCGGCCCATTTAAGCCCTTATAATCTGTATACATGCAATTCCTCAAGGCCCGGCCCTTTTTTAATTCGCTGTTCTACGCCGTTCACGGACCCGTCGTCCAGCCGTATATTGCGAACAAGAATTCGCGCACGGGCGCCGACGAACCCGCGTCACCGCAAGATGTCCAGTAAGCCTTATCGTTTAGAGAAAAGAGAACACATAACATGGATTCTATATTTGAACCTGCGGAAGGATCATTGTCGATGTCTGTCCCGGCAGACAACAGCGAATTCGTAACCGGACGTACGAATGTCGGTCAGGCCGTCCATCAAAACAGAGTGGGCGCCCCAAAAAACTCCTGCACGGATTTTCGCGAATATGTAGGCAGCAAAAATGAATTTCCTGCGATGCATGTCGCGACCAAAAATTGCGAACGACAACCTTGTCCGCCGTTCACGGACCCGTCATCCAGCTGTATATTGCAAACAAGGATTCGCGCACGGGCGACGACGAACCCGTGTCAACGTGAGATGTCCAGTAAGCCATATCGTTTAGAGAAAAGAGAACACGTAACATGGATTCTATAGTTGAACCTGCGGAAGGATCATTGTCGATGTCTGTCCCGGCAGATAACAGCGAATTCGTGACCCGACGTACGAATGTCGGTCAGGCCGTCCATCAAGACAGAGTGGGCGCCCCAAAAAACTCCTGCACGGATTTTTGCGAATATGTAGGCAGCAAAAATGGATTTCCTGCGATGCACGTCGCGGCCAAAAATTGCGAACGATGACCTTGTCCGCCGTTCACGGACCCGTCGTCTAGCCGTATATTGCGAACAAGGATTCGCGCACGGGCAACGACGAACCCGCGTCAACGCGAGATGTCCAGTAAACCTTATCGTTTAGAGAAAAGAGAACACGTAACATGGATTCTATAGTTGAACCTGCGGAAGGAACATTGTCGATGTCTGTCCCGGCAGACAATAGCGAATTCGTGACCCGACGCACAAATGTTGGTCAGGCCGTCCATCAAGACAGAGTGGGCGCCACAAAAAACACCTGCACGGATTTTCGCGAATATGTAGGCAGCAAAAATGGATTTTCTGCGATGCACGTCGCGGCCAAAAATTGCGAACGACGACCTTGTCCGCAGTTCACGGACATGTCGTCCAGCCGTATATTGCGAACAAGGATTCGCGCACGGGCGCCGACGAACCCGCATCAACGCGAGATGTCCAATAAGCCTTATCGTTTAGAGAAAAGAGAACACGTAACATGGATTCTATAGTTGAACCTGCGGAAGGATCATTGTCGATGTATGTCCCGGCAGACAACAGCGAAATCGTGACCCGACGTACGAATGCCGGTCAGGCCGTCCATCGAGACAGAGTGGGTGCCCCAAAAAACTTCTGCACGGATTTTCACAAATATGTAGGCAGGAAAAATGGATTTCCTGCGATGCATGTCGCGGCCAAAAATCGCGAACGACGATCTTGTCCGACGTTCACGGACCCGTCGTCCAGCCGTAGATTGCAAACAAAGATTCGCGCATAGGTGCCGACGAACCCGCGTCAACGCGAAATGTCCAGTAGGCCTTATCGTTTAGAGAAAAGAGAAAACGTAACATGGATATTATAGTTGAACCTGCGGAAGGATCATTATCGATGTCTATCCTGGCAGACAATACCGAATTCGTGACCCGACGTACGAATGCCGGTCAGGCCGTCCATCGAGACGGAGTGGGCGCCCCAAAAAAACTCCTGCACGGATTTTTGTGAATATGTAGGCATCAAAAAGGAATTTCCTGCGATGCACGTCACGGCCAAAAATCGAGAACGACGACCTTGTCCGCCGTTCACGGACCCGTCGTCCAGCCGTATATTGCGAACGAGAGGATTCGCGCACGGGCGCCGACGAACCCGCGTCAACGCGAGAAGTCCAGTAAGTTTGATCGTTTAGAGAAAAGAGTACTCGTAACAAGATTCTATAGTTGAACCTGCGAAAGGATCGTTGTCGATGTCTGCGCCGGCAGACAACAGCGAATTCGTGACCCGACGTACGAATGCCGGTCAGGCCGTCCAGCGAGACAGAGTGGGCGCCCCAAAAAACTCCTGCGCGGATTTTTGTGAATTTGTAGGCAGCAAAAATGGATTTCCTGCGATGCACGTCACGGCCAAAAATCGAGAACGACGACCTTGTCCGCCGTTCACGGACCCGTCGTCCAGCCGTATCTTGCGAACGAGGATTCGCGCACGGGCGCCGACGAACCCGCGTCAACGCGAGAAGTCCAGTAAGTTTGATCGTTTAGAGAAAAGAGTACTCGTAACAAGGATTCTATAGTTGAACCTGCGAAAGGATCGTTGTCGATGTCTGCGCCGGCAGACAACAGCGAATTCGTGACCCGACGTACGAATGCCGGTCAGGCCGTCCAGCGAGACAGAGTGGGCGCCCCAAAAAACTCCTGCGCGGATTTTTGTGAATTTGTAGGCAGCAAAAATGGATTTCCTGCGATGCACGTCACGGCCAAAAATCGAGAACGACGACCTTGTCCGCCGTTCACGGACCCGTCGTCCAGCCGTATAATGCGAACGAGGATTCGCGCACGGGCGCCGACGAACCCGCGTCAACGCGAGAAGTCCAGTAAGTTTGATCGTTTAGAGAAAAGAGTACTCGTAACAAGGATTCTATAGTTGAACCTGCGAAAGGATCGTTGTCGATGTCTGCGCCGGCAGACAACAGCGAATTCGTGACCCGACGTACGAATGCCGGTCAGGCCGTCCAGCGAGACAGAGTGGGCGCCCCAAAAAACTCCTGCGCGGATTTTTGTGAATTTGTAGGCAGCAAAAATGGATTTCCTGCGATGCACGTCACGGCCAAAAATCGAGAACGACGACTTGTCCGCCGTTCACGGACCCGTCGTCCAGCCGTATCTTGCGAACGAGGATTCGCGCACGGGCGCCGACGAACCCGCGTCAACGCGAAGAAGTCCAGTAAGTTTGATCGTTTAGAGAAAAGAGTACTCGTAACAAGGATTCTATAGTTGAACCTGCGAAAGGATCGTTGTCGATGTCTGCGCCGGCAGACAACAGCGAATTCGTGACCCGACGTACGAATGCCGGTCAGGCCGTCCAGCGAGACAGAGTGGGCGCCCCAAAAAACTCCTGCGCGGATTTTTGTGAATTTGTAGGCAGCAAAAATGGATTTCCTGCGATGCACGTCACGGCCAAAAAAATCGAGAACGACGACCTTGTCCGCCGTTCACGGTCCCGTCGTCCAGCCGTATCTTGCGAACGAGGATTCGCGCACGGGCGCCGACGAACCCGCGTCAACGCGAGAAGTCCAGTAAGTTTGATCGTTTAGAGAAAAGAGTACTCGTAACAAGGATTCTATAGTTGAACCTGCGAAAGGATCGTTGTCGATGTCTGCGCCGGCAGACAACAGCGAATTCGTGACCCGACGTACGAATGCCGGTCAGGCCGTCCAGCGAGACAGAGTGGGCGCCCCAAAAAACTCCTGCGCGGATTTTTGTGAATTTGTAGGCAGCAAAAATGGATTTCCTGCGATGCACGTCACGGCCAAAAATCGAGAACGACGACCTTGTCCGCCGTTCACGGTCCCGTCGTCCAGCCGTATCTTGCGAACGAGGATTCGCGCACGGGCGCCGACGAACCCGCGTCAACGCGAGAAGTCCAGTAAGTTTGATCGTTTAGAGAAAAGAGTACTCGTAACAAGGATTCTATAGTTGAACCTGCGAAAGGATCGTTGTCGATGTCTGCGCCGGCAGACAACAGCGAATTCGTGACCCGACGTACGAATGCCGGTCAGGCCGTCCAGCGAGACAGAGTGGGCGCCCCAAAAAACTCCTGCGCGGATTTTTGTGAATTTGTAGGCAGCAAAAATGGATTTCCTGCGATGCACGTCACGGCAAAAAACCGAGAACGACGATCTTGTCCGCCGTTCACGGTCCCGTCGTCCAGCCGTATCTTGCGAACGAGGATTCGCGCACGGGCGCCGACGAACCCGCGTCAACGCGAGAAGTCCAGTAAGTTTGATCGTTTAGAGAAAAGAGTACTCGTAACAAGGATTCTATAGTTGAACCTGCGAAAGGATCGTTGTCGATGTCTGCGCCGGCAGACAACAGCGAATTCGTGACCCGACGTACGAATGCCGGTCAGGCCGTCCAGCGAGACAGAGTGGGCGCCCCAAAAAACTCCTGCGCGGATTTTTGTGAATTTGTAGGCAGCAAAAATGGATTTCCTGCGATGCACGTCACGGCCAAAAATCGAGAACGACGACCTTGTCCGCCGTTCACGGTCCCGTCGTCCAGCCGTATCTTGCGAACGAGGATTCGCGCACGGGCGCCGACGAACCCGCGTCAACGCGAGAAGTCCAGTAAGTTTGATCGTTTAGAGAAAAGAGTACTCGTAACAAGGATTCTATAGTTGAACCTGCGAAAGGATCGTTGTCGATGTCTGCGCCGGCAGACAACAGCGAATTCGTGACCC